AGTTTCGCCGCGAAATATGATTGATGGTAATTTCCATTCGACATGCTAATCTTCCCACGTAAACGCACACCCGCGCACTGCACGCTGCAATTCGTTAACGCGGTACTCGCGCTCGGCAAAGCCGGCCGGCCAATATGAATTCGGCAGGTGAAATTTTTTCCCACCCCCTGTCCGATCATGGCGATCGATGCTTTTACGATTTAGTCGATGGTAATGCTCGGCGCTTTGGCTGAGCACATCGATTAACTGAAAAAACAGGGAAAAACAACCCCCTCCGAGCGCGAGCACCGCCCGGAATATATACACGCCAAGTACGTAAAAATCCTCGGCTAAAATATCGACCAAGGTAGAAACGGGCACATCGACTCTTTCCCACGTTTTCCACGATTTTTTAAAGCCTCGAAGAAATGGTCCAACCCTTGCCCCGTACTTAACCTCGGGAAAAAAAAAATCATTTTATTCAGTAACCCTCATTTCGTGGTTCGATAAAAAGAACGCGTAATTACTCCAATTTAATATCCGTATCTTGTTCGATATATGAATTTCTCTATTCTGCGGATTTTTTTCCCAACGGTAAAGTGTTGAACAAATAATCTGGGGTATTTTATTTTTAAGGGAATATTTTATTCAATTTGGCTGTTTCGATTTCTTACTCTAATCAGAGCAAGATAGGGGGAATCTTGTATTTTATCACACAGTTAATTCAACAATATTCAAAGAAGTACTTTTCTCCAAGGGAAATATCCTTTTTCTCGGTGTCGTTATTAGATGGGTCGACGTTTTTATTTATTATACGGTTATTAATAATTTACCGCGCATTGGACACCTGCGTACTTTTTTTCCAAGGGAAATATCCTTTTCCTCGGTGTCGTTATTAGATGGGTCGACGTTTTTATTTATTATACGGTTATTAATAATTTACCGCGCATTGGACACCTGCGAGTGCACGGTAGGGTGCATCGATGTGCATTCGCGATTGCACTCGTTATAAAAAAAGGTCGATCGTTTCCGGGGAGCGACTTCGGCCTTCGCCATCGCCGGGAACGATGCGTTTCCGGGGTTTAACGGGTTATTTCCTAGGTGCGGTGCGGACCCTGCGGATTCAAATGCGGCAGCTGCTATTTCACTTCCAGTGCATTAACCGTGCACTGTTCGGAGACGAGCTGACGGCGGTGCTTTTACGCTCGACATTTTGCATGATTTTACGTGTCAGCGGGTTCGCCGCATAATAACCGAGAGCCGGGCCGGGCGCGAATTTTAATTGCGTGTTCGCCGCGATTAAAACTAAAAACGGAGCCGCAGATAGGGAGGCGGAATGCGGAATCGCACGAGGGTGCCGACCTAAGTCGGCCACCGTTCCACCGGGGCCAGGTTTCGGCAAGAATTCCCTGGGAATCCGGAGTTTATGAATCGCTCGTTATCGAAACGAATGCCGGAAAGTACGGCGCAATTACTCGGGTATACAAGACTCGGTACACCGGCGCATAAACCGCCCTTACCGGGTTTTATTCCACGGGTTACTTCTCAGGACGTTGATCACGGTTTCGTTAATAATGGATCCCCCTTCAAGTTATTCCGCTTCCGGAAACGTCTCCGGCTCCACTTGTCGCGGGAAATCCTAGCGCCATGTACTCTTCGGCTTCCTAGATTAAATTCTATTTAATCGAGGTGGGACGAGTAATTGATTTTTCATTTTTTATTTCAGATGGACAATTCCGCTCTCGCCGGGAACGTCATCTTCGGCGCCGACGTACATTATCGTGTTCAAGGAAATACAAGATACAAGGATAGACAAGGGTAAAGGAAGGAAATACAAGATACAAGGATATCGGAGACGGGTAATTGATTTTTTTATTTTTTATTTCAGATGGACAATTCCGCTCTCGCCGGGAACGTCATCTTCGGCGCCGACGTATTATCGTGTACAAGGAAATACAAGATACAAGCGAGGCTGGGGATATCTTTTCCTGTCCTCTGGAGGGGTCCGAAGTGAATTTTCTCCAGGGTTTTTCGGTTATCTTCGCTTCCGCCTCGCCGTAAATTAACGCGAGGCGCGAGGTGCACCCCCGGACCCGGTGCCATAGTTCAGGATGCATTTATCACGCGGAAGTGAAGTTTACCGCGTGCATAGGAGCCGGTCGCCCTATGGTCCAGGAATTATAGCGAGCCAAGCAGCCGAGGGAAGGAGCATTCCGCGGCGACGGCAGCTAATTCGCGTTATATTGGAAACGCATACCGGAAGCCGTGGCGGCCGCAACGAGGGCGTTTGTGCGGAAGAGGGACAACGGCGGAATATCGATTATCGAGGTGGCGGCGCGGATATCGAGGACATACTTCCGCCGGGGGAAAATCGCCGGACGACGTCGAAGAGGTCGAAGACGCCCCGAGGAAGAAGCCGAAGAAGATCCTTTTCCCCTCGCTCGAATGACCGATAAACCGCCATCTGCCTTATCGCCCTTATCGGGCGCGCCTTTGAACTCCTGCAAAATGGATTTCTGTCAACTATTTTGTATTCACCGGTCTCGTTCCGGGCGGAGGAAAAAATTGTAAAAAATCAAGGAGGAGCTTAAAGGCTCGCCCTGGGGGTCCCCCCATTCAGGGCGGAGATTCCGCGTCCGGTTTCTGAATAACCAAGCAAACTCTGTCACCCGTTGGAAGGCGCCGCGTGGCCGCGGCGACGAGGACCCGCGAAAGTTGCGGCGTCGAGCGAGCTTTTATGGAGATAGGATCTCCGCTTATGGGACGTAGCTTATCTCCGCCTTGCCGTGGATCTTCCCTAGGACGGAGGGGAGGTATTATACCCCCGGACTCCCTTTATAATCCATTATAATACCCGAAACGCGGGCCCTACCGCGCACCGATGCACCGCGAGGCGAGAGTGTCCGGAAAGAGGAAGCGGAAAATGAGAGCAAACCGGGGGGGAAAGAATTACAGGGTGCGGGCAGGTGGTAGATCTCTTATCAGGGTGATTTTTAGGGGCGAGATGTAGAGCTAAGGTTGACGATTAATCGATGATCCTGGATAATCGGCGGTCCTCCTGGACGCTTCGAGGACGAGTCCGTCGTCTCTCGGACATGGCCACGGGTCCTGGAGGGAGGGAAACCTCCCGTGGGGGTGAACAGGCGTTCCTTCACCGAGTTTACCCCGTTTCTCGCCCTCCTGCTCGCGGGCCGATGGAAAGGAAAAAATGGACCGAGCCGTAAATGCGACCGCGTAAGCCGAGGCTTACACATATTCGACTCGCTTCCCACGGAACGAATTGGCTCGGACGCGTACCTATATAAAGCTTTACGAGTTCTCGCGCCGACTAGGCCATACTGAAATTCCTTATATATACTGACCACCTGATGCCGGGGACTTTTTATTCCCCGGCGGATCCGCGGACTTATGGTCCTTCGCTTTCATCGTGGCCGTTAAAAGATTATTAAAGGGACTTCGCGGCTACGTCGAGCGAATTGTACGCTTTGGCCGATGTAATTCGTATGGCCAATTTCTGCGGGGAATTAAATTCCTAGGTTGGCGGAATTGTAGATTAACCGGTGATAGTGTATTTTTCGCCGGGCAGACTCGTCATATTTTTTTTTTTTTCTTTTCGAAGACGAAGGCGTGCGAAATGAATTATCCCCTGCTAGTCAGTCAGTCCGTAGCTCTAAGATGTATTTATTTTTTTTCTTTCTTTTTAAAGGCGAAGGGTTGCGAAATGAATTATCCCCTGCTAGTCCGTAGCGCTAAGATGTATTTATTTTTTTTTCTTTCTTTTTAAGGACGAAGGGTTGCGAAATTAATTATCCCCTGCTAGTCCCTAGCGCTAAGATGTATTTATTTATTTTTCCTTTCTTTTTAAGGACGAAGGGTTGCGAAATGAATTATCCCCTGCTAGTCCGTAGGGCTAAGATGTATTTATTTATTTTTTCATTCTTTATAAAGGCGAAGGGTTGCGAAGTGAGTTATCCCCCGCTAGACAGTCAGTCCGTAGCGCTAAGACGTACTTCCTGCGTATGCGATTCCATCACGCCTTCATCCCCTTTCCTTCCGAGGGGTGATAAATGCCCCGGCAGTGACATCAGAAAAATACACTCGGCACCGGCGTGGCAGTCGCGGCAACCCCTTATCTCCCGCCTTGAGCTACTCCTCCTGAGAAATGGCCGCCACTTTGAAAAAGGAAAAAGGGACAGGAGGAAACCGGACGGATTTTTACTCGCCTCACTTCCGGCCCCGCCGCGTCGGTAACGACCGCCAAGGAAGCGCATCGGACGACTCGTTTTATCCGGCTACTCCTTTTATTCCGCCAATTATTAATACGCCGCCGAGCAAGAGATTGCCCCTGGAAAAAGTTATAGCTGCGATGTATCCCAAGTACTACGGATAATAAAGGATTAAACAAAGCCTGAAGTGCCTTTATTTCGACTCCAGCTTTCGTTTTGCATCGGTGGTTTCACTTTTCATTCGCGAGGAACGGCCATCGACCTCATATCGCTTTCCAAAGTGGCACGAATTCCCTGGAATTGTTAATTAAGAACTTTGAATCGGTAGTTTGGATTTGGATCGACAGCGTTTCTGCTTTTGACAATCGATCTCTGGCACAGCTGTCATTTTGGATGATATCTGCTTTAACGACAGCTACGGTACGGCAGCGCTTGGAACTATCTACTCGAAGTTATCTTAAGTAGAGATACCGACACTTGCTTGATTACCGACTGAAGGAATGCTATGGTAAGTGTTTTACAGGTCGGGTACGGATAACCATTCCTTGGATACTCCTAGAAAATAAAGTTTCAAACGGTACAAGTGGCGCCATCTCTGGAAAAACTGCCGGGACTAAAATAGTTTCCAAACGGTACAAGTGGCGCCATCTCTGGAAAAACTGCCGGAACTAAAATTTCTTTAGTTCCGGCAGTTTTTCCAGAGATGGCGCCACTTGTACCGTTTGGAAACTATTTTAGTTCCGGCAGTTTTTCCAGAGATGGCGCCACTTGGTACTTTCAGAGAGGTAACGATACAGCAACTGCAGGGAGGATATAATCGGTGAACGCTCGAGAAAACTAATTTTTGCTATCTGACCGTTGAAGTGAAAGGGTGTACTTCAGCCCTTGCTCTGAACGGAATTATCAGTTTAATGTATATTGCGTATCTTCGGTTTCCGCGGTAAACAGCGACACAGCGCCACGTTAAAGTTTACCTTTTGCGCCAGGTGTCATGGCTGCCCTTGCCCTCTGTGTAGACGTAAATCTGTTCGCGGGAGTGATGTTATTTCCCCTATTTTAAATCGTAGACAAAGCGAAAGGTGGGACTACTTCGAAGGAAGGATTAACGAGTCTGTTTACAATTTTCTGTACGCGTGCTGCTGGAATTTCTACGATAACGTGGACAGTGAAGTGCGTGGCTTTCAAACTAACCTCTCGTTTGCATGCGCGTCGTCTTTTCGTAAAGCGCATCCGCGGAGAGGGCTTTGCAAGCGAGGAAGCGACTGCGCACAGAGAATTTCATTAAATTCAGTGCTCTCGAGGACACTCGATTCGTTCAAGATCACACTGCAATGGGTGAAGCCGGAGACAGTCACTGGAAACTTGTGAGGAAGTGCCGAAGCCATCGGTAGACATGTAGCCAGGTTATGCCCGGAGGTCGATTTAAGAGAATTGACGTTGCATCATTTATTTTGGACGACCGTTCAACCCTGATTACGAGTTCTTTTATTCCATGACTTCTTCACCAATTAATACGTAAGTGATAATTATTTAGTATTCCTCGCTTAATTATTTCAATTACAATGCCTTCAGTGAAGCGAATCTCTAGTATCGTCAGTGATAATCCTCGGTTCAAAATCGTTGGACAGTTTCAAGAGAGTGTCATTATGTTAAAAGATTCAGTAAATCATCACGTGAAATCAGAAGAGCACCGAGGAATTAATATTACAATTTATACATTCTTTTGTTAAGTGTTTTAACGCCTGCATGTAATAAACGGCTTATCGAGCGATCGTTTAAATATATCTACGTGGTCATGTTCTGTTAATTTTAGGTTGAAAGAAAATGACAGTATTAGAAGCAGAAGATACGGATGAACGATCTGTACCACCAAGGAAAAAGTTCTGCCTCTCCTTGACGGGACGAGGACACCTTCCTTCCAAAATTGTCTCTCAGCCCCCTCAATTGTCTACTGGAGGGGGCACTTTGGGAGGTCAAACTACATCCAGTGGTACATATTTACCGTTAACTTAAGTACAACTAAATATGACTACAAGTATAGACAATCGAAAAAAATTATCAATAAGGGATGGGTGTGTTATAACCTCTTAATTAATTCAAGGTGACAAAAAAATGGTAAACGGCTATCGAAATCAGTTAGGAGTCCATCAGGATTCCAATTGTGATATCGCAGGGAGTGGTTCCGAAGGTCTAAGGATAGCGACTTTATGCAATCTTGGAAATACTTGTTTCTTAAATAGTGTACTATATACCTTGCGCTTTGCACCATCCTTTTTGCATAACCTACATCACCTCGCAACGGATTTATCTAATTTAACTGACAAACACCTCCAAATAAAGGTAGTTTTTCTTCAATGGATAGAAATTAAATAAACCTGAATATAAATACATAAATAAGTGGATTTTCATGGTAGATGAAGTCGTCTTCGCTGGGTAGATCTGGTGTATCGCTAATGGCCAGTGGTAGTCGCAGCTGGAGCAGCAAGGATTTATTGGCTTTGGCAGGGCCGGCAGGAGAATCCAACAAACCTCGGATACAAGTAGCCACTGAAAAATTACACGAATTGTTTATGGCTTTAAGAGTGGCTGAAGTGAGGGAAAGCAGCGAACCTTATCAACCCGATGCATTTTTACAAGCCCTTAGGTGCGTTGACTAGGTTATGCGTAATAAAAGTTTATCCTCAAACAAGTTACATTTCATTCTACTTCAGAGAGGTGAATCCCATATTCGAGGGAAATCAACAACAAGATGCACACGAGTTATTGGTCTGCCTGCTGGATAATATACGAGAAACATTTCAGTTACTGGTTAGGCACAGGGAATATCAATTTGGCCAGAGTAACGGAGGGGCCTCAGATTTTAACACCGTAGCCCGTTCGACAGACGTGCAGTCTGACAGTGGTGCCAGTAAACGGGGCATTCGCAAGTCTTGGAAGAAGAAAAAGGTTTCGGTCAGAGGAAGTACAAGCTTGCTCTCTCAACCGAACGTAAACGGTGTCACGGTACCTCCCAGACCCCTCGAAAATGGTCACGCAGAGTCTGTCGAAAGCAACGGTGACGTCCTCGGTGCCTCTCACAGATTGGAGAGTAAAAAGTGTTTCATCTCCGAGGACTTCGAGGGCATTAGTTTACTACGCACCACCTGTCTCGAGTGCGAGCACGTAACCGAGCGAAAGGAAACCTTTTGTGACATCTGCGTGCCAATCGATACTGACAGATCAAACGAAAAGGGTAAGTGAGGTTATCGGTGACACCAAAAATCCTTCATATTCTTAAAAACAGTTCTCACAGTGATATTATCTTCTCACAGATGAAGATGGTAGGCTGGTAGACAGCAGCGAAGTGTACAGGAGAGCAGTGGTGACCAGCGAGCTCCTCTGGGGCAGGGACAAATATTGGTGTGCTCGCTGCCTACGGTACAACGAAGCTCGTAGAGCTGTCTGCTTCCCATCCCTGCCAAGACTGTTGATCCTGCAGCTCAAGAGATTCTCCACAGCAGCTGGGTAAGTCAGGAGAAAAATCTAGAAACAATACAATCACCGATACTCATTATTATAGTATTTCTTTGGTACAGCTCGATGGAAAAAATCAACAACCACATGCCGACCCCCCTGACTCTCCAGTGTTTCTGCGAGGAATGCGGTAACGACCATCAACGAGGCACGACCCAGAGAGCAGTCGACTCTCGACACGTCTACAAACTGTACTCGGTGATCATGCACCAGGGAGCGACCATGACGGCCGGTCACTACGTCGCCTACACGAAACTCCCGGACGACTCTGCGACCTCGGAGTACTTGCGCTGCGACCGGGACGGCAAAAGACATATCTGCAGCCAGAGCAGCAATCTACCGAACAACACCTCGGACAAGTCCTCGGGGTTCTTCAGGTACTTCAAGTCAAAGCCCAACGTGACGGAAAGTAAGGAGCAACCGGTCAGGGTGGGCTGCAGGAGCTTGGAGTGCTGCGGAGTGCGTCGCAGCAAGCACTCCTGCGTGTGGTTGGAATGCGACGACGAAGCAGTCAGGCTGATTCCCCAGCGAGAGCTGCAGGACAAGCTCGCCCCGAACCCCAGGAACTCGGCGACGCCCTATCTCCTGTTTTACGTGAGATCCACCGCGTAGATGGTCCCTCCTAGCGCAGGGGAAAAATGCTAATCCAGTGGAACCACCCTTTTTTTTCTCTCCGCATCGCATTGGAGTCACAAATGCCCCGCAAGAGCGTTCTTCCGCGTTGTCAGTGTCACGCCTATTATCAGCTCCAGGTACGAGAGTATTATTTATTCGGCCGGATCCGCTCATCTGTAAATTAGCCGAGGTGTAAAATGTACATTTATGGAACGGAAACGCTTGGACGGTAATTATCGGTACTCCAGATTTACGGTGGATGTATTCATTCTGTACGCGTGTACTTGTCGGAGGAGGGTCCGTAATACCGAAATGAAATGTAAATAAAAGCAGGCAGATTTTCATCCACTTTGGTGTGGGTTATTCTATCCTCGCTGCCATTCTTGGTCTCGGTATTTTAGGCCTACTCGAAGTAACCGATTTTACATTTATTTTATTTCATAGTAGTGTATGATCGCAGTTACTCGACGTGTACTTCTCTCTCCCTCTGAGGCGCGCTTTTCGATAAATCGGACGTCGACGGCTATACGCGCTTATAGCTTTAAGTTTCCTTCCGCTGTCCGGTTAATCATAAGTAACCACGTCCATATATCGATTCTTTTTCGATGGGGGTCAGTAGTGGAGTCGCACTTGGTCTGGCAGCGTGGCACTTAGTGCTCCTCCACTTGTACCCGTGTCACACCTCCACAAACCTGCGGTCCCTTTTATTATTTCACCGTGGACATGGCTCAGATTTAATTACAAGGTATGAGATAAATATTCCCAATTCCCCGCAAAGTTAAAATTAATTATACACGCGTGAATTTGCCAGTTTCAATTTTTCCGCTGTGTGGGAAATTATCGCTTCGTTTCGCCGAATGTCTTTTTTTAAGCACGGTTTGTCGCTGTTCATCTTTTCCTTTTATAAAAAATACGTGTACGCATTTTCTACTGACCTCCATTTAAATAATCGAGCGACTTTCTCGGATCGCTTTAGGCGTTAATTTGCAAACCTTTTAATCGATGGTTTTTTTTTTATTTATTTACATAATTATCGAGCCGATGCGGCAGATCTATGTGCCAGTAATACTTAAATGCCGAGCCACGCCAAATATGTAAGTACATGATTAACGTAACTGTCGCATGACGCGTTTTTATGTGTGTACATGTTCATGGGTGTGTATTCGTCTAGCTGTCAGAATACAATCAATAGATACCCTGGACATGGACTAGCAGCTCGTTACCACGTGCGACTATGTGTCCCAACACTACACGTATGACGGGAATTTATTTATAGGATTGTATAAACTACTTATTTCATTTTCAGATCATAAAAAGGCCTCACCGATGAAGTACCAACAGGTATCGGTGGACTTGGCGAAGATGGTTGTCAGTGCCATTACCTACTTGGCATTAGCTGGTGCGGTTTGGATTTTCCTGCGACTTTTCCAGGCCTGCTTCTCGTTGCCACGCCATTTGAGAAAGCAAAACGACGTTCAGCAAATGTTGCAGGAAAAGGTGGAGGTCACTTAATTATTAAATTACTTTGGGCTGTATGTTTTATTCATATGACATTTTATTTTTTTATTTTTCAACCTGTGGTCTTTCAGATCGATGGATACGAGAAGTATGTGCAGGAGTGCGAAGAAAAAGATCGAGCACTGGGGATAGAATGCGACCTGGAAGGAGTGGATGACAAGGAGGATGCCGAAAGAGCAGACCGAGCCACCAAGTGGAAGGAACGACGCGAATGCCTGGAGATGTTGAAGAAGGAGTTGAATAGAATTCGGGATGGCGGTGATATCAATGATTGGGACCATCTTTTGGATGCCGACCACGAGGGGGACGATAATTCGTCAGAGAACGCGATGAAAAATGAGACCACTAGTTGCAGTAGTAATACAAATAATAGTATGGCCTCGGGGCTCTACTCGGGAATGAAGAAAGAAAAATAGCCTGAAAGAGGATTACACCTCGTTGAGTTTTTTGTAGGATCGGTGTTGACAGACGTTTGTCGATATGTATTTTACTCAGAAATACTTCTTGATACGCGCATAAATTAGGAACGTTTGTACCTCCATTGAGGTTTGCTTTAAAAGAAATAATAATTTTCAGACGTTTAATGTAATAAGGGGTACCGTTAAAGTACCGTCCTTTAGGAATTATTTATCTACTTATTATGGTTCCATTAAACTTTTCACGGTTAAACTGGGGCAGCGGCACAGAAGGAATTTTTAAATATTCCAAAACAAGGGAGACTGCGTCTTCCCTGAGCATAATGCCGCAACCCCTGGGACGCAATTACTGGGAACAAGTGTCACGGTACTCTGTTAGCATCGAATAATATGACCATTAAAGTTATTCCAAGTGTGGCGTAACAACTTCTAAAAAAAATAAAAAAATAAAACGAGACGCCGAATATTCTGGCTCGCACAATGAGCCTCGTTTCAGCACTCGGGGAAGACCGGTAAGTAGGGTTTACCTGTAGGCATCATTGTTACTTAGTTGTACCATGCAGAATGCGTGGTACTGCCACTACGGAGAGGTCAAGGTCGCCATCGGTGGGATAAACTTGAAAGGAGCTACTTAGGTTGGCGAGGATCCAACTGGAAGAGGGGGACACGGCCATCTTCGGTATCGAAGATAAGCCCACGACTTTCCGCGTCGTTCTATTATATAGAAAGCTCTGCATAAGTGGTTTCACTTTTCGATCCTGGGTCGTCTAAGTGTCCAAAACTCCCGCTCCTGTAACGACGAACAATACGACTTCCATTTTCCATTTCCACGGATCCTATGGCATGTGTCAACGAACCGCTCTTTCTTACCTCCTCTGCTGAGAGCAGTAGTCCCAATCACCTGCAATCAGCCGCAATCATCTTTATCCTTCTTGTTTTTTCAATAATCGGGGCGACATCTTGCTTTGATCTCGCTCCTACGATATCGATTCGGGCCGCGGCAACGATATCGAAGATGGCGGCGCGACCCAAGATGGCGGCGCAACCCAAGATGGCGGCGCGCCGGTCGCTCGCGCCGCCTGGCGGCTGCCAACAAAGATGGCGTCTGGCCCTGCCGGGTGGAGGGTTCGTGCGGTTAGCGCGAGGAAAGTCGTTCCCGGTGGCGGCTGACCGTCGGCCCGCACCGCCCGCACCGAGGTGCCGTTAACCGCGAGTCCGCGCGCGGCCCTGCGGACCCGGAATGTCCGCGCGGAACCGGCCGCGGTGAGTGCGTCGCGGCGTCCCGCGGGAGCCGTCCGGAGCGATGCCGTGCCAGCCGCCTCCTCCATGGACTCCGAGGACAACGAGAGCGACAAATCGTTGTGCGAGATAGGGAGGGCCGACAACATGTGAGTAAATCTCGTATTTCTATATTTACGAGCGATTTAATCGATACTACTCGCGAGGATTTTCGGCCATTTTCGTATCGCGGTGGCTTTCACGCGCGCCCTCGTACCACGCGGAACGCGTCACCTGGACCCGTCCACGTGGGGAAGGATGCGTCGTTATGGTTATCTATGCCCGGAGAAGAATTTAGAACGCCTCTTGCGTCTCGCCGACTCGCCCGCCGAAATCCCTCGGGCCTGCGTGCGCCGTCGTCGCGTCTCTCTCGCTCCCCCGCGCCGGCCACGCGCTCCCTCTCTCTCCCACGCGCTAGGGGTTTACTCCCTCGAGCATCCGCCGAGCTCGATACTCGGCCGCTAACCTACGCCTCTCCGACTTCAAAGGACCGAATAATTGATTCAACCTCTCCTTAATTACTCTAAATTGGGTTCCCCTAATCGATTTAACGTGCGGGTATCGATTAACGTCCCGAAATTAACGGACTCATATTATATTTAATCGCAAATGAATAATCCTCAAAATGCCGAGCATTAGGTAATTAATTTTACGCATCGTTAACGGGTTTTCTGATGTTTCCATGTTTTTTTGGCGAGGTGATATTAAGGGAAATTGAAACCACTCGTGTATAGTACGTATTAAACATTTTTGTATATTTTTCTTTGTATGTCCGGGGGAAGGGGAAATGGGAACATGTTGACAGCAATGTTTCATGCACACGTGGATACGACCCCCGGCTGTGTAATGCACGCTAAGTTATTTTTACGCCCCTCTTCCGTGCGCCGTTTAATGTCGGATTTTTCCGTACACAATTCGATTTTCACGCGAGCATCGCGCATGTACACCGGCGATGTATCGACGTCAATGTTTATCGACGCGATAAAGCGACCTATCCGAAGGTGAGTGACCGCGGGTATGTTCCTGGTGACGTCGCCGATCGTAACTATAAACCGCTGCTTATTTCCGCACAAATGGTTGGCGAACTCCTAGTGGGCAATGAAAATTACAACTCGTTTAGAATTCTCGGCAGTTGTTGAAAAGGACCAGGTCGTACCAAGCTGCAATTGTAGAAATAAAAAATTACCCCCTAGTTAAGATCAGCCATTTTCTTGAATAGTTTTTTTTTTTCGGGACTTTATTGTTTCATTGGAAATGCACCTGGATAATTCATGGAGGATATTATTTTCTTGGGGGGTTGAAAAAGGACCTTTTTCGGTCCTCCAAGGATGCTGGACCACGACGCAGCTCCGTTCTATCGATCCGCGGAGTCGGGCAGAGGGTCTCTCTCTCCCTCTCCCGTGTCCTATATATACGTGTCTCTCTCTTCCCCACGTATCTCGGATGTATGTCCCTCGCTCTATCTCCTCCAGGCTTGTTTCTCTATTTCTCTCCGGCTCTCACCTTCTCTATCCTGATCTCGATAATGGACCATATCCTGGCGCGACCTCGCCTTACACTCGAGTTCTTCAACCCCTGATTTCCATCGACCTCGAGGAGGTCCTTTTCCCTCCCCTTTGTCCTTGCATCGGAATCTTCGATAACACCTTGTGGAATATTTCGTCCTTTCAAGATCCTTACCCTGGGGGGAAGAAACATTTCGGACTCGGTGAGCCACGGTAAAAAAAAAAAATTGAGACAATTACGAGCGTCATTTCCGAGACCAAAGAGGGTGGAGGGTGGAGGAGCGACGTCTTTGCCGGGCAATTTATCCAGGGAGCCGTTTTCATCGGCGGCTATTCACTCTCGAGTGAGGTTTACGTGCACACCCTGCACGTTGCCGAGGTTAGACCCCCCGCGAAGCTGCGACGAGAAAGGAACTCTTCAGGGCCAGGGTCAAGGCCGCGTCCTGGGGAGGCTTCGGGGTGGAGGGGCGATTTTTCCAGCTTTCGTCCCCTCGGGACGGGCTTTCGAGGAGCTCGGCTCGATAAAAAATTTATTTACTCCGGGCAACTCACTTCCGGTCGCGTGCTACGATTAGGCTATTTCCGCAACTGGGATGGTTGCACGCGATAATCGCGATTACCTACGATAATCGAGATTAAGTTTATCCGATTTTGGAAGTTGCGGATATCGTCCCGGGGGAAACTTAGCTTCCTAGATGGATCTTCTGCGGATGCTAGATCCTACGCCAGGGTCATCACGAGCCGTGCAATTTGGACGATGACGACTTCGAGGGATTAGGTAACCGAATGCTCTCGAGGTGCAGTCGGATCGGTGTTCAGATCGGGGTTAGTTATTTAAGCGGGCAGTTGCGTTTCTTCGACGGTCGTTTTATAGAATCGATACGATGGACGAGGCTCAGGAAGGTGGTGGCGAAAAAGTTGCCGAAGACGAAGTGGAGGGCGTCGATGAAACGCGGAGCGAGATCGAGGCAGGGTTCGAGAAGGAAGGGAAGGCTCACAAAGGAGAAACTGACTCAAAAAAGCCAGCCGAGGGTTTTCAGGAAGTTTTCCTATCCGAAGAGCCGGCACTTCGTGAAATGGAGGGCGTCGATGAAACGCGGAGCGAGATCGAGAAGGAAGAGAAGACTCACAAAGGAGAAACTAACTCAAGAAAGCCAGCCGAGGTTTTTCAGGAAGTTTTCCTATCCGAAGAGCCGGCACTTCGTGAAATACTTCAGGGCGTACCCAGTGAACGTGGGGTGCTTCACGTGGTGTGCACCATCAGTCGGCTGGTCTTTTTTTATGTCCTAGTCAAGTGGATCAATGTGGAGGTCTGGTCCAGATTCGGGGGTGGCCCGTTCGCCATGAATCGCTGATGGGATGCTGGGCTTCTCGAAGTGGTGGAATGTTTTTTTTTTTTCATCTTGTTTCGTCTTCCCGTGATTTCAAGCTGGGGGACGGAAATCAACTACCGAGAATGCTGGAAATAGGTCGCGAAATTAACGCCACGACATATCTCGGGGAGCCTGATGTAGTGGATGTGGATTCTGGGATTTCGGATTACCCGGAGATCGGAAGCTCGTCTTCCTCGAAGCTGGGGGAATTTCTTGATCTTCCGGAGGCACGAGGGCGACTCGTTATTTCTGAAGCACCCGATGGTACTTTTAGCGAGAGTCGTCGCTGCTTTCACAGTCCCTGAGAAGTCGACTCTCCTCGTGGCCTCCACCTTTTCCGGTCCCTACATCATCTCGTCTCTAGTGGTCCAGACAGCGCTCTCGGGGTGGCGGGAAATTAAATTTTCCGACGGTAAATTACGCTGGGATTTTGAGGGACGGATTCTAGGTACCCCTGGTACACCTGATATTTCTGAAGAAATTTTCCGACGGTAAATTACGACGCTGGGGTTTTGAGGGACGGATTGTAGGTACCTCTGGTACACCTGATATTCCTGAAGAAACGATCTACGAATCGAGCCACGCGTGTTTATGGGTAATGTATATCTCGGCCAGGTTCCGTAACCCCTTGTTTATTAATCATTAATACCTGGATTCATTTTCGTGACGGATTACCGGTGACTCGCCGTGCCTCGCGTGACTTCTCTAGACTTCTCCGGGTCAGAAGTCAAAGGATACAACGGGTTCAAGGGCGGTCCGACTTTTAACAATTTTTTGTAGGGTCGGTGGTAATAAATAGAAAATAGATAAACGGTAATTCATCCTCGTGATTGCGCTAGAAATTAAACGAGGATTTAAACGCACGAAATGGGGAGGCAGATGCGATAACCCGATTCTTAATCAAACCTGCACTGGACCGTGTATGAAAAACCAAATTTTCGTTTCACCCAATGTTTGTTAACCGATGGCAGAGGTAGATTTTTTCCCTAGAAATTTTTTTTTTTTCGATAACCGCGTTAACGGGCGATGCGTTTTCCGCTGGCGTTTCCATCATGGCTTGATCTCGTAACCCTGGTTACGTGGGTCCATCTTTAATATTTCGTTTCCGGATACTTCCGGCACGTGGGATCGATGCGGAATTAATTACGCATGAGTATTCAATTTTCTTTCTTGGGAAACAAGTAGACGTGTCCGGCGACCTTCGGTAATGATACCTAATCAGGTGTCCAGGTTGTAATTGCGTTTGAAATCTTCGGGAGATCGTTTCCTCTATTTATGGAGGATGAAACCGCAATCTGAGAATCTGATCGCGTTTCATTCGGAGATAAGAATGACTCAATAGTTATTCCATTTGGCAAGAATGATTCAGGGTTAATTTTAACCTCTGATTAAAATTAAAGCCAGACTTTCACGGGACTTCCATGTTTTTTTTTCTCATATTCCGGGGACACTTCCGAGGAAACGGCGAATCGTCGCTTCGCGAAACTCGATCGTTATTAATTTTAGTCGCGAGGGTGGAAATAGATCGGGGAAATTGGCAGGCATTGCCGGCGGGGGGGAAATAATTCTTGTCTGGGAAAATGCGTCTGTCAGGTGCGCCATTTTTGGCTTTCGGTCCATCTATATTTTTCAGCTCTTTTATTTATTTATTTTTTTTTGTTTAATATACGATCCATAAAATATATGTGCAAATGGGGTCGTAAATTCGACCGTTGCGTGTCGTCGAAAGGGCCCTTTTCTAAACCGACATTTTTGGTATCTCTCTATTTTATTTCTATTTTTTTTTCCCCCCCGAGAAACGTGCAATTTCCTCGGCGCCTGGCACCCACTCGACGGGCTCGTTCTATTTACGAGGAGTGACACGCTGAAAAAGAGAAACCTTTCAAAACGGGGCCTCTTAGGACGCGTTACATACTTACGCAGAAGCCCTGGGGGTTGACATCGCGAGACGGAGGATTTATTTTCGAGATGACCCACGGCTAGATGTTACGAGCCGGGAGTTCAACGAGAACCCCTCCGAGTTCCCTTGGATGATTTCTGGCTTCTCCACTTGGTCACATCACCCCTCCATTAATTGTATCGTTACTTATTAAAGGCCTTAAAAAGAAATTATCCCACCCCGGGGCTTCCGGTATTTATTAAAATATTAAAATATGTCCGCGGATATAGGCCGGGCGTTTCATATTCATATACCACCTTAATGGATATTTCAGCCGTATGGAGCACACTTGAAAACTCGGGACACAAACGGCTGTTTTCATGTGTTTCCCGTCATTTGCATATTCATGGGCATGCAGATGCAGGGGACGAATGCGCGGTATCGCGCTATGCATTTTTCAGATCGAAATTATGTTTTTCTCATTTTTTTTGTCTCCACTTTTGGGGAGGGCGGGAGGAGATCTAAGCAGTGGTATATTAATAGGATCTGTATATGCTCCCGAGCAATGTGCCCCGATGCAGGGAGGGTTATATTTATTTTTCCTAAAAATCCTAATTCCGGTTTCATGGTGTATTTTGATTATCGTTTAGCTCTTGTGGGGATTAGGGTTCGGGCGACGATGCGGCTGGCTTCGGGAATCCGATTATGGAGTAAACCTAGATAATGCCTAAGTACCCCCGATTCGAATTGGGACGAAACGGCGGGATTATTTTTAAAACGACCCACTCGGATGGGCGACCGAATGTATTTCGAGAGAACCCCCGTTCCTTGATTTTCGGTTCGCTCAGCTCGCTTTTAACTCGCCGGTTGCACTGATCCAACGAATCGCCGTAACTACTTATCGTTGCAAAAATTGGCGACGATTCTGGGTCGAGAAGGAGCACGTGGGACAGGTCAGGGTGCGAAACCCTTGGGGTATGGCTCCGCGAGGTAGGTCAGGGTTATGGAGGTCCACGTGGACCCGCGAGTCACGATCTCTCGGGACGATTTAATATCAAATAAAACCACCGAGAGTCCCCAATTTTTTCCACATTATTTTTAATAATTCAACGCGACCTCAGAAAAATTCTCACCGATGCATAAACTTCGCGATGCTTAACGAATCCGGGTCAAGCGGTTTTCGCGAATATCACTAACGAGAACGCCGTGCGTTCGAGAAATTTTCGAAATATATATATACACACACATATATATCTCGAATAAGTGTGAGGTGCATACCCCGTAATTAGTGGGATGCACTTTGAGAGGAGAGGAGAGGAGGATGCTGCGGGGTGACGTCGGCGGGTGGGAGGGGGTTGGGGATAGGGGTGGGGGATGCCTCGGTGGACCGTCGCTCCGTAGTCGCAGTCAGTGTGCTGCCAGACACCGGACGGTGCGCGTCGCCCGCGTCGCCTCGACCGTCTCTTGTCGCCTATCCCTCTCTCTCTCTTTCCGTTTCGCTCCTTGTTCCTCGGACGGACGCCGATCTCTTCCTCTCTCTCTCTCAGGAGTGCCTTGCGCGGTCGATATATCGCGAGATATCGCGGGATATCCCGAGTTATCTCGAGGTGGACGCGCGGTCGTTGCTCCTGGGCACGGTCTCTCGGTGGCGAACCCTCGGGAACTCTGCGTACCCTGGTCCCGTTAATCCCGTGGGCGCACCTTTCACGCGCGCCGCTCATACGAGCCGACCCCTCCGATTGGTCGAGCCGGGTCGCGGTCCCGCGCATGCGCGATCTCTCGGACCTGCGGAGAGGAGAGGCAGCGCGAGGGACGTCAGTCGTCGGAGACGGTCGCGCGCGGAAGCATCTACGGGGTCGAAGAGGAGATAAGTGGGAGGATCGATACCACCGAGTCGATATCTCGAGGCATCCGGAGTCCCCGAGAGGAGGATAGAAGCCGTCGATGGACCGCAGTGGATGTTTCCAAGGATACCTGGGATCGATAATCGATCGATAGAAGGGAATCGGAGAGGTTAGGAGCTCCTCCCTTGGTCGCTGGATTTTATTCCAGGAGAGAAGGGTAAGGGAGAGCGGAGGAACCGGTGCGGTCGGCTCCTGGACCTAGGAAGAGACCGGAAGTCGTGCCGGAAGTCGGCGGAAGCGGTCCACGGGAGTCCAGGGGAAGGTACGCGGCCATCATTCCCTCCATCCTGCACCGGCTTACCGAGGTGATGAAGACTCGGGCGATCAGCTGACTAGCGGACCTCCTCGGGGGCCGGATGGGCGTCCAGGACGGTCGACACGAGAAACTGAGGGACCTTGGACGGGAACGACGACCGGAGGACTTCTCGGCCATGACTTTCGGCATCTCTCTGCAGAACGACAAGAACCTACGGTTCGCCGACGACGCCCCGATTCGGTATGACCCGTTACCGGGACATCCACGCTGAGAAATAATGATTTTCATCGAACCGGAGAAATATCCCCTCGGTAGCAACGAGATGTTTCGGTCATTTCCAGGAGTTAATTATTTCACGGGATGGTAACAACTGATTTGAGTGGAATAATTAATATTTTGGTTAATGGAATACTTCAATCAAGGAGATATTTCTCTGGGTCGGTGCGTTTTTTTTTTTCCTTGGTATGATGATAAAGAATTGAGAGCAAATGAGGTTTTTAATCGACGCCCCTTTTTTCATCCACTTGTCACACGTTTAGTTAATTATTAACGATCGCTACGAATTTATGGGATGCCGGGAAATTTCTGTCGAAATAATTATTTAACACCGTATGCAAATTATACACGAGGTCAGGAGGATGCTTTCCAGGGTAGGGGGCAACAGGAAGCACGCTTTCGTTTTCTAACCGTGAAAGTTTCGAAGAATCACCGAAAACTCCGTGGAAACGTTGCGACATGTTTGTTTGTTTCTTTCTTTTCGTTCAACCTCGAGATCCCCGCCGCGATTTCCGGGCTTGGCGAAATTGTTGGCTTAATTTGTTTATATTTGATACACGCGCGTATATGGATTCAGAATACCGGAACGATAGGGAATATCGGTGAAATTTGTCGATTCCGATTTTTTATTTTCCGCCATTACCCTCGGTACGCTCGGAGGAAAGTTGGATATTTTCTCTTTTTTTTTCTCTGCTGCGTATCACCGGTGGCGACCTTTGTCGGTTTCATGGCCATTTTCTTGAGAGCCTTCGGTTTTTACTATCAGTCCGAGGGACCCCGTTGTGCGCATTTATCTCGAGTTAAGTACTGCTTGAACGATAATGAAAAACAAAGAAAAAAAAAAGCTACTCGGTACACGTATAGAGGAACCATTATCTCTTCCTTTTTTTCCTTCTCGCCATGAAAATCCCGTTTACGGCTACTCTCCTCGAGAGTTGGCCAAGTGATCCCTCGCGCGACCGTAGATCTCGTCCCGCGACTTAAATAAATATATAAAGCGACGTGCAACCTTTTCACATAGCGTTTAACTTTTCCTACGGAAGTGCCGTTTCCTGTTTATCGGTCGGGGCGAATTGCGGGAACTTTGACGGGGGTTAACGGGGGGAAATTAATTAATTTCAGGGCGCGTCGCGGTTCCAACGAGGGGAGATGTAGGAGTTCGCACGGACGGGTCGAGTGGTGGAGGTTGTGCCAGGGATGTAATAAGGCCAAGACGAGTTTCCGGTTCGAATAATGAGACGATGCACTCGAGGGGAAGAAGTGCACGATTCCCTTTGCCGGTTTCGATTTTCCGACGACCTAGGTGCAGTCAATTTTTTTTTCTTTTTTTTTTTACAAGCTCTGAAATTACGTCGGGACGTCGAAGGAATCGGGGTGGATGTCTTGCAGTCGAGGGAATTTTATTTCCGACATTTTGTTAGAATCACCAGGCCTTATCGAGTCGATACTAATGGCCGCAGAGCTAGAATGCACAAAGAGCGTTCCGGCATATTCCGGGCACGTATCGGTCGCGACAAAGCCCTCGCCGAGGTTGCAGTCAAGGCTGTTGGAAAGGCAAGATCTGTTTTACCGACGGGGAGGTTACTCACCTCGCTTCTTGGTCCCAAGGTCGCTCCAATTTGCGCGTTCGTTCGGCCGGCCTCGTTTAAGGATCGCGATCGGCAACTCTTGGAAGGCCGAGATATCGGGACTACGTACTCGGGGAGTCATCGCCGAGGACCTCTGACCCGGGTCGATAAGACCCCGATAATGCCATGAAAAGTGTCGAGCAAGGGGAAGGGAAATTCTAAACTCGGAACAGTCGAGATGGGAGACCAAAGTTCCCGGATAGAACTCCCGACTGAGCTCTTCCACTCGGTTTAATTACATCTCCGCGTTCTCCACTACGTCCAATGCATGCCAGAAAACAGTCGAAAGACGAGGGATAATCCCTCGGTACTCGAGGAACGCCATTTTGCGTTATTAATCCCCTATCGAGCAATTGCGCGCTCCCTCCCCGTCAAGACACTCCTCGCTTCCGTTCCTCGGGAAAATCCCGGTTTAATCCCTCAGAACGTAGGAATATCGAAAAACGGTCGAGACAAAAGTTACTACCCGCGAAGTTTTGCGTCACTTTTGTAGGAGGCGTTTTTCCATATCTCGAACCCCCGGGGCGGAAAGTCGACGCGGAATCGCGGAGTGTGCACAGGTGCACGCTGGCGGGCCAGTCCTGACAAAATCCTTTGTTTCTTTTCCTTTCCTTCTGTTTGACGCAACGCCCAGCGGATCTGCGGAAGAGCTGCGTTTCGTGCCACCGGGATTTCGTCGGCACGCACCTGCCGCGCGGCATTCGCACGGTAAATTATTTCCGCGGTGCGCATTAGTCGCGCTCTTTGCGCAACTCCTCGGGAGTGGAGGAAGTAGCGCGGTACGAGGATGCTCCTCGGAGCGCGATATCATTTCGTCGAGGTAGACTAAAAATCAAGGAAAAAAATTGGGGAACCTCCTCCCTACCTCGGGAATAATTCTCCTTCTCTTTCCCTTCGAACCTTGCATCGTAATCGGGGAATTAACGAGTCGCGGGGGGTCCCAGCGGATGTGACGTCGAGCCTGCGCGCCAAGTGCATAATGTCGCACTAGAGCCGTTTCGGGATGCATAAGCGTTTCTCTACCTCCGGTCGGAGGAACGATTGATTGAATGGAATTAATTGAGGGATGTGTAACCCGATGTCTCCGTTAAACAAACGCCACGTGTGGATTTTCTCGCGATGACGTCCAACCAGCCGATTTCAGATGGCAAACTTCTGGGCGTCCTTTATTCTCCTCTTCTTTATTCTTTTTTTTTTTCTTTTCCTCGCAATCACGCGCACCGAGATGTCGTAATTGTCGGCGGGGAACCTGTCGCCGTGTGTGTATCTTTTGCTCGTGCCGTTGGTTTTAATCGCGAGCGGGATTTTCAGTGGCAAGGACGCGTTTATCTCGGAGCTCTCTTTCGTTCTGCGTTTCGATTTTCCTACCGATTTTCCTGCTGATCGAGGTCTCTATGGGGTCCCTATGGTGAGTCCTCCTTATCCAGATATCCTGTCAGGGATCATTTTTCTCCCCATGGGTACTAGATCGAATTCGATCGATCGGGGGGGTTCCGGCGATCGATCGATCTCCCTAGGCTCTGGGGGGGGCTTTCAATCGAGTCCCGGCATTGTTCTCGCGACTAGTGTGTTTTCCCTGCTGTCGGGGGGAACAATGGTCCCTGGCATCGGAAATGTACGGTAAATCAGCCGGTCTTTATCGTTCCGTGTCGACGACCGCTCACGGCAAGGCCGGATCGGAGTGGATAGAAAAACACCTCGATCATTGTGTCCGAGCGATTAAACGATACCTGGACGTCGTCGTCTCGAGGACTACTTCCCTCCTGGGCTGATCTTGAAAGGGATCCTCCACTGAATAAATTTGATTAGACGTTTGTTTATTTTTTTTTTATTTTATTCCTTGGAGAAAACCCGCCTCGGGACCTCGCGGGGAGGACTCGAGGTGCCTCCGATCGATTGTAATCGATCTGGTAATTTTTTTAACGGCCACGTGGGAGGATGCGACGAGGGGTCCAGAGGGTCGGCGAGGATGGCCCGGTGCCAAATTAATTTTCCGCCGAGTTTGTCGGATCGATTCTGCCGCGAGGCATAACGTGGACGACGCAAGGTCGACGTCTCTATCTCTCCCGGTCGACGGGAGGAGGAATAAAAAGAGGTCCTTCCTCGCGGTCAAGGACTCGGAGGCGCTTATCCGATCCTCTGGTGGATTTTAAAATTCGCCCGAGGAACTGCAACTCCGTCGGACTGCGTCGGGAACCGCGTCCCCGGGGGGTGGAGCTCCTCGGGGCACCTCCGGTTCTTTTCGACCGGGACTGTTTCCCGGGGAAGACTTACCTGGAAACTTCCACACGGACAGGTGAATCTTTGATCGCCCCTGGGAACTGTTCTGCTGTTTCGTCCGCGCGGTTCTGATGGAAGGAAGGGAGGAAAGGGGCGCACCTTAAAGGACCCCCGAGGTTCTCGTTTGCGTAATTGCCGGGGTTTCCGCGACCTGTTTTCAATTCTCCCCGACGCCCGCCATGTTTTCCTACCCTCCTCGACGTCCTTTTTCCCCTTTTTCTTTCATTTTTCTCTTTTTTGCCCCTCGCTTTTCCGGCGCCCCGGCATATCGACGCGGTTTTCCGTCACGGGGGTTAACGAGGCGCACCCTTCATTATGCAACCCTGGACTCGGTGCAACGGAGGGCGGTTTGACGGTAATTGGGCGGCGAGGGCGCGAAGTCATAATTGAAATTCTCCGATCCTTTGCGATTTTTCTCATTCTTATTTTTTCTCACTCTATACATCTCCGTTGCTCCGATGCCCTATCGCGGATTTTTCGTAACCCCGCTTTATCGGAGCGACGACCGATCGCTTTTTTTTTTCCCCCCTTTTTTTCCAATGCGCAAAAACCCGGTCTTGGCGATGAATCACGACGTGCATCCGTGCATGCACCGATGCACGCGTGCAGCGTTTTTCTGAGACGCAGCGCAGCGTCTCGACGTCGGGAGCAAACGGTGACTAATCGTGGATCGACATTATCTTTTCTTTTTAACTGGACGGCGGGTACCGACGTACATCTCCAGCTTGGAAGTGCAGCGATGCACTTGCAACGATGCACTTGTTCGAATTCTTGGAATATTTTTTTTTTTTTTCAGTCGGTGATAACGATGAATTTTTATATCAATTTTTTGGGGGGTAATCTGGAGATTCTGGGATGGCTTGGAAATTTGATAGCGACGGAATTTGATCGGTGACGATTATTTTCATACGATTTAATCGTTCTTCCAGCGTCCTTGCAGCGATGCACTTGCTCGAATTTTTGGAATATTTTTTTTTTCAGTCGGTGATAACGATGAATTTTTATATCAATTTTTTGGGGGGGTCATTTAGAGATTCTGGGATGGCTTGGAAATTTGATAGCGACGGAATTTGATCGGTGACGATTATTTTCATACGATTTAATCGTCCTTCCAGCGTCCTTGCAGCGATGCACTTGCTCGAATTCTTGGAATATATATATTTTTTTTCAGTCGGTGATAACGATGAATTTTTATATCAATTTTTTGGGGGTAATCTGGAGATTCTGGGGTGGCTTGGAACTTTGATAGCGACGGAATTTGATCGGTGACGATTATTTTCATACGATTTAATCGTCGTTACAGGCCCAACACCGTCTCGGCCGAGGAGGGGATGCTGACCGGCGGCCTCGGGGCGAAGCTGAAATGTCCCACCCCGATCTCTCGATTAAGGGTCGAGAAGATCGAGGGGGGTCTCATGGTGGCGGGGGTTGTCATCGCTGCCAACTGCCAGATCGCTCTTCCTGCCTTCGGGTTCCTCTTCATGCTCGTCGGCGCCGTCCTCACCGGTTCGTATTTCTCCCCTCGACTCGAACATAAGTCGACTTAACCCTTAACATGTTAACTCAATGATAACAGACCTAACGATAACAAGTTGGCTCAGCCCTCGTTCTTCATTATCTTTTTTTTTTTTTTAACGAAGCAACGGGCGTCACGACGTGCCGTCCAGATTTATTCGCCGCGGAATTTATGCGCCGTCTCACGCGTTATTGACTTGCAATTCGCCATTGTTTCTTTCTTTTTTTTTTTTTTCACTTCTTTCGAGTACGACCGGCTCGCGCATTCGCGTGATTTATCCGTAGCGTGGGCTTGACAGAAATATCGTACCGATAACGAGGCTCGAGGTGTCGCTTCCCTTGGATATTTCTCCGTATGTCTGCCCGCCATTAATGCCGGCTGACGAATCGCGCGGATATTTATTTATTTATTAATTTATTTACCTTTTTCTTTGCGTCGCGAGGGATTCATTTTAACTCGACCCGACGAGGGAAAGCTCTGAATGTTTCATGGGGAATAATTCCATACAATTGGAACGGAAATAGAGGAGGAATACGTTGACTCGGGTCTCCAGGGTCTGCCGACGATTCCGGAATCGTTTATCGAAAGGTCGATCGATCGCCACGCTGAAAATACATATCTCATCGATAACTCGGCAGGAAAAACCTGGATGTGTTTTTATTTTTTTTATTTTTTTTTTATTCGTTTTCGAATTATCGAATATTTATCGGGGAGTATGGATCGCCGTTTTGGGAATTCCTATCTTCGTCGGAATTGCCGTCAGGGATTTCCGGGGAAGAAGAGCCATCCCTTCGGGGTCTTCATTAGATTATTCGGCACCGCCTAGCGGAATGGAAATTTTCTCTGATAATTTTCCTGCCCGGGCTGATCGTGCCCTAAGGGGAAAATTCGATTTTCCCTCCACCTTCGCAGGAAGGGGTCTTGGAAAACCCCCCTGGGCGGCCGTACCGGAAACGGGAAAAATTCCCCACCCAGACAGGAAAGATGGAAACCTTAATTTCCCCTCGTTTCTAAACTAAGATCGTTATCCGAGGATTGCGTAAATAAAATTCCGCCGCGCGTGGTAGGTGTCTTCGCTGCACCTGCTTCGAGAGAGGCATTAATTCGTGGAGAATGGCGTTACGTGGCCACTCCAGGAATTAAATTCCCTTGTCAAGTCCAGGTGGCATGACTAATTGTGCATGCCGCGAGGAAAATGAGAGACTACGAGTCGATTCTTGGTCTTTATGCCCGGAAGGTACGGTACAATAACTCAAAGAGTATTTTTCTTCGTCCGCCATCTTGGATCCTGCAGTCGGTCGGTCGTTTCTTTCCGTGCACCGTTTTAGGCCGTGTAAATGGGATGGCCCCTGTTTCTCGAGGCTCGGGGGGGCACTGGAATTTCAAATTAAGGCCGACTGCAGTCCCGGGGGTGATAAACCTTCGGATTAGGGCGGTAATTCATCGGGGAGAGGCGTTACGTACCCCGATCGCGAAGCCCCGGGGTCGAACTCGCACAACTCGATTACGCCGAGTCGCTGACTTTGCATTCGCCGCAGCGTCCACGGTCGAGATAAACGAGTTGATTTAATTCCTCCCCTCCTAGGCCGAGCGACGACCCATTTCTTCGTCGTCAACATATCCTCCGCGTCGGCGGTCGTAGAAAAAGAGACCCATGAGAGAGGCGACATTTCCCCCCGGTGGGAGGGGATCCCTCGATCGGGCTTCGATTCGAGAGATCGAAGGTCGATCTACTAGTTGACCCAGGGTATATACCGCGTGCGTGTCAACGAGTAGCTTGAGAACCTCTCTGCGCGGACACCGACCTCGAAGAGCGCCGCCTAACCGATGAGGAGGTCTCGTCCGGTGTCTGCCTCTCTCTCCCTCTCACGGGATATCCCATAGTGCCCTCTCGCTCGCTCTCACAGAGCGCCCTATCCCACGCGAGACCGTCGCCTCTTGAAAATCCGAAGAAGCCGTGTCTAAGCCCCGGATGGATGGGAATTTGTCTGGAGATTTCCCAGTCGTCGGTGCATGAGATTCCCGAGATTAAACGCCCCCCGGGGGAGGCCGACGACGGGGATGAGGTACCTCGCGTAGACGTTGACGGTTCGCGAAAGGCCGCTGGCCGCTGCACCGTCATCTCGGGCCTCTTCTCCTTCCTATAGGAAGACGGTGGACCGTTGTTGCCAGCCGATTTATCGAAACCGGTCGGTCCCGGTCTTGGGGCGCCTCCTCTCCTCGACCGGATGCCGACGTCGATTTTCCTTTCGTCTGAATCCCGGACACCCGGGAGAAAGAGCCTAGTTTCCTTTCGTTGTCACTATCCTCGTTCATTTTAAGAGGTGGGGTCACCCTGGGGGTGACGAGGTGCACGACGCCTCCTCTCCGTCGGCATGGAAATTCGGATTTCGGAGACGGGAGGTCGATTTATCAGTTGATTGTTTTCCAGCTGCGTCCTATCGGGGTCCTGGGGAGGACGAGGACAAGGACTCCTATGCGGCGAGGATAGCCTTCACCGGGAACTCCAGGATCCTGGGGCCGATCTGCATCGTTGTCGGGGCCCTCATGCTGGCTCTTGGAGTCCTCCTCTGCATGCTGACCAGACGGGCAAGGAGGAGGGAACGAAGAGTCGGTTTCCACTGTCCGTTGCACGGGGACTTCTATCCGTTGAGCCCGGTCCAGGGTGTCAAGATGCTCGGTGAGTGGATCGCCGTTGTGGGCATGGACCTGGCAGATAGAGGGGAATTTCTCCCCGGGGGGAACGCCGAGGAGAAAGTCCCCTCGATTAATCTAGACCGATTAAGATCGATGGAAAGTTGTTTCCATCCGATGGGCACTTTTTACACTCTCCTGGGCATCGAAAGGCGTTCCTGGATCCCAGGCTCGGGGTCTATTAGATTTCTTCTCTTCTTAAATATACGTACCCTGACATTTTTTTTTTTTTTTTTTTTTATTAGATATGACGATTTCGTTAATTTGTACTCCTACCGATGGACGGCTCAATTGGGCCGAATTTAGGGCGAGGTTAGGGCACGACGGAGGCTAACCGGATTGACGGAATTTAGGCTAATGCGAGTCTATCAAATTATTCCCTTGGGGAGGCTGATCGCGCCTCCGCAATTGCGAGCCGCTTTGTTCCAGCCGGCCGGTGTTCGATAGGAGCCTATACGAGTACCAATCCCATCTATATCTTCCAGCCTGAGTCACCTGAAATTTCCAATCGATCGGGAAAGGGATCATGTCTGGAGAGAAAAATCCCGGAGGATCGCCCATTTTCTTATTTCTTGCATTAGGGAAAGTCTTAGAGGTTTCCCAAAAATGGTATGTCTCCCGTTGCAGGGGTTCCTGTGTACTTTGGGTTCCTTTTTTTCCCCTTGCCGGGATTCGGGTCAATTCGAGCTCGCCTTTGCCGCTGAGGAAGACTCCGGGTAATCCGCAATTAGAGACCGATTGAACGATAAGGGGTCTCGGTGAGATCGGCGGGGGGAATAGGTCAGCGACAAGAGTCGCTTCCGGGTAACTGGGTCGCGCCCTCGGTGCACTCCCGGGGTCCATGACATCTGTTGCCCTCGGGGCTGAATCCCCTCTTCCTCTCCTCCAGGATCATCCCTCCCGACGTCGGTCCTCGTGACGTAAGTACGGACGTGCGGCCCGACCCGGGATGGTGCCCTGCAGTCGGGGAACCTCGACGGTTCGGGTTATTCCATCCCTTGGGTGAATAAAAAAATGATCGACCTCCACCGCGACTTCCAGGGTGTCTTTCGGCCCTCTTTATCCACGATGCATCTTGCAAGTGGAGGCCTCGAGGGAGAGGAGGAAAATTCGTAAGGTCAGACGGGGTGATTAATATCCAGATGACCGGGGAAAAAATTCTAAACGCCCGTTTGGGGGAGAGCCAGGTCGGGATGATTTTTTTTTCACCCAGGTGCAGCGGGCTGGAGGAGGATTTCTGGATCGGATGGAGGTTTACCTTCACCTTAGGGGCGAGAGGGTCACTCCTCGGGGTCGAGGTCGCTTCCTAGGTTTCTCTTGACGTCACTTTCCGCGACGTCATGATGAACTCGGCCGCAGGAAATGTCCGAGGGTTGAATATTGATATCCCGGGCGGTCGATGGCGTCGGTGTCTCCGTGGTGGAGGGTTCCAGGGTGCTTATACCTTGTTTCTCTTCCCGATTACAGGAGTCACGGGCAAGGACGAGGGCAGCTGGTCCAGGATCCCCTGCCTTAAGGGCAGGAGCAACGGAAAGGCTGGTGGAAATGGGTCCTCCGGTGGACACGTGGGCCCTCCTCAGTGTCCGCACTCCGTCATCAGCAGCACTCGCAGCTCCGTCAGCAGCTCGCCTCTTAGTCCGTGTCCCACCCCGATGCCGTTCCTCGTCACGTCCGGCTCCGTCAGGTGAGAGCTCACCTGGGTACCGGGAAATCTGCGAGGACCTCGAGGAAGCGTCGATAGGACCGTACATCCTTAGATCGTGGACAAACCTCCGCATGGAGATCATAGAAGATACCCCGCAATTTATGGAACAATTAATGGTCCGACTCGAGTGTACTCAATTTAGAAGAGACTTTTGCAATTTATCGGTGTGTCTTTTAGTCAAGATGCGACATTCGTGTCGTTTTTAAATGACTCGCGGGTTGATAAGAGCTCTTCCCTATTTCCGTACACGCGATATGGACCTATCTTGGTGGCGGGCGGAAATACCCGCTCTTGGTATTGATCCCGGCCCGGGGATTGAACTGTAACCTTGTTCTTCGGTTTTCTACCGACAGACATTTCTTTTCTATAATTATGAACGACGATACGAGTATGATGTCCCATTGCGTAGAACGGAGGAGACGGGTACTCGGCCGAGTATGCAAATTTAACGAAACGTCTCCTGTGTTGACGGACCCTGTAGAGCGATTTTTAAGATTCCCGCCGCTAAGAGGTTTAAAAAAAGAAAAAGGGAAATGAGGGAGCAGGGGGCGAGTGCAAGAAATGCAGGAGGGCTCGCTGCAACGATGAAAATAAACCTCCTGGGTGTATTTATATTTCACGAGAGTCCATAACCGCCGACGTGCCGTCTCCGTACTCGCCCTTCGGTGCGGCCACATCCGGTCGGGTTTTCCGATATAGGAAATTCGTTACATAGAGTACAGACCGATGCCAAGTTACATGCATTACGCCCGCGAGCTGTCATGTCCACGTGGTCGGTACTTTCACTCCTCTTCGCGTGTAAATAATATTTTTGTAATTTTTTCTTCTTCTATTTCTGAGTCGATATTGTATTCTTCTTTTCCGTTTTCCGATATGGGAAATTCGTTACATAGAGTACAGACCGATGCCAAGTTACATGCATTACGCCCGCGAGCTGTCATGTCCACGTGGTCGGTATTTTCACTCCTCTTCGCGTGGAAATAATATTTTTCTAATTTTTTTTTCTTCTATTTCCGAGTCGATATTGTACTCTTCTTTCCCGCGAGGGGTAATTTAATTTTCCTACGCAAGAGTCGTTGATTAAATAGTCGCTCCATTAACTCGCCTTACGGGGGCAATTTCCCTCGTGAGATTAAGTGCTACCTACTTGCTCGTTGCGTTTTGTCGATCGCGGAGACATTTAATTTTCTGCACGCCATTGGTCGCTCATCGAGAAATCGATGCTAGGCAGGGAAGGGCAGGATCGAAGAGTGGATGATTTATATACCATTTTTTTCGTTTAAACCGACCGACACTCGCGATTAATTAAAGGCAAGGCTTATTGTCCGAGTTTTTCGACATTTTCTTGTTCACGTTGAAGTTGCCCTCCGCAAAGTGATTTCATCCTGACTTTCATCCCGCAAACGTTTAGCGTCGGTCGTCCGATCGTTTAGAGCGTTCTGCCCGGTCTTATAAATAATTCATAATTTGCTCGGTTCAATTTCGCGCAATGTCCACTTGATCGACTATTTCCCGTCCTGCGACTTGCATAACCCCAAGGATCTAACCCGGTGCAGATTCATCGAGCAATTAATTAAGCACCTTTAACCCGATAATCTTCACATTTCGTGGAGGGTGACCCTCGGAGGACGNTATATATAAAAATCAAGCGCGGATTAACGTCGAGGTTCGGGGGGCGAGAGAGAAATGATAAAACTGGCTTAATCGGTGAAAACGGTCCGGTGGATTTTCACTCGCGGTCCCCTGCGGATTTTAAAGCCCTCCTGCATTGGTGCACCGGTGCACCGGTGCATCGTTATGTCCCCGGGAACGGCGATGCATGAACGACCGCCGATAATGGCGACCCGGTAGGACGATAAGCTCTAAACGCTCAACCGGACGTGACGCGTCTCGTGAGCGATGCACCGGGGCTGCATATTGCACTTATATCCCTGGGGGGACGCACTTGTGGATTTATCGGATTTCGTCCCGACCGAGGGGGACATTTTAATCCCTTCCGCCGCCTCGTCGGGTGGAGGTGCTCCGAAAGAATTTCCATGTTAAGGTGATGTGAAACATCCTTCAAATCAGTCGATTCGAATACACTTTTTTTTTAAGGGTATTAGACCAAACTGTCCGAAACTTTGACACATCTAAGAGTTGTCCTGACACGTTCAACATTTGGATTTTTTTTTTTTATAATTTTTTAGGCCCTGATATGAGAATCGAAAGGGTCAGGACAATTTTACGAGGATTTAGAACACTCTGGTAATCGATAAACTCGCATTTGAACGGGATAAAGGCAAAAAAAGTGTTGTATGCGCTTCTTTGCTTGCGATTTCTTTATAATTATTGTACGAAAACCACAGGTGGAGTATGCCATTTGGTACAATACCCAACATAATTCGACCCAGCTGTCGATATAAAAAAGTAGGTATTTAGAAAGATCTTTTTTACCGACGTCGATCAAGTTCCTCGAGGTGTTTCACTTCGCCTTAAAGGGCCTTCAGGGTTTCCGAATCTTCCCTGGGGTGACACATTAATTTGTTTCAGCAGCGGCATGGTGCCGACCGTCGGAGCGAATCTTTCGCCCGATCAGACTTTCGGATCCATCAGGTCGCTTTCCGTGACGAGAGAAGTCGCAAGCTTCCCGCTGTCGCGTACACCTACGCCTCCACCACAGCACAGGTGAGTGTACTCCGAGTGATCAGAGTCGATTATCGATCACCTAGAATAATATTTCCCTGAGGCAATTGGGAGGTTAATTGTCCCCCCGAGTTATCGGAGGCCCTTAATTAATCTCTGAAAACCCGGCACGGCGAGAGGGAAAGGATCTTCCTCGGCACAAAGCCGAGATGCGCCTCGATGCATCGGATGCATGCATTATGCAGCTGTCGGCCCGGCGACGAGGACGACGCCGCGCGCATCCCCAATTGCTCGGCTGATTAATTACTCTCGGCCAATTAGTCGGAAAGTGACGAGCCTGTCGGGAATTGCGCAATTACGTACACGGGGATGCGCGGTACGTTTTATCGGCGGAAAAAATTTCCTCGGTGCAAGTAGAGCCGGGAATATCTGGTGTGCATCTCCCGAGGCGTACTCGTTGTTGCATTAAGTGCGACTTTGCGCCTTCCAAGGAGAGCCTACCTCGTCCATTTTATTCATAATATTATATAATATTAAAGATATCGGTCATCCGATGTTCCTGGGATTTTTCAAATCCCTCTGAAAGGACCCGAGAGAGGATACCCTTTTCAGAGCGGAAACGTCTGGCCGCCTCAATTTCCCTGAAAGCTGCTCTTCTACCGCGAATGTCCGAGGAGGAGCACTCCACCACGACCGCCGACTCCGTTGAGATAGGCAAAGGACAAAGGAAACGGCCCTGGAGCCCCATCCAGTCCTGGAGGGAAAAGTTCTTCCTCGATTAGCGGCTCCCAATTTTTTATACTCGAGGGACCGACCATTACTCGTCATCGACATCCGAATCGCCGTTCAAATTTCATTTCCGGGACGTCTTTCCAGTTATCGAGCTTCCATTCCCACGTGGCACGAGGTGCGTCACCGTACCCTCTCCTATGGTATATCTCCATGGGTCGACCCCATGGGAGAAGACCGGAAACTCCTCTTTTGTATGCGTGACGTCCCATGCGTGACGCCATTAAGTTTAAACGGGTCAATCGCCGTCTATGGTGACCGTCGAGCCAAGACTTCCTCGTCGAGGTACCTAGAGGAGGTTGTCAAGACGTACCTGCGTCACCGTACCCTTTCCTATGGTATATCTCCATGGGTCGACCCCATGGGAGAAGCCCGGAACTCCTCTTTTGTATGCGTGACGTCCCATGCGTGACGTCATTAAGTTTAAACGGGTCAATCGCCGTCTATGGTGATCGTCCTCGTCGAGCTACCTAGAGGAGGTTGTCAAGACCTACGATTTCTGTTCCAGGCCCGTCTCCCTGCCGAACCCGGAGAACCCTGGGGGAATCGGAAGTCCCCTCAGGGAGGCGTCTCCCAGGCCGGAAGTGCGCGTGGTGGCGCCTGCGCATCGACCGACCACCACCAGCAATGGGTCCGGCTCGGCTCCCAGTCGCAAGTCCGTCAGCATCCTGCTTCCCGAACGTACCAGCGGATGACCCCAACCTGGGTTCGTCCACCGCTGCGACGAGAACCCGCTCGCCATCTGAGACGTCTTTCCATAGCCCTGAAGAAAGGACGCGGATCTTCCCCGAGGAGATCTCCCTACCCCAAGACCCTCCACCGAGATATCCTCTTAGAGAACGAACGCCCTACGCGGTTTATTCTGCTCGGCGGACCGTAACCATCCGTCGACTTCCGGTCTATCCTGAGGAGGGACTTTTTAACTCGAGCTCCGGGGTTATTGTCTCTAACGGGAGTAATCGCTTCTCGGGAACTCGTCGAAATTGTATTGTTATCAGGGGGGGAATTATTTGATATGCTCCGGGATGAATTCGACCCCGTTATGGGAAGGACGAGGGGTGGAGTTAACTTGACGGATGGTTATGGTATTCGTTGAAGTTCCTGGGCACTTCCTTTGGGATCAGATCAGTGGGTTCCTTTTTTTCTTTTCGTCGGGATTTTCCGGAATCCCGGGGCGTGCAATGTAGCGATCGCACCCGGAAGAGGAGGTCTGGGGGTGGAGGTGTTCCCATCGAGGGATGGACCGGTAGTTTAAGTATAAGGACCTTTGGGGGAGGTCCTCGAAGGGATCGTCGAGTTGGAGGGTAGAGTAATCCAGCTTTCGGGTCCGGTTATCGGAATCCGTCGAACGATGGGACGTGGAGGACAACCAGGAGTCTTGGGGGCGACGTCCTCGTCTGCAGCAGTTCCTTCGAAGAGCGACTTCAGGGCGCAAGCTCGACCTTCCACCAATCAACCCCGAGCAGTGCTTCGGTGACGACAATCACGAGGAGGCGGTGCGTGGCCAAAACTCGAGCTGTCGATCTCGGAGACGCGATGCCGAATTACGAATCCGCAAGCCTGCGAAAATGGCGAGGGATGATCCAATTGGGTCGCCGAAAGGTCGGAGACCCCCAGGACGCCTCCAAATTGGATCGCATTCGGAAGACGTCGACGGCCTTCGCCGAGGAGGCTCTACAATGGTGCTGAGAATCCGGAAGAATGGATCTGTACGGAAGGGAAGGTCTGGCGAACCGGAAACGACCACGAAGACGGAAGCTTGGGACGCTGGGAACCAAGCCACGATACGTGGACGAGAAGGGCGAGGAATAAAAGGTTCTGATAGACTAAGGAAACCCGAAAATCATGTTATGCTCACTATTCCCCGCAAGCCGGGGAACGGGCTCCTCTTCGTCGTCGGGGATACATTATTGCAATGTGTCGTTGAATTTTTTTTCTGATTTATTTGGCCATTGTTACCCTTCACGAGCATCCGAAGCCTCGCACGACGGGGATGGGGACGTACATTGGCTCGCGGGGGGATTTTAAAACGATAAGTCTCTAGTCTTGTAAATACGTAGGTAGTCTGAGGATCCGGAAGGTTCGTCGAGGGTGCAGGAAGGGTGGAGGTGGGACCTAGGGGTGGCAAGGGCTAGGACTGGGGCGATTGTTAAGAACTTAACGGCGACTCGATGCGATCCCTGTTGCGGAAACGAGATTCCGCGGTGGCGGGAAGAATCCGCTCGTGGATCCCGCTTGCGGTTTTCTCGAAGACCGGCAAGGAGCTGGACTTTTTTTTTAAGAGCCTCTTCTTATGCGGTCCGAACAACGGTTACTAGCGAATCCAGGCCTCTTTGTAAACCTTGTTTAATGCCGGTTAAGGCGACGAGACTTTCTCCAACAATTGTAAATAATGTAACGATCTGATGTACTATCTACCGCAAGATGTGTGTCACGAGCGGGTTCCTTCGCCACCCGAGGAAATGTCGGACAATATAATTCTAGATATTGTAATCGTTTAGCGGTAATTAAGAGGCAATCCCGTGTAGCACCCCCGTCGCTGCTTGGAGTGCTAAACCCGTGGAGGTGTATACACGAGGCCATGGGAATTTGGACGAATCGCCGTATATTAATTAATATACGCGGGTAGAATTAAAGGTCGACGTCGGCCGCGATTTGACGAACTATAAGAGTCGACTTTAAGGTTTAATTTCCACCTTGTGCGAGGGATAGGGTTCGCGCGATGCTCAATACAGGGGTTAGAAGGGGTGCGAAGGTGGAGGCACCTTTTCTTTCATTTAAAAAAAATTTCTTTTTATTATTGCGAGATCTGAGAAAAATCCAACACTCCCTGGGGTTGAGAGAGGGCGAGTGCGAGTGTGCCAAATGCGTGATACCTTAAGCTCTAGCGCGATAATTGACTACTAATCAAATTTATCTTGTTAAGTGGAGGGACGTCTCTTCCCCTCAGGATCGAGCCGACGATTTTGAAGGGAACTTCTCTACGTGGGTCCCTAGAACTCTCCCGAATTTATCCGAGCTCACCTGGGGACGTTACTTGCCTGGGAAAAAAATCCCATCCCGCGGCGGAAACGTCCCCGGGTGATTTCCGCCTAACACGAGGTGGTGGATCGCACGGTACACGTATGCGCGTAAACGGTTTTACAATTGAAACGTGGAAGTGTCATCACCTAGGCCTCTGCGCGCGACCTACATCGAACGATTAATTAATTAATTAATGTCCGATATATATACGTACAGGTAACAGGTTAGAGTAATTGTAACGCGCCCCTTAGAGGCCTATGTGCCTCCTTACGTTTCCATCCCGAATGTGCGTTCGAGCTGATCCGTGGGCATCAATCTCCTGGGGGAAAGGAATAAGGTCCTACAGTGCGCATGCGAGTCCTGGAAGTAATATGCAAATCGTGCACCAGCACCCAACGTGCTCGCGAACGCGGACTCTCATGACCGGCTCGCGTTAGACACGTTTGTGATAGTACATTTAGACCTTGATTAAGGGATTAGAGATTAAGTCGTGTAACACTTAAGCGACCCACGGCACGTTTAAGGAGTCCACCTTGTTTCTTGGGAAGTCCTCTTCTTCATGGTGTCCCTCATCGTAGGACCGACGATTATGCTTCGATTAGGTCATTCGTCAATTTCATTGATTGCTCGGGAGCTGGGAAGGGGATTAATGGAGGATGAAGGTTCTGATTTTAAGATTTACTAGATTTTTGGGGGGCTTGGAGATTTCCATGGGGTTTGGCGCGACTTTTATGGCGGTATATGTATGTGCGCGAATGCTTATCATGTTATCATATACGCGAGACAAAGCCTTTCATCCTGACTTCGATGCCTATCGGTTCGAGGTTTACGTAATTTCTTTACTCTATTTTATTCCTTTTTTTTCCTTGTTATTCGTACGAGTAGTTTCGTTTATTCAAGAGGCTGATTAAGTTTACCGCGTTATGTCCGTCGATAGTAATCGGTTATCGGATATCATTTTGCGCGTCTTATCAGTACGCGTATATCTCTTTATTCTTCTTTTTTTTTTGTCTCTTCTTCATTGGAAATCAATGAACATTGTGGCGTCTGTTAAAGAGGCTGACTAAGTATAGACCCTTCTCCCGCTGTATACTTTCGATATTCGATATTACGCAGTTATTGTATGTTATCTATCGTTATGTTATACCGTTGTATGATATGCGACTCTGGCCTCGTTCTCGAGCGCGATTTTTAATAGTTTATTACCTCCGCCTTTTGCCGATGTAAATTCAGGATTTATTAAACTAAAGGAACGGGGAGCAGCGACCTCTTGATGCCGAGGCTCGAGCTCCGGATTTTTTAGCCGAGTGCAACAAACTGCATCGAGTGCAACAAACTGCAGCGAGTGCAATGCCGCTCGAGCCCGGCCTCACGTGGTCGTCGTTGAATAATTAAAAAAAAATACTTTAATGAACTTTGTTGAACAATTCCGACCTCGTTTCTCGAATTTACGTGAGGCGGCGTAAGCGAGTCGTGTAATTTCATTTTTTTTATTTATTTTTTATTTTTTATATTAAGGAGGTAATATGATAAAATGAAGTGAGCGAGCGAGAGAGCGAGTTTTACTTGAAATCTCTATATTAGAGTCCTTGGTGATTATTCAAAGGAATGGAAGCGATTTTGAAGGTTCTCTGAGAGAAGAATTGATAAGGGGGAGACGTCGCGTTTTGATAACGATTTCACGTAATTTCGAGGATCGCATGTCGAGTTTGCGCTTCGGGGAGGGCTCCCTGGATTTTTCTATCTATCGTTTACCTTGATAATCTCTTTTTAACTAGATTAGCGGCTATTATCATTGTGATCACGAGGAACGTCGGCGACTATTGATATTAAACTGCTACAGATATACTTCTAGTGATACCTTACTATCAGTGAGTAATGACTATCTAATAAGGCGCTATAATCAGTCTGTATCGTAAACGTCTCTCTTAACATTGCGGCAAATCGAATAGTGGGGTTTATTAACGTGGGAGAACATGCGGATGCATCGGATGAGGTGGGTTGGAGATTTTTCCCGAGAGATGACATCTCTACGAGGATCATTCGTCATCCCATGGAACCTTTCCTCTTTCCATTCCATTCAGGAGCCGCGACGAGAGGTTTTTCGATGAATTTTATACCCGCTGATAGTCGTGGCAGCCTTCTATGATTTTTAATCCGAGATCTTTCTCCTCCCCGTCCCTGAGAAAAGGCGACGCCATTTTGCGGGACGTCTCCCTTGCGTTTAGGCCCGACTCTGGATATTAAATATATATATATACATATATTTATTTGTATATTGTCGTAAGGAGAATACATCACGCATCTTGAGATTTCAGTCGGTGTTGTCATTCGAACCAGGTCAGGTCTTGACTATCCGGATATTTCGAGGATTTGCAGGATGTTTTTTGTACATGTCAAATGCATAGCGGCTAGGCGATAATTCAGAGTGTAATTGTATATAGGGTGTGAGGACATTTCCTCGGTACATGTCGGTGGGTAAGTGCTTCTTGGATATACGCTGGTTGTACCCAGGTTTACCACGCGTGGTAGGACTCTGCGTTTACCGACGTATTCCACTTTCGATGTACCGAGAGAGGAGTACCGAGTAATTGTTATTAGAGATGAGGAAGAGAAACTCATATCTTCTCTGTAAAAAAATCTCAGCCCAAAGGAGAGCTCAATTTGAAGAAAACAACCTTCCTCGTCGTACTACCCTGGTCGTGGTTCTCTGGATGTACAAACAAACCATTGATTACGCAGAATTGAGACTACTGTGCAATAAAGCCCACGTCTGGAGATCCGACTTCTAATCGGAGACTTGCTTCGGCCTCCGACATCGTTCTCGCTCGATTTACCGAAAGTAACGTTTACGAGCTCCAGAAATACTCGGTGTAATCATTGCGCGGGCATCAGAGGCCAGTGATAACAGCCAGCAACCTACGTCGATCTCCTACGTGGATTGTAACGCTTTAAGGTGGAGTGAAACCCCTCTTTAAAATCTGTCGATTCGAATACAACACTTTTTTTTTAAGGGTATTAGACCAAATTGTCCGAAACTTTGACACGTCACTCCTGATCATCTAAGAGTTGTCCTGACACATTCATTTGGATTTTTTTTTTTATTTTTTAGGCTCTGATATGAGAATCGAAAGGGTCAGGACAATTTTACGAGAATTTAGAACACTCTGGTAATCGATAAACTCGCATTTGAACGGGATAAAGGCAAAAAAAGTGTTGTATGCGCTTCTATGCCAAAACGATGGTAATGCGAGGTCTCGGAGAGACAATTAAATTCACCTGAAATTCACAGATGGCGCAGAGGGTCCCTCTGCAGTCAATTAGGGCCCCAGAAAGCATGAATCCAGAGGATTTCTGGAGTTTTACATCGATTTCTTGATAATGATTGTACGAAAACGACAGGTGGAGTACGCCATTTGGTACAATACCCAATATAATTCGATATAGCTGTCAATATAAAAACCAACGTCGGCAACGTAGGCATTTAGAAAAATCTTCTCTATCGACGTCGATCAAGTTCCTCGACGTGTTTCACATCACCTTAAGGGGATGCGAAAGTGGCGTGTCTCGTTCATGAAACTTCATTCATGAAATATCGGAAAATCATTGCGATGGCCCTGCGCATTTGTGTAATTTCGAGGGGAAAAAAATTGTGATTTCTTGTAAAATGTTTACCCTTTAGGCCCACGTTGACGCACCCTAGGGTGCCCGCTGCTCGTGAACGGCTCCGCGTGCGTCACGGTCCCCGTAGTAAGGCGATCAGCTGTATTAGTATTTACGTTGACGCGACATCACGAGGACCCATGGTGGGGTCCCGAGAGCCGGTCAGTCTTCTGCGGTCCGTCAGCCGTCGCGGTCGCCTGGGCGGACTGTGTTCGGTGACCGCCTCGACCACTTCTCCTTGGTGTCATCCCCGACCTCGTTAACTCTCCCGGATCCATTGTCCTCGGTAATTTTGACCTCATCGTCTTTGTAATTGTTAAGTGTCGTGATTTCATCCCCGAGCTCGTTAAGTGTCCTGATTTCATCCCCGACCTCGTTAACTCTCCCGGATGCATTTTCCTCGGTAATATTGACCTCATCGTCTTTGTAATCGTTTGTCGTGATTTCATCCCCGACCTCGTTAACTCTCCCGGATCCATTGTTCTCGGTAACGTCGACCTCATCGTCTCTGTAATCATTAACTGTCCTCACTTTCACCTTAGTACTATCGTCCACCAGGTCGACTTCGTAATCGTTAACTGTCCTCAGCGTCCCTAGCGACCTCACCAACCTCATCAACCTCATATTTCCGATTTCAACATCTTTTACTAATTCGCCTTCTTCGACTTTAACTTCCTCAGTCTCGTCGGTCTCGTCAACTACTCCGCGGCCCTCGCATGCGACCAGCTACAAGAGACGACCCGTAAGTTGCACCTAGATGCACTTTTTTTTTTTCAACACCTACTATTCTATAGAAAATGATGGAATCGGACCCTAGATAAAAGTTAGTCTTCATTTCCGTTCTGTCCCCACCTAACCAAGTACCTTTGCTTCGGTTCGTTACGTAACAGCGGTAATGGTACCGTTTAATTAAATGTCCGGGTATCGATGAAGTGTCAGAATCACCGAATTTTCCCCTGACAAATGTTTATCTTGGTTTTTGTTATCACGTCTGGGCTCGATTTAAGAGTTAACGAGGGATGAATCGCGTTAATTTCATTGCATCTCTGTGCGCTTAAAGGCTGTTAATGGTTTTTAAAAGGGTTTGGTAATGTAGATAAGGGTCGTTAACGGGCTCTTTTAGGGGACGACGCCTAGGCGAACGAATTGTGGAAACGTTTGCAATGTGCCGGGCAATTCCGCAGAATTGAACCGCCGAAAGTCTCTTAATGGCAGTTCTCTCCTCTTTGTCTCTCTTTCGGAGAGATGGTTGCAGCTGTCCTTACCGTTTATTACGGTCACTCAGTCGTTGATCGCCGTCCAAGGTTGTCGCTGTTTAGGCATTTCGAACGAGCAAGCGGCGTGGGCCGGGAGCCAATGAGCTTGCTCAATTTGCTGCGACCGAGTCTGAAACCTGAGGAGCACCATGGGGAATCGGTTTCTTGGGCCTAACTCAAAAGCCGAAATTAAGTTCCACGATTTATCGCAAATTTCCGCGGTTTTCGCGATTACTTTTGCCTGAAAGTCCCGAATTCGGCGATTTTGGTAGAGACCTCCTGACAAGTTTTGCCCTAGTTAAATAAATTGCCGATTTTAATATTAGGCCCAACTCAAAAGCCGAAATTAAATTCCCCGATTTATCGCAAATTTTCGCGTAGCTTTCGAGGTAACTTTTGCCCGAAAGTCCCGAATTCGACGATTTTAGTAGAGACCTCCTTACAAGTGCCCTAGTTAAATAAATTGCCGATTTTAATACTGGGCCTAACGCAAAAGCCGAAATTAAATTCCCCGATTTATCGCAAATTTCCGCGGTAACTTTTGCCCGAAAGTCCCGAATTCGGCGATTTTAGTGGAGACCTCCTGACAAGTCTTGCCCTAGTTAAATAAATTGCCGATTTTAATACCGAGCTTTTATCATAATTTTCAAATTTGCAATAATTTTTATCCCGTCTTGGAAGGCCGAAAAGACTCGAATTCGCTTCGTCGTCGTAGCGACTTTACGCGAACGAGGCGACTCGTGATCCAGTTATCAGGAAGTTACTTTTATCATCTGCCATTCCATTAGCGAGGGCACTAAGCACTCCCAGAGTTGAAAACGTCGAATTCTCTCACGCACTTACGTGGAAGCTTTTAAACGACGACCTCGGACCGTAGTCTTCGACTGTCGGCCGCACTACGGGATGTTAAAAAATGTTTTTCTCCAAAATCCAGATTTTTTATAAGGGTTAAAATAATCCCTAGGTGCTCACGGGTCTTGGGTAGAGGTTTTGGAAAATCTGGTTTAGTTGAATCGATTTAATGGAGGGTTTCGTTTCACCTTAACACATAGGAGAAGCGTCCCGTTGTACGGAGTTGCGTTCGTTGTGCAACGCCGTCGGGATTGCGCAACGTAACTTTAACTATCGGAATAGAGAACGCAATTTGTTGCTGTGGATGTGGGCCACCGGAGGCTGGTTCTGGTCTGCGGTTTTTCAGGCTGACCACCATGGCGAGTCGGAAGGTACTCGACCCATAAAGCTTATAGAAATGGAAAGGACAACCTCGATTAATAGTTGATGCTATCGGTCGCGGTGACGCTTCATGTAGTCGGTTAATAGTTACCAATTAGCATATATGTGCCCATAATTATGAAAGTGGTCCGAGTCAAAATTAAAAAAAAAAAATGAGTTTATCAGTTATTTCACGCCATATTATTTCAAACGAAATTAATTCAATGTAATTTCGAAACGAAAAATGTATGACTTAGACCACCTTCATATGGGCACATATGTGCACATATGTGCCCATAATTATGAAAGTGGTATAAGTGAAAATTAAAAAAAAAATTAGTTTATCAGTTATTTCACGCCATATTATTTCAAACGAAATTAATGCAATGTAATTTCAACAACAAATAAAAAATATATGACATATGTGCCCATAATTATGAAAGTGGTCCAAGTCAAAATTAAAAAAAAAATTAGTTTATCAGTTATTTCACGCCATATTATTTCAAACGAAATTAATTCAATGTAATTTCGAAACGAAAAATATATGACTTAGGCCACTTTCATAATTATGGGCACATATGAGCCGCTCAGTGCACACATCGACTAACTCCACTTTTTGAAAAATCTTACATTTAGATGTCAAAGCACTTGGTATAGTCTTAACTTTTTATATTTATAATATCTCAACTTTTTGTTTTATGGAGTTAATCAATGTGTGCACTGAGCGGCTCATATAATGAATGAAAAGTTAATTATTCCGGGTCTACCGCGCTTACTAGTGTAAGTGTAATTGTTGACAACGATTACTGAACGCTAAATTAAAAAAAAAAAAATAGTATCGAAATTAGTGCTAATGAGAAAAGGTATTTAAATTATTTCCTTTGGAAATCTCGGTGGGGCTTGTAATCGGAAAAGTTTCTCATGCATCAAGTGACCACTTAGATCGGCATGCACATGGGAATCTTTTTAAATGCTTCAATTGCGGTCATTACGAGTAAAAATGCTGCTCACATCGTGCGAGGATAGAACACGTGTCGGATTACCTTGGGAACAAACTTTGTGCAAGGAATTAACGAGGAAGTGGTACTTTCGCTTTACACATAAACATTGAACAATTAATTGCTAACATTCAGTTGGAACAATTAATTGCTAACATCCACTAGGAACAATTAATTGCTAACATTCACTAGGAAGAATTAATTGCTAACATGCACTAGGAACAATTAATTTCAAACATCCACTTGGAACAATTAATTACTAACATCCACTTGGAACAATTCATTGCTAACATTCACTAGGAACAATTAATTGCTAACATTCACTAGGAACAATTAATTGCTAACATTCACTACGAACAATTAATTGCTAACATCTACTAGGAACAATTAATTGCTAACATTCACTCCGAACAATTAATTGCTAACATTCACTAGGAACAATTAATTCCTCATAGTACAAAGCCTCTTATCAAGTAAAGAGGCCGTCCAAAAATTGCATCGCGCGTTAGACAAACGTCATACACGGATGCGGTTAATGTTTAATGGTTTTCAGCAACAGTACCCTCACTATACGATCATTGAATACTTTGCTCCCCAAAGACAAGGACGAAATTTATTGCTGGAGTGTTTGGTTATCTAGGAACGCCGCTGATACCTCGTTTGCGAGAAGGCGCGACCACCTAGCGGCAGTTTGCGGAACCTCCGAGCGAAATTGGTCGATCTCGTCGCATCTCTGTTAAATTCTTACCCACCACCAGAACCGTGTAACTAGTAAAATTGTAATAAACTTTAATAGTTACGCGGTTACCTTCTCCTCGCATGCATGCGATTACATTGCATAACCAGTAACTATATAAGGCAAGTACAACGTCGCATGTGTCCTGGATTACTCATCTCCATGCCAGGTCTTATTATACTTTGTGATTTCAAGCGTAATGCAAAAGTCACGGAGCAAGATTAATTCGGTTTTTTTTTTTATTCCAGTCGCATTTAGACCTCCAAGAGAAATCGTAATTTCGAGAGGCATTACGATACATTATGCGGTAATACGTAATGTTACGGTTATCGGTACGTGACATGAGCGGTACGAAATTTCCTCAATGTTGATAAGCGATGGGATGATGTGCAGTTATCGGTAGTTGAGTTCGAAGTAACGATGGGTTATGTCGATTTGTCAATATTGATACTACGAGCTACAAACAATATAGACTTCGAGGTAACGAAAAGGAAGAAATAATCTACCGAGACAAAACACGGGGCGATAACGTTAACTCGAGTCCGACGTTGATAGCGATTTTACGTTTCGAACGGAAAGTATTTCCTTCCCGAGATGTAATCTTAAGGTGAAGTCAAACACGTGGAGGAACTTTATCGACGTCGGTAAAAAAGATTTTCTTAAATACCTACGTTGTTTTTTATATTGAGTACTGTGCTAAATGTGCCCATAATTATGAAAGTGGTCTAAGTCATATATTTGTTGTTTCGAAATTACATTGAATTAATTTCGTTTGAAATAATATGGCGTGAAATAACTGATAAACTCATTTTTTTTTTTCATTTTGACTTAGACCACTTTCATAATTATGGGCACAAATGGCATACTCCACCTGTCTTTTTGGTGCAATAATTATAAAAAAAAATCGAAGTAAAACTCCAGAAATCCTCTGAAATTCATGATTTCCGAGGCCCTAATTGACTGCACACTCCACCTGTCTTTTTGGCGCAATAATTATAAAAAAAAATCGAAGTAAAACTCCAGAAATCCTCTGGATTGATGATTTCCGAGGCCCTAATTGACTGCAGAGGAACTCCTCGCGCCATCTGTGATTTCCGTGTCAACTAAAATTCCACTCCGAAACCTCAATTCCACCGGGAAACCTTGGGAATCCATGTCCAGAAGCCTCCGGATCGTCCAGTCGATCTAATCGATCAGCCAACTGCCTAGATGACAGTGGAGCGCCTTATCGCGAGGCTTATCAAGACCTTATCGTGCTCAACACCGATCTTACGTGTCTAATTGCCAGAAGATATGCCCCTCTTCGATCTTCTCTTCGAGTTTCGAGCCAAGTCCCAGATCGCTATCGGGAAAGGAGCCTTCCCATTGGTCCGCGCCTCCACCTGCTGGGAGATCATCAGCTCTTCGTTTCCTCTCCGAAGGTTTCCCGTCGACGGAGGAGGCCCGATTGTTCTTTGAGCTCCTTGGCGCCATCAGTTAGCATTCCGTCGTTGTGGGGTCCGAAACTTGGAAAAGAAATAAGGACGACTTTGAAGGAGACTGAGTTTTTTTAAACTACTGGCAGGTTTGCATTTGTCATGTTTTTTATTATTTGCAATTAATATTTTTATTATTTTGCAATTAATATTCGGGAAGGGACGGATGTATTTCTTCGTGCCATCGGCACTTAAGGTGAAGTGAAACATCCTTCAAATCAGTAGATTCGAATACAACACTTTTTTTTAAGGGTATTACACCTTTGACACATCACTCCTGATCGTCTAAGAATTGTCCTGGCACATTCATAAATCGATATACAATTATTAAAGGCTCTGATATGAGAATCGAAAGGGTCGGGACAATTTTGTGACAATTTAGAACACTCTGGTAATCGATAAACTCGCATTTTAACGGGATAAGGGCAAAAAAAGTGTTGTATGCGCTTGTATACCAAAACGATGGTAATACGAGGTCTCGGAGTGAAAATTTAATTCACCTGGAAATCACAGATGGCGCAAGGGGTCCATCGATGTTTCACTTCACCTTAAGATCGATGAATAATGTTGAGCTCTCATATTTCGTTCGATATTTCGTACGAAAACGACTGGTGGAGTATGCCATTTGGTACAATATCCAATATAATTCGACCCAGCTGTCAATATAAAAACCAACGTCGACAACGTAGGCATTTAGAAAAATCTTCTTTATCGACGTCGATCAAGTTCCTCCACGTGTTTCACTTCACCTTAATCCTGGGGGATCAGCTGATGTTACCACTCGTGTATTCATATGACGTTATTAATGAAAAGGGTGTGGGTGAATTTTAATTTTTTAATTCATCGACCTAGATTAAATCCCTCAGCGTCTTTCGTATCACCTTAAACTTCTTTTGCGCCATTATCGAAGTCCACTTATCCAGCGAAGTCGCTCGGGGCTAATCGGCCGAGAAGCCGACAGAGCTTGCTCGGAGTGTCAGGAACACCTGATCATGGTGCTTCCCCTCGTGGAAGATCCTCCGCATCCCCAGGACCCGACTAATCAGGGATTGCATTTACGCAACCGGGAAATCTAAGATGGCGGCCATGGGGGAAACTCGCGAATGTACCCACTCGTGCGTCATGGTCGTCATGGACACTTTGTGTAAAAATAGGGACAACCAACTTCGGGATCTTAAGGCGTTGTACCACTTTGAAATGTTTAAAAAAACAAAAGAAAAATGTTTATGCCTTATTTGTACTTTTTCTCTTAAAACTGCATTTTTATAATCGGCGGGCACTCTAGCTCCGCCAATTTTCTATAAATCGTCTTGATTCCTTTTTTATTTTCAATGCATTGATATTCCCGTTTTTTATGCAACATTAATTAACGAAATTTAGGGCAAAGTACGTATCTTTCCTTTCGAATCGATGCCATTTTCTGAATAATGCATATTGCATTGCAAAATGCATGTGCAATTCTTTTTCGCTCATTGAACCGCACGGTCATAGATTTTCGCAGCGCTCCGGTAAATCGCCTTTCAAGCCGCCATTTTCCTAAATAAAAAAAATACAAAAAAACACTTTATTGTTTAATAGTAGTATAACACCTTACCGTACTTGAATTTGGATAAAAACGTCTTAATTGTTAAAAAAAAAATTCTTGAAAAACGGTAATGTTTGGGTGGGTCAAAGTGGTGTAACCCTTAAGGGAGGACGAAAGGCTCATTCCGTATATGTCGAAACGTGAAAATATTCGCACCGAATTATTTGGAACGTTATTAAAAAAAGGTCTTAATCGAGTGACGAGCCGTCCTGGGATTGCATATGAAAATATTTATGAACGAATCTCGAGGAGCGCACTTCGGAGCGATGATTAGTATATCAGCTGACATGGCGCACGCACATCGATATAAATAAATACCCTGTGCCATATTCCGACCTGCGTCAACGTTTATGTCGGCGTGTTTAGAAATACGCGACCCCTTAATGTCGCGGGCAATAATTCCCTGGCGATTCCGCGGCGTATTCTCCGCCTGCGGAATTTTTACTCCCGCGGTCTATTTTCACGCCGAGCCTCAGGTGGAGAGATTAAACTAACGTCTCGTAAATATGCGTCTCTTGGAGAGATATACCCGAAGACATGTTTAGGCACTGATAACGAGTCTTTGCTCTGATTAAGGTGGGAGGAAAGGGTCATTCTATAGATATAGAACGACGCTTTCGTAACACCTTAACATTTTTTATACGCAGACGGGAACGCTTATGACCGGAAAATGAGGTCTTACATCACGGCTATATATCATTTAATTTATTTACCATTGTCAGCGAGACCTTCGGTGAAGATTTTCAAATTTCACGCATCCGGAATTATTATTGCCGGTTTTACGAAGCGGTATTTTTTCCGAATTTAGGCGCCTGCCTGTCTATTATCCCGTCTAGCAAGGCCGCCATGATTTACATATTTGCTCCTTTCCTCAGTGAAGGAACACTTGAGTCAATATAAGAAGTCCAGGCTCCGAAATTAGTTTTAGTTTACGCCTAAGCTCTGATAAGGTATCTTTGAGGAAACGGTCCCACTCCTCGCTGCGGTAATTCCTCTCTGATAATCCATATCAACATCCCTTCGTTTAACGATTGTCTAGTCACACGGAGAACGGTAAATCCCGTCCCTTTAAGAAACATTGCTTAAACGGTGCCAAATTGTCCAGCTGGTTTTTCTCTCGGTCTAATTTATGTTTCGGTTTACGTGGCTCTCTCTGTACGTACTCGTAGTTTTTTACTTATCGCCTTGTTATCATCAACAATTATTCCAGTACGACCTGGTGCTTTGTCAAGGCGACTGATGGCGATAATACGTAGACGGTCGTATCTCGATTTTGACGGCTCGAGGCGAACTAATCTAATGATTATCCTACCGGGTTGGTACATGCTCGTTATCGCAATTGTTCAAGGCAGACGAGCCTTTGAGCGGCCGCCTTGAGGTGCCGATAAGTTCTTCCAACTCGACACAGGGGAGCTGGCTTCGGTATTTTTATACGGCCCGTTTGCGGAGCTGGTGCACCTTTGTTGTATTCTAGGAGCTGCATTCCTAGAACTAAGGCAGCGGGGGCTGAAAATACATTCGGAGCTGCCCAAACTATTAGGTTGGCTGAAAAGTACCATCGACGAGATTATTAAATCCTATCTTCTTGACAGAAACCCAGGCCCAAGAATCGGGACATTTCTTGGGGCGTTTCTTCAGGTTGCTGTGGAATTTTTACTGTGGAGATATAGTTGTCAGGGGAGGGGAAGAATGGTAAAGTTGAGATGGTGCTGATGGCACTGATGGTCCTGATAGTGCTGATGGTGCTGATGGTCCTGATAGTGATGATGGCACTGATTTGCGGGTTGCTGTCAAATGTTTACTGTGAAAACATAGTTGTCAGAGTTTTTTGTCGGGGTAGGAGAACAATGGTAAAGTTGAGATGGTGCTGATAGTGCTGATAGTGCTGATGGCACTGATTTGCGGGTTGCTGTCAAATTTCTACTGTGAAAATACAGTTGTCAGAGTTTTTTGTCAGGGTAGAACAATGACAAAGTTGACATGGTGCTGATGGCACTGATTTGCGGGTTGCTGTCAAATTTTTACTGTGAAAATATAGTTGTCAGAGCTTTTTGTCAGGGTAGGAGAACAATGGTAAAGTTGAGATGTTGCTGATAGTGCTGATGGCAGTGTTGATATCCTGATGATCCTGATGATGCCGGTGGAACTCCACCTTGTTATCTCAACTCGCCTCTTGTTTCAGGGTAAGATATCGAGATGGGTGCGATGTTCAAAAGTGAGGAGATGGCTTTATGCCAGCTGTTCATCCAACCGGAAGCTGCCTACCTTTCCGTTTCCGAGCTGGGAGAGACCGGGACCGTGCAATTCCGAGACGTAAGTGGTCATCGTACTTGTTGATCCCAGCTCTCAGATTCTAGGATTTGGTGCGAAACTCTACCTACTTGATCTTTAGGGCCATGTTCATAAGATCATCCAGAGTACAATTGACTTAGGCATGTACGGTACACTTAAGACCACTTGGACATCTTAAAGAAAGTGAGCGAAGACACTTGGGAGAGTTTCGCGACAAATACATCGCACTTGTCGATCCCAGCTGACACCCCAGCTCTCAGACTCTAGGATTTGGCGCGAAACTCTACCTACTTGATCTTTAGGGCCATGTTCGTAAGATCATCCAGAGTACAATTGACTTAGGCATGTACGGTCCACTTAAGACCACTTGGACATCTTAAAGAAAGTGAACGAACCACTTGGGAGAGTTTCGCGACAAATACATCGTACTTGTCGATCCCAGCTGACACCCCAGCTCTCAGACTCTAGGATTTGGTGCGAAACTCTACCTACTTGATCTTTAGGGCCATGTTCGTAAGATCATCCAGAGTACAATTGACTTAAGCATGTACGGTACACTTAAGACCACTTGGGAGAGTTTCGCGACAAATACATCTGCACGATGTAAAATGTAGAAAGGTACTTTATAACCTTCGTCTCATCCGTTTCTGCAGCTCAACAGCGACGTCAACTCCTTCCACAGGAAATTCGTGAACGAGGTGCGAAGATGCGACGAATTGGAGCGGAAACTTCGATATATCGAGGCGGAAGTGAAGAAAGATGGCGTCCCTATCGTCGACAACCTTACCGAGCTTCCGCGAGCACCCAATCCGAGGGAGATTATCAATCTCGAGGTAAAATGCAGTTGGCAAAATGAAACTGGAATTTTCTTCAGCCTGTTAGGAAAGTCAAAGTTAAACAAGTCAGCTTAAAGTTACTAGAAAACTACCAGATTGTCGTGGAACTTCATTTCTCTCTGTCTCTTGATCCGTCTCGACACCCATGAAGACACTCATGAGATGATACTAATTTGTACTCACTTGTTTTTTTTTTTTTTTATATTCAGGCTCATCTAGAGAAGACCGAAAGCGACATCCTGGAGCTGAGCCATAATGCCGTGAACTTGAAGAGCAATTATCTGGAATTGACGGAACTTCGCCACGTCTTGGAGAAGACGCAGGTCTTCTTCACGGAGGTGCGTAAGTAATTCAAAGGACGTTCCTGAAGACGACGTTCTTGTATTCGGGATCTCGAGCGGCGTGTTCCACCATTTAATCAAGCCATGTTTTTTGTCATGCCCGTTGAACAGGAAGAGGCCAATGACTCGATCACCAGGGCTCTCATCAGCGAGGAAGTGCAGAATCCGAGTGCGATAGGTCGTGGACGACTAGAGTATGTCATCTCCCTTTGCCTTAAACTCACTTCATGGGGTTACCAAACGTCAAACATTCATAATATTAAAGTTTTTAATTATTCGGTACACCTGGTTTGGAGAAGCTTTGCACGAATGTTTGACATCCACTTGCAGATTCGTCGCCGGAGTCATCAACAGAGAACGCGTGCCAGCTTTTGAGAGGATGCTGTGGAGAATCTCCAGAGGGAACGTTTTCCTTAGACAGGCGGAACTTGAGAAGCCACTCGATGATCCGGCAACGGTAGGATTGATATTCAGGAATAATGGACCTCTTTTGGATCGCCTTAATGTTTCCCAAAATCCTTTCTTAGGGCAACAAGATCTACAAGACGGTCTTCGTGGCTTTCTTCCAAGGGGAGCAGCTTAAAAGTCGGATCAAGAAGGTCTGCACAGGGTTCCATGCATCTCTTTATCCCTGCCCAAACAGCCACGCCGAGAGACAAGAAATGGGGAAGGAAGTGCGGACTCGACTGGAGGATCTGAACCTGGTAATCTTTCAGTCAAATCGATCCTTTATTTACGTACACCATCATCATGCATCGTGCATGAAATCTTTTAGATGAAGTGACTTAATTGCACATCATAGCTTTCTGTCCCCATCTTCAGGTTCTGAACCAGACGCAGGATCATCGCCAACGGGTCCTTCACAACGTGGCGAAGGAATTGCCCAACTGGAGCATCATGGTCCGGAAGATGAAGGCGATCTACTACACGATGAACCTCTTCAACATGGACGTCTCCAAGAAGTGCCTGATCGGGGAATGTTGGGTCCCGATCGCGGACCTCGCCGTGGTCCAGAACTGCCTTACGGAAGGATCGGTTGGTGCCCATCAGCAATTTCAATAGGCATTTCGCTAAACCCAGTTTACACTTTTAGCGTAAAAAGGCATCTAACCATTTAACGAGCATTGATAAGAGGCGTTTTTAACCCTATAAGAGGGGCATCGGTGCGGACTCCCAAGAGTCGATCATCCAAGCGAACTACAACTTTCTCCTCTGTTCTCTTCAGCGTCTCTGCGGTAGTTCGATCCCGAGCTTCCTTAACGTCATCCACACGGCTGAGGACCCTCCAACCTTTAATCGGACTAACAAATTCACCAGGGGGTTCCAAAACCTGATAGACGCCTACGGAGTCGCTTCTTATCGAGAGGCCAATCCGGCACTCTACACCATCATCACCTTCCCATTTCTCTTCGGCATCATGTTCGGCGATGCCGGTCATGGTGAGCAGCTCTCTCGATGCAATTGTTCTTTAAACCCATGACGTTCGTTTAATGATACCTATCAAAGCTATTGACATTGCATGTCATGTCAGATTGCACCGATTAGAGGCTCCTTACCTAGGGATAGTCTAGTAACTAAGCGTTGATCTCTTCAGGTCTTATCATGACCATCTTTGGTGCCTTCATGGTAATTCGGGAGAAGCAGCTCTCCGCTAAGAAAACTGATAACGAGATCTGGAACATATTCTTCGGCGGGCGGTACATCATCCTCCTCATGGGTTTGTTTTCCATCTACACCGGTATCATCTACAACGACCTGTTCTCAAAGTCGGTTAACGTGTTCGGATCTAGCTGGAAGATCAGGTACAACTACTCCACGGTCAGGAATAACGCAGATCTCCAGTTGGATCCGGGCACGGACGACTACACACAAAGTCCCTATCCGTTGGGCATGGACCCCGCCTGGATGGTGGCCGAAAATAAAATAATCTTCCTCAACTCTTACAAGATGAAGCTGTCCATCATCTTCGGGGTCGTCCACATGATCTTCGGCGTCTGCGTTAGCGTGGTCAATATCGTGTAAGTACACCCTGGGAGATCTTGAAAAGCGGGTCCATCAGCTCCTTCGTCCCCGTAGACCTCCAGGTGGCAATTTTTGCGTTCTTTCAGGAACTTCCGAAAGTACTCCAGCTTGCTCTTGGAGTTCCTGCCTCAGGTCATGTTCCTGATCCTGTTGTTCGCGTATATGGTCTCGCTGATGTTCATCAAGTGGAGCATCTACGATGCTACGTCGACTGGTAAGAGTTGGGTGGATGGTCTGACTGGAGGCTAGCTGACATCCCACTCTGGTTTATATCAGAATGTTACATTTCGATTGATTTAATGATATTCATTCTTAATATATCCTTGCAGATCCAAGATATGGACCCACGTGTGCACCTTCCGTGCTGATCACGTTCATCAACATGGTGCTGTTCAAACACACACCGGTACAAGCCCATTGTTCCGAGTACATGTTCGACCAGCAGGAAACGTTGCAACAAGTCTTCGTGTTCGCTGCTTTGTTGTGCATTCCCGTGATGCTGTTCGGCAGGCCAATTTTCAAGTTGTGCCAATCAGCGAAAGTGATATCACCTGGAAAAGTTCAGGTAAGTTTTTCTTAATAGATGTTAGACCGATGTTGACTTTGGGAAGCTTGGAAGGGATCGTCCCATAAGGCTCTGGATAGTCTTTGGGGGATTTTTCCAATTTGCTGGATTTTTTCCAGCAATCCAATGGGGTGGCCACTCACGACATCGAGCTGCAAACTTTCGAGGTCTTGAACCAACCTTGCACGAGTGAAATTAACGATGGGGCCCATGAAGACCATGAAAGCTTTGGCGAGATCATGATCCACCAGGGGATCCACACCATAGAATACGTACTTTCCACGGTGTCCCACACCGCTTCCTATCTCCGTCTGTGGGCCTTATCACTGGCCCACGCCCAGCTATCGGAGGTCCTGTGGACCATGGTCCTCAACAAAGGATTGTCTGCTCAAGGAGGGAACTATATAAACAGCATTACGCTGTTTTTCGTCTTCGGGGCATGGGCCTTGTTCACCCTGGCCATCCTTGTCATGATGGAGGGACTCTCCGCCTTCCTACACACGCTTCGTCTTCATTGGTACTTTAATTAATTATAAATAATAGCAGTTTATACCGAGAAATACTGCCGGACATTAAGACAAATGCTCCTCACCGGTACTTCTAGAAATTACAACTGTAGAATATATTTTTTCGATTTTAATAATTTTAATATATGGTTTCCTTTTTTCAGGGTGGAGTTTATGAGCAAGTTCTACGAGGGCCAGGGGTATGCTTTTCAACCCTTCTGCTTCAAAACCATCTTCGATGCCGAAGACGCTGAAGATTGAGGAACCACTTCTGAAGAGCCTTGACCTTCCGCAACAATTTAGCCGACACTTAAGTGTCAATATATATTTTTTATGCGAGCATTTTGGAGGTTTGCGAATTGCCCGCCGATTCGGATACTGTAAATACACTTGTAGGGCAATTTTTCAGCTGTTATGGTTTTTTCGAAAACTGCAGTGAATTGCGGAGGAAAACGCACAACATGTATTCATTCCAATAATCGATACGGCGATCGTCGTTCTGGATCTTCGAGATGTAAGTATATCATAGAGCTGATAAAAATGAAGAAGTCACTGATAAGACAGTTAAAAAATGATTTTCTAATTTCGCACCATCTTCTATGGAAATTTCATTCAGACACGTGCGCTTATTTTTTGACGTTTCATTTATACGTTATATAAACATGCGTTGTAAATTAATAACCAGTGTTAGGGATTTAGGCTTTTTTTAATTGTTGTTCCGTTTTTCTCCATTTTTCTAAACTCTATGAGGGAGACATCGAATAATGAACGTCCTTACGTGCGTACGTATTTATATTCTGTATTACGAGAGTACAAATATTCACGGTGTGTGAGCAGATCGATAATTATTGATAGTATTCAGCCGATTTAAGGCGAATTCGAGGTTTGCGAGAAGGATATTAAAAATCGAGGGGAAGACCCGAAGGTATTTGATATAAAATATATATGTATTGCACTGATATAAATGCCCGTGTCAATTTGCAAATGTCTGCACACGTTTGCACACGCTTACACACACACTTTCACGCACCTGCGTACACGTGGACCCCTGGATTAGGATCTGCACGCATGGAAAGAGAGAAAGAGGGAGGGAAAGTAAGAAAAAAAAAGAAAAAAAATAGAACGAAAGAGGGAGAGGTGTGAAATTATTTCCTTGTTGCGCGCGCCCCTCATTTTGAGGGTTTTGAACGCCTAGTGGACTCGAAATGGATTCAGTCGGTGTTTAGCCTTCGAAGGGGAAACATCTCCATTTCTTGAGGTTAAGTGGTCCCGAGTAAATCCCACGTGGTCCGCAGTGCTTCGCTAATTAAAAGTGAATACCATTGTATATTTCACGGCGATATTTCAATTAATGTGCGCACTTTCGCATCGTCAATTCTCATCCCCATTTTCGGCATCGAAGCTTTTGTCATTTTCGTACCTAGACCTACGTAAACTTTCTTCTAAATTTCTTGCTTCATTTTCTAACTCGGATTTTCGCCATTTTCGTACCTAGACCTACGTATTCCTGCTTCGTCTTCTAACTCGGATTTTCGCCATTTTCGTACCTAGACCCACGTAAACTTTCTTTTAAATTTCCTGTTTCGTTTTCTAACTCGGATTTTCGCCATTTTCGTACCTAGACCTACGTAAACTTTCTTTTAAATTTCCTGCTTCATTTTCTAACTCGGATTTTCGCCATTTTCGTACCTAGACCTACGTAAACTTTTTTTTAAATTTCCTGCTTCATTTTCTAACTCGGATTTTCGCCATTTTCGTACCTAGACCTACGTAAACTTTCTTTTAAATTTCTTGCTTCGTCTTCTAACTCGGATTTTCGCCCTCGGAGCTTTCGTTAGTTTCGGACCTGAACCTGTGCTCAAACAGAGGCCAGCTCGTTGGCCAATATTTGAGCCCGCTATGGCGGAATTGCGCGGCTCCAAACGCGTGTACAAGTAATTACCGTCCTCCCTATTTGCACCGTCAACATTGCAACATTAACCGTTCGCGTTGTTTTAGAACCGCGGAAGCTTTCGAGCTTGCGGAATTCTCCTGCGAGATGGATCGCTACATTTCGCGTCAAATTGCGATTTCTTGCCGGGGAAAAAGGTTGCATCGAATGAAGTACCATGTTAAGTTCAATTAGAAAATTACCGCGCGATTGGTACAAGATGAAAAAAAAATAGAATTTGCATGAATGCGCGTCTCGATTTTCGATGAAATCTTTGGAAGAAACTACGCCGTGTATTTAATTTATCAACGCCATATTTTATTAATGTAACAACTTGCCGCCACTTTGGAAGCTCAGATGACGCGAACATTTAAAGTACAGGTTCATTATCGTAGACATATCATTGTTACATACATGTAATAGAAAGGTAGCACCTTTATCTGTAAACAATTCTGTTACCTTACGTTTAGGAAAACTCATTGTCGACGATCTGGAGTTTCGGCTAGGTAACTTGAACCTTAAAAGGAACTTTTGTAGGTGAAGTCCGGAGTTAGACTTGCAATTGACGAGCACCTTCTCGTCCTAGAATACGTGTAAACATTACGTGGAAAAATAGATTCTCTTCCGGCTAAGTACCTGGACTCCTCCTATCGACGTTAAAACTCGAAGAGTTGGGAAGAACTCGATGCCCAATAAACGGAGAACAGTGGAATTGCACTTTTAGGTATAAAGTCATCGGGCGATCTAGCTGGTCTAAAAGACTTTCCTAATCTGGGTCCTCATGGACTCTCGGCCTTCTTCAAGTCCTCGTCATCGACTTGTCTCATAGTGATGGAATATGCCCTCTTGCTCTTCCTGCTGAAGCAAGTGTCCCCCTTTCCGAAGCTCTCTCCGTCCTCCAAGGTTTCCGGCATGGGTTGGTTCAAGGTTTCCGGCAAGTAGAGCGACAGGAACCCGGAGACGAGAGCAATGAAGCCGAAGGTGGTCGCCGGGACTTTGGGGTCAAACGAATCGAGCAGCATGATCAACGGGGTCAGGGCACCGCTGAGACGAGCACACATGGACCCGATTCCTAAAGCTGTGTTCCTTAAAACAGTAGGGAAGAGCTCCGCGGTGTAGTTGTAGATGATGCCGAAGGAACTGGCGATGCAGGCCTTGCCGACCATGACGACGGTGATGGTGATAACACGTGCCCCAGGGAAGCTAGAAGGAACGGAGGCTGCGCAGATGCAGCAGAATCCCCCCAGCAGCATGTAACAGCTGATCAGAGCCCTCCTCCCGGTCCTGTCCATCAGCAGACTCGTCAGGACGTAGCTGGGCAGCTCCACCATGCCGATCAGGAACAGCATCAGGAAGGGATTGCCCACCAGGTTCCCGGTGTTCAGGGAGAGGCCGTAATAGACGATGGAATTGGCGAACCAGTTCAAGCAGACGTTCAGGGACTTCTTCCTCAAGTTGGGAGTCTTGAAGAGATCAGCTGCGGTGTAGGTTCTCTCCACCTTGGAGGCCTGGCGAGACGCGTTCCTGGATACGTACCTGGCTATGTCGATCTTGGAGCTGTCGCCGTTCATCCGCACCCCCTTCTGGACGATCTCCGTAGCCTCCTTCACGCGACCCTGGATCCAGAGCCAACGGGGGGATTCGTCCATCAGCCACCAGTGGCCTATCAGCAGCGCACTGTGCAGACCGTAGATGATCTGGAGGAGCATCCTGTCCTCGACGAAGGCTCCCCAGGCCGCGACGAGCATGAAGCCCATCGCGAAACTCGCCTGGAAGGCCACCCCGCAGGCGCTTCTTCTGGAGGCACCCACCAGCTCCATGGTCAGGACGAATCCTGTGATGTAGGCTCCGGCGGAGCCGAAGACCCCGTACAGGAAACGGATCACCAGGAAGGAGTAGTACTCCGTCAGCAGGGCGACTCCTACTCCTAGGATCAGCTGACCGACAGCTGACGCGTAGAAGATGGTCTTCCTACCGTACTTGTCTGCCATGCTGCCCAGGGTCACGGCACCGACGAACACCCCGAACATGTACGTCGCCTGGGCTACTGCGCCCATCCATCTCCTGGAACACACGAAGTTCCACTCCATACCCCGGGAGGACTGGAAATACGTCCTGTCGTACGACCAGGAGTCGCAGTCCAAGCTCCTGTTGTCCAGGTCCAAGTAGCTGCAGGTTTGCTCTATCACCCGGGATGTCCCGTCCAGGTCCGAGAGACTCGCGGCTCCGTCCCTCCAGGTGATGGTTGCGTTGGCCAGGTCGCTGATGCAGCGATGGGGAGGCACTGCTGCCACCGTCGTCAGGGACATCATGTGCAGTCCTGCCGTTAGGGCACCTAGGATGTGCAAGGAGAACTGCCAGGCCTGGTATTTCCCAAACTCTCCCAGGTGGGACATCAGCTCCTCCAAGTCCTGATCCGCGCTTGCCATTGTCCCGGTCGATTGGAGCCAGATAGGGACCAGAATTGGGAATTGATACCCTCGGGAGGTGGGCTGGAGCCTCTCTTAGAGTCTTCTCAAGCTGATGGAGCACTGGACACTGCTACTCTTGACTGCGATCCAGATGCGAATGCTTCGGACCGATCGACGGCCTCGGTACTTCGGTGGAAGCGGAATTTACCGCTTAATTAGTCTATGATGCCTTAGATAGCTGGCCTCCAACTTGAGGCTGATCTTATATGCAAATCTTGCGGATCAACCTTGCAATTTTGCGCGACTAGATCGCGTTTCCCCTTCGCTGGTCGCGCAGTTTGGTTCGATTCTGTCTTCCACTGGTCGACCAACACCAATGGTCCTCGCAATAATGTTTCACGCTGGTGGAACCCCACGGTTAGGTCGCTGATGATGGATTTCAAGTTTAATCGGTGTCTGAGGTACTTTTCCTTAGCTTTAGTAGACAGTCGATTTTTACTCGGTAGCGGTTAATCCACTGGACATTGAATGTTGGCCCATATAGGTCCTAGGCAATTGCCTAGGCGCTTTTAATCGAGATAAGTGTCCCCACTCGATTGAGAAGGAAATACCCCGTATCTTTTAAATGTCTAATTGCGCTCGTGATGCCAGTGACGAAATCTAACAGCCGCTGTTAGGGTTCGAGTCACGAGCCTCTTAATTGGCCGAATGGGATCGTGGTATCTAATTCACTTATCACTGACACCCAAAGATTCAGGGCCTCTGTTAGTAATGGATGACAGTATGTACTTTCGAGTTCTGCCAGAACGACGCGGTTAAACATTCGGCTTCCAATTTTACCAACTGATCAAATAGTGCCCATGGAACAGACATCGGGGAATGGAGTTGACAACAGCTCGATACAACACTATTTTTTACGAAACCACAATGGACTGTCCATCTTCCGTGCACCGTTGCTAACGACGCGATCCACATCGGCGCGACGCTTTTCGGTCAGGGCTCTGGACTCGATTGGTCCTAAATAATCGGCGTCCCCGTGTTCTCGCTGGTCACGTCATTGCTTAATCAAACGCCAACCGTTTTGACAAGTGGAGGCGCCAGTCCAAACTAAAGAGAGCTCTTTTGGTCGTCCCAGCCGACTCCTGGCCGCTTCTGCGGTCCCAAAAGCGCCAGGTCTAACTTCTTCCTCGGTGACCCAGTATAGCCTTGCTTTTAGACATCCTTTTATTCCCGTTCACTTGTTCGGCTACGCCAATGTACCTCCACTTTACGAGCTGCACGACGCGGTGATTAACCGTTCGGCGATGCCGCGGGCTCCGGATGACGGCGCTCCTCGAGGAATCACTTATGCTTGTAGGAATTGCCAACGTGTCGTCCTGCTGGGGTTTGGCTGGATGTACTTCGGGATTCTGGGGTACCGAATAGGGTCCTGATGTCTGCCTGGGTGTCCCTTGAAATCCTGGGGTACCAGAAAGTCTCCTGCTGATGTCCTTTTAGATGTCCCTTGGGATCCTGAGGTACCAAATAGTGTCCCGTTGATGTCGTTGGTGTCTCGATGATGACCTGGGTGTCCCTTGAAATCCTGGGGTACCAGAAAGTCTCCTGCTGATGTCTTTGGGATCCTGAGGTACCAAATAGTGTCCCGTTGAAGTCTTCTTCGGTATCCCTTGGAACACCTAGGTCCTACGAAGTGTCCTGTCGATGTCTCAGGGTTCCTCGACCTAGGACATCCTTCGGGATGCCGAGATACCGGCTCCGGATGATGGTGCTCCTCGGGTAATCACTTATGCTTGTAGGAATCGCCAACGTGTCGTCCTGCTGGGGTTTGGCTGGATGTCCTTCGGGATTCTGGGGTACCGAGTAGGGTCCTGATGTCTGCCTGGGTGTCCCTTGAAATCCTGGGGTACCAGAAAGTCTCCCGCTGATGTCCCTTGGGATCCTGAGGTACCAAGTGTCCCGTTGGTGTCTTCTTCGGTATCCCTTGGAACACCTAGGTCCTACGAAGTGTCCTGCCGATGTCTCAGGGCTCCTCGACCTAGGATATCCTTCGGAATGCTGAGATACCGGAAAGTGGCGGAATTCTCCAAGCTGGGAGGAAATCAGGCCACCGAGTTGTCGAGACTTTCTCGTGACACTTGCCACGTCGCCGCTGGAGGAGATCCTCGGTGAGAGTCTTCTCGGGTCCTTGGATCCTTGGATCCTAAGACTCTTGTTTAAGATCTTAATAGATTCCAAGATGGCCGCCTCTGGTGATTGTTATCCTTCTAATCACGTCGATGACTCCGCCGCGTCTTGCGATGTTTCCTTCTGCAATCAGACGTCATGTCAGAAGTTACACAGCGGGTTCTTTCTGCTTTTTATTTTTATTTTTTTTTTTTGTGAAACCTCTTGCGACATGATAGTGTGTGAGTTCCTATGCCAAGGAATGGGAGCGCGGGGAAAAATTAACCGCTTATTTTTTTTTTTTGCAATTAATTACTATCCATGTTTGGGTTTTAGCTCTGGGGCAATTTCCAGCAGGGTTAATGGTTCTCTCGGTTAATTACTGGCATTTAATTCGAAATATTAATGGAAAAAGGTGTTTCACTTTTAATGCCCGTGGCGGCCACGCACCGATACTTTTATTTGTTTCCTTATTGTTTGTTCGAGCTGTCGAGAATTCCCACGTAGTGTACAAGATATGTTGTTAAACTGGGAACTCACTTGTTTCTCGGCCATGAGAGTGTTTCCTAAAGATAAAAATTCCCGTTTTGCAAGTCAAAGGTGGCGGAACGTGACGGAAGTTGTATTACGAATTACAAAATACGTGGTCTGGGTAAAAAGACGACAATTGAGTTAAATTTTATCTTAAAATCTTTGCAGCGAAGACTATATGTGCCCATAATTATGAAAGTGGTCTAAGTCATATATTTTTTCTTTCGAAATTATATTGAATTAATTTCCTTTGAAATAATATGGCGTGAAATAACTGATAAACTCATTTTTTTTTTAATTTTCACTTAGACCACTTTCATAATTATGGGCACATATTTCTTTTACTCCGTTTAGAGAAATTATTTTCTCGAATGGAGTTAATCGGAACACGAGGCCTGAGAGTTTGCACCTCTAGAATTGCAAATATCGCTTATCACGAAAGAACCTGACCCGAATTTCTGTTCTGGATTTTTCCTACCTGATATCTACTATCAACAGTTGCGGAAATGTTTAACGACAATTGAGAGCACTACCTTGAAAAGTACCTTGCAAACCCAATTTAGGTCTCCGACACGTGGGAATTCGCCATTCCGAATTAGAAATGAATTCTTCAGTCCATCTCAAGGTTCCACGACCTTATCACTTAGATACCATAACTAGGAAGCAACAATCTACATTGATTAATTATCTCTGTCGCATTCCGCACAAAGACCCGAGTTTATATGTGCCCATAATTATGAAAGTGGTCTAAGTCATATATTTTTTCTTTCGAAATTACATTGAATTAATTTCCTTTGAAATAATATGACGTGAAATAACTGATAAACTCATTTTTTTTTTTTAATTTTCACTTAGACCACTTTCATAGTTATGGGCACATATCACCTATCCACGTTACCATTAAGTAGACCCAAAATGGATTAGAATCCAAACCTTCAGTATCACTCAGCGATGATTCCTGCCGAAGATATAAATTTCACTCCTCTCCCGAATTGTTATTAATTATTTGCGAAGCTCTCGAGGAACTAGTCGTTCCGTTAAACAGTATCGATGTTCTCCTATCTCAGACGCAGAGATTCAGGATTTTATTAACGACTTCTTATTTGATATCCGCTTATCATTTCAGTCCCATAAAATCCAGCCGAACGAAGTCGCCGGACTTTGAAATAGTCCGGATTGCTGAACATGGCGACATGTTCTCTCTCTCGTGACTCTCGTCACGGCATCGTGAATGTTAATGTTGTAACTTTGCTAGCTGGCAACGACAAATGTTGCGATATCTCGCTTTTGTTATCAGTGACTGCCTCGCAGCGTTCATTTACCTCCCCGATTCTCCATTATTCGCTCTTGGACTCTATCAGCTGTTCCCTATTCGGTATTTTCTTCCCACCTCTTTGAATTTAATTCCGCCGTTGTAATTAGTCGGATTAGGTGGATTAGTTACATCTTCTTTCCCTCTTCGACTTCCTGGACCATTTTGGACGTTATTTCACGATCAGCTGTTCCCTATTCGGTATTTTCTTCCTACCTCTTTGAATTTAATTCCGCCGTTGTAATTAGTCAGATTAGGTGGATTAGTTACATCTTCTTTCCCTCTTCGGCTTCCTGGACCACTTTGGACGTTTTTCACGATCCTGGAACCAAAAGTCCTTACCTCCTCGATTCTCCATTATTTGCTCTTGGACTCTATCAGCTGTTCCCTATTCGGTATTTTCTTCCTACCTCTTTGAATTTAATTCCGCCGTTGTAATTAGTCGGATTAGGTGGATTGGTTAGACCTTCTTTCCCTCTTCGGCTTCCTGGACCACTTTGGACGTTATTTCACGATCCTGGAACCAGGAAGTCTGCAGGAACGCGTCGTTGGGTTTTTGCAGGCGGTGCTGCTCGCCGGCGTGCCGGTAAGGCAGCTTTTCTTTTTTTATTCCTTCTTCTCACTCCTGTGCCAATGAACTCGAATTGCAGGAGTGGTGGCGAAATATCCAGCGGTGCATAACCGAGTGCAGCAACTCGGCGACGTCACCGTACGCGTTTCCATTTATTATTACGAAGTCGCGGTGCATCGTGCGCAGATAAACTCGTCCCTGTAATCGCTGATGGTGGAGTCGCCGGGTCAGCAGAATTCCCCTTCGTCGACTGGTTTAACTGATCGTATGAAATCCGTTGCGAAGTCCTTTTAAGTCATCAACCGAGGTTGATGAGGTATTTTAAGGCGTTGCTATGGGGTGGATCGGATCTTTGATGAACATTTCACCTTCTGAAATCCGTTGCGATGTCCTTTTAAGTCATCAATCGAGGTTGATGAGGTCTTATGGCGTTGCTATGGGGTGGATCGGATCTTTGATGAACATTTCAGCTTCTGAAATCCGTTGCGAAGTCCTTTTAAGTCATCAACCGAGGTTGATGAGGTATTTTATGGCGTTGCCATGGGTTGGATCGGTTTTTTGATGAACATTTTAGCTTCTGAAATCCGTTGCGAAGTCCTTTTAAGTCATCAACCGAGGTTGATGAGGTCTTTTATGGCGTTGCCATGGGTTGGATCGGTTCTTTGATGAACATTTCACCTTCTGATAGTAAAGAAGAAAAGTACAGTGTTCCAGGTCTTGAAAATCCAGCAAAGTTGTGCCCGAAAAATCTTTTAACTCAACGTCAACCGAGGTTGATGAGGTATTTTATGGCGTTGCCATGGGTTGGATCGGTTCTTTGATGAACATTTCAGCTTCTGATAGTAAAGAAGAAAAGTACAGGGTTCCAGGTCTTGAAAATCCAGCAAAGTTGTGCCCGAAAAATCTTTTAACTCAACGTCAACCGAGGTTGATGAGGTATTTTATGGCGNGACATTATCCAGATTTCGGTGTTTCACCGTAACATATACACAATTCAATCAGATAATATTCCACTGAAATTGTCTTTAATTTTCAAGTACAAAATCAGTAGTGTCATACTTACACCTTGATTCGGTTTAATTAGAATCTCCGCTTGCTTTTCATTTCTCAGCGTGTAGAAAGTACTCTTTACAAGTTACAATTGTATATTTACAAGTTACAATTGTATATATACAATTCAACCAGATAATATTCCACTGAAATTGTCTTTAATTTTCAAGTACAAAATCAGTAGTGTCATACTTACACCTTGATTCGGTTTAATTAGAATCTCCGGTTGCTTTTCATTTCTCAGCGTGTAGAGAAAGGCCGGGAAATGGGTTTACACCCTGGGATTGAACCTCCGGTGAATTTGAGAAACCTGTAAGGTGGAGTTGACCGGTCGGACGGGTCTCTCTTTAATTTCATGCTAAGGCCTCGCGGAGAACGCGGAAGAGGAGCCTGGGGAACGTAATTGAAGAAGCGCTCGCGGAAGAGGCCGAGCCCGTCGACGTCGACCGAATGGATCGTAAACTCGAATCCCATCCGGCCACTGTGAACAAATACACTTCATTGAGGAGCCCGTTAGGGAAAAATGCCCGCTAAAAAGGTTGGCGACGCAAAAGTTCGATGGCTCACGAGTAGATGTACGGAAAAAGACCGCGCGTGACTTTTTTAAGACACTTAAGGTGAAGTGAAAAAAAAATCCAGAAATCCAAATTTTTAATGTGTCAGGACAATTCTTAGATGATCAGGAGTGATGTGTCAAAGTTTCGGACAGTTTGGTTTAATTCCCATAAAAAAAAAGTGTTGTATTCGAATCGACTGATTTGAAGGGTGTTTCACTTCACCTTAACCTTAACCTTCACCCGGGGTGTAGCGATTCGTTTGAAACGTCACCACGGGAAGAGGGAGATTTTATTTTGTTATCAAAAATTTATTTATTTATCAGGCTTGCCATCGAGGACGAAGAGTTTCAGGACCTAGCTCGAACAGTTTAGAATTTAGAAAAGTTTTAGAGAAAGATGGGGCGTTTAATCAATTAGGTTTACATCGTATGAAATGTCACCACGGGATCAGATTTGATTTTTTATCAAAAATTTATTTATTTATCAGGCTTGCCACCGAGAACGAAGAGTTTCAGGACCTAGCTCGAACAGTTTGGAATGTAGAAAAGTTTTAGAAAAAGATGGGGCGTTTAATCGATTAAGTTTACATCGTTTGAAACGTCACCACGGGATCAGATTTGATTTTTTATCAAAAATTTATTTATTTATCAGGCTTGCCATCGACGACGAAGAGTTTCAGGACCTAGCTCGAACAGTGTGAAATAGATAAAAAAGAAGGGCCGTTTAATTGATTAAGTTTACATCGAGCGCATCTTCGATTCTGGCCGCCATCTTTGCGCCCTATAAAATTCGAAGACATGTTGCATAAAGGATTAAAATTGCTCTTCCCGTTGGGTTCATTGCGAAAAGCACCGTTTCAATAAGCTGGCGATGTTTATTGCGACGACGAGGCATAAACTCGGCGTCTTTTAAATGACGGACGAATCGAAAGGATTGGGAATTAAATCCGAGTTAACCGGGGACAATAAATTCATCCTCGCTCATCGGTTAACGTTATCAAGGAGTGCAGGGGCATTTTTATTATCCTCATGGTCCATGTCCCATGTTGCCCAACTCTTAGCCACCAATGTTCCCTCAATTCGAACCGGCCTTAACCTAAAACGCGTCGGGCCGTATCGGAAAGGCGGATCGGCAACGCGGAAATTAATCCGCCGTCGTTTCAGCCGATCGTATCGCGTTAACCTCGTTCCCAGGGTTTATCGGAAGGGTACCGGTGCACAATTTTCAGCATCTCAGGAAATAACCATGGCTATCCTCCAGATAAGCGAATCAAACTTTAAGGCGAAGTGAAACACCTCGAGGAACTTGATCGACGTCGATAAAGAAGATCTTTCTAAATGCCTACGCTGCCGACGTTGGTTTTTATATCGACAGCTGGGTCGAATTATATTGGGTATTGTACCAAATGGCGTACTCCACCTGTCGTTTTCCTACAATAATTATAAAGAAATCCAAGTAAAGCTCCAGAAATCCTCTGGATTCGTGCTTTCCGAGGCCCTAATTGACTGCGGAGGGACCCCCTGCGCCATCTGTGATTTCCAGGTCAATTAAATTTTCACTCCGATACCTCGTATTCCCATCGTTTTAGCATAGAAGCGCATACAACACTTTTTTTGCCTTTATCCCGTCCAAATGTGAATTTATCGATTATCAGAGTGTTCTAAATTGTCGTAAAATTGTCCTGACCCTTTAAATTCTCATATCAGAGCCTTTAATAATTGTATATCGATCGAAATATAAGAACTCGACGCCATTTTGGTTTTGGTCTGGGTTGAATGAAAAAATTTGTTTACAAAATCCAAATTTTGTATGTGTCGGGACAATTCTTAGACGATCAGGAGTGACGTGTCAAAGTTTCGGACAGTTTGGTCTGATACCCTTAAAAAAAAGTGTTGTATTCGAATCGACCGATTTGAAGGGTGTTTCAACTTCACCTTAAGTCGATACGAAATCGTTTGAAACTTTGCGACCTATTGAAGTGCAGGAAAAAAAATTTACTTATGAACAATCCGACGACCAAGTTCCCCTAACCTTGAAGAGAGCCGATTAAGGGGCCCAATTAGTTCGACACATTTAGAGCGAAGTTTTAATAACTAAAATTACTGCCAACCGAGTCGCAGCTTGAATCGGGCCATGCATTTGCACGCGACGATGGAATTATCGCGTTATCACGGTTATCAAGGTTGTCTAGGATCCTAGTTAAGGTGGCGGAAAAGCTCCGCACGCTCGGGTTAAGAAAATTCCTGTTTCGTTGCCTAATTAATTGATCGATACCGGAACGGAATTCCGTGATTACTCATAAGAGCTTATCTTACCGTAAGACTTCAAAGAAAATAATGCAATCTTTTTCAGAGAATAACGCGAGACCATTCACATGTTTAAGGGGGTGCGAAAGCTCAATCGCTCGCGAAACCTTTCCCATCACCTTAAATCATTACTACTAAATAATAATGGCTAAAAATTCAATGTTTTATATTATATAAAAATAATTCAATGTTTTATGTTATACAAAAATAAAAAAGGAAGCAATTCCCATGTCGGAACTAGTCGGCGCGCATGCGCGGTGCGTGCCCAGCGGGACAAATTACTTGCACGAGGGCTAATTTGCAGGAGGCCTCGCATGTAACGGGCTGTAAAGCATTTCGACAAGCCGGAGTTTCAATAATAAGGATCCCGACGAACCCTAACGTACGAGCATGATCGAGTTATCGCGGGTTGTCGCGTTGTCGCGCGCACCGCCTCGTGGCGGGCTCGTTAGTCGATTATCCGATTTGGTTTACGAGCCTGCACAACGCCCAGAAGTAGGCGAGAGAGGGCACCGAACCAAGTGGATAATGGCAGAACCACATCCGGATTGGTTTGTCGAGCCGAACCGACTCTACGTCGGCGAAAACTGACCTTACGCCATAAGCATTGACTCGATCGAAAATGGTGGTGGTCTCTATATATTGGATTTTTTTTTTTAATTTTAATAAATCGATGAAAACTGACCTTACGCCATAAGCATTGACTCGATCGAAAATGGTGGTGGTCTCTATATATTGGCATTTTTTTTTCATTTAATTTTAATAAATCGATGAAAATTGACAATGCGCCATAAGCATTGACTTGGTTGGCAATGGTGGTGGTCTCTATATATTGGAATTTTTTATTCATTTAATTTTAATAAATCGATGAAAAGTGACATTGCGCCAGAAGCATTGACTCGATCGGCAATGGTGGTGGTCTCCATATATTGGAATTTTTTATTCATTTAATTTTAATAAATCGATGAAAAGTGACAATGCGCCAGAAGCATTGACTCGATCGGCAATGGTGGTGGTCTCTATATATTGGCATTTTTTTTTCATTTAATTTTAATAAATCGATGAAAATTGACAATGCGCCAGAAGCATTGACTCGGTTGGCAAACTTCTTTAGGCATAGGATGGGTCTCAGAACATAGACGATCGGACTTCACGCGGGGAAGTTCCTCTGGTACTTTCGCGAAAGATATGCAGGAACCGGAGATAGTCGTCTCGGGCGTCTCCTTTCTAGGGTATCGCGGAAATTCCGGAGAGGCTATTTCCGGACAAGAAACCGTAGGAAGTTTCCCGCCGGCCAAACTCGGCTCCCTACCCCGGACGAAGGTGCTTAAGTGCGCTGGATGTCCCGGGGATTCCTGGTCCCCGGAGTGCCTGGAGCACCCCCTGCTCCGGGTATCCCGTTCCGGTAAGGGAACACCACAATGGGGTAACCCAAGACCTTCTGTCCCGTACACATCCTGCGGCGTCGAGTTACCTTCTCCGGGATTTTCGATTCGGCCCCCATCGGGGATCTGGCGATCGCGATCGGGACGGCGGATGCGCATCTTGTCATTTTGGGGAGGAAAGAACAAATTCAAGACCATGTCTTGGTCTTGGTCCTGCAAGACCATGTCTTGGTCTTGGTCCTGCAAGACCATATCTTGGTCTTGCAATGATTTGAAACTGAACTTCGATGAATTTTGTCCCATTCCTTCGTTACGAAATGCTACACTTTAGACTGCACACTCAGAAAAGGGGAGAACAATTGCAAGACCAAGACCATGTCTTGGTCTTCCTCGGTCGAGTCTTGGTCTTGCAATGATTCTAAACTGAACTTTTATCAATTTTTTCCCATTCCTTTGTTACGAAGTGCTACACTTTAGACTGCACATTCAGAAAAGGGAAGAACAAATGCAAGACCATGTCTTGCAAGACCATGCAACAACTTGATGGCGTCGGCCATCTTCGTTTGCCGTGTTTTTGCGGGTCTTGAAGGGATCTAAAGTCCTGATGAATCTAAAAACGATGGAAATTGATGTGGGATCTAAAAGGATCTAAACTCTCATACGACTTGAAAACGATGTAACGCGCGTTATGTCGCTGGTTAAAGTTTCTCGCCGAGCTGACCTTCCTCAATCAATCTCCGGCGCTGTCCTTTAACTCATTTTTATCGTTTCGGAGACTTTCTTTAAAATTCAGGCCGCGTCCCGGAGTTACGAAAACCGTAACGCTGTAATTCATTGCCCAGTGTCCCGGGCATTTGTATTCTTCGACAACAGCCGTTGACAATAGCCTTCTCTTCATGGTCACCTCGATTCGACACCCTGCCTTGGCAGAGTCCCAAGAGGGGTTTTGAACACGAAATTTGCATACGGCAAAATTTCACCTGTCGCCGAAACCGGAATCACGTCGACCTGTCGATTGCTCAAGATATTCCGAATCCTGGTGAAACGGATCCATTACGCCATTTCGCTGATCACCGACAATGTAATTCGGTAATAAGTGACACCCGGCCTTCAAATTTGGTGGTTTGGTGATTTCCAAAAATTTCCAGCTGATTTAGGATGCTGAAATTAATGATTAGATATTTTAATGCCGGCCACGAGGAGGGAACTTCTCCTGGTCGGGTAATTTCCGAGTACTTAGTTACTTAGCCAAGTACCGAGCACCTAATCTGGGGCGGTTAATCGACCGGGCCAAGATATTAATAATTACTCGGCAATTATCGCAGCCGCTAAGTTCTGATAACGTCAGGGTAACAAGTTGCAAGTCGACGGTGTCATCGAAAAGTGATCGCGACCGTGCAATAGGGAATTAAAATGACAAAATGGAAAAAGGGTCCCAGTTGACCGGCATGAAAAATCCGCAGCAACAATGGGTGGTAAAAACCGTTCGTCTGGACCAGCTCCCATTATTTATAAACAGGGTTTAACTTAGCGTCAACGTGACCACTCGTATTTGCTCGCTTTCAGTTTGGACAGGTTTTAAATGAAACACCGGGCCCACAATTCCGCGACAATGGAGCTCGCGTCAACCTAGGTGACAATGGACGATTGCAATCGCAATCACGTAACAGAGGCCGCGAAGAATTCCGGCAAATCCGTAAAACTGGCGCCCTGGATAATTCCTTATCTAAAATTCAACGAGCGATCCCCAACTCCTATACGTCACTGTCCAATAAACGCACCGACGCAGTTGGTAATTGATTTGGGTGAGGCGGCTTGATTAAAATCACCCTTACCCCCCGCGAAGCGTCGTGATTCATCCCAAGTCTTCTCTGATCAACCGCCTCGGATTGATATCTCGTTCATCTGGATACTCTTCAATTCTAATGATTCCTTTTCTGAGTGCGCAGTCTAAAGTGTAGCATTTTGTAACGAAGGAATGGGCAGAAATTGATCGAAGTTCAGTTTCGAATCATTGCAAAGACATGGTCTTGGTCTTGCATTGAGAGTTTAGATCCTTTTAGATCCCACATCAATTAACATCGTTTTTAGATTAATCAGGACTTTAGGATCCCTTCAAGACCCGCAAAAACGCAGAAAACAAAGATGGCCGACGCCATTAAGTCGTACGAGAGTTTAGATCCTTTTAGATCCCACGTCAATTGACATCGTTTTTAGATTCATCAGGACTTTAGATCCCTTCAAGACCCACAAAAACGCAGAAAACGAAGATGGCCGACGTCATCAAGTCCTATGAGAGTTTAGATCCTTTTAGATCCCACATCAATTAAATGCGACAAACGAAGATGGCCGACGCCATCAAGTCGTACGAGAGTTTAGATCCTTTTAGATCCCACGTCAATTGACATCGTTTTTAGATTCATCAGGACTTTAGATCCCTTCAAGACCCGCAAAAACGCGGAAAACGAAGATGGCCGACGCCATCTAGTCGTATGAGAGTTTAGATCCTATTTAGATCCCACATCAATTAAATGCGACAAACGAAGATGGCCGACGCCATCAAGTCGTACAAGAGTTTAGATCCTTTTAGATCCCACATCAATTGACATCGTTTTTAGATTCACCAGGACTTTAGATCCCTCCAAGACCCGCAAAATCCCGGCAAACGAAGATGGCCGACGCCATCAAGTCGTATGAGAGTTTAGATCCTTTTAGATCCCACATCAATTTATATTCATCACGACTTTAGATCCCTTCAAGACCCGCAAAAACACGGCAATCCAACATGGCCGACGCCATCAAGTCGTATGAGAGTTTAGATCCTTTTAGATCCCACATCAATTAACATCGTTTCTAGATTCACCAGGACTTTAGATCCCTCCAAGACCCGCAAAATCCCGGCAAACGAAGATGGCCGACGCCCTCGGCCTCACCTGCGTCCTTTCCTCCTAGATCCTCTCGGAAGTGGCGTCGGGCCGAAGGAGGGAATCCTTACGGCGTGGCGCGAGGTGCGCCTCGCTCGCAGTCGCGCTCTGGCCGTCTCCTGGAGTGGACGCGCCGCTCCTTGGAGCACCTCGTCGTCTCCACACCTAACCACCTCCGGATCTCATGGGTCGACCTTGATCTTGTGCGTCTAAGTGAGTCCAATCTGTGATTCCGTTGGGTGAAGATTGTGTGAACCGCAGGAAAGGAACGGGATAAAATTGGAGAAACAAAAGACGAATAAGGAAAACCAGGGAACTTTGAAATACAAAGGGAGGAGTCTCGTGAAAGATTTCTCGGGATAGATTGATGTTTCATTCTCCTTCTTTAGAATATCAGGATTTCTTAATCCCTGGTTGGATCAGACTCATCTTGTGAGTCACTCCATGAATATGCGGGGGATTTTCTTAGGAGATAATTGCATATTTGTATGACATTGCTGTGCAAGTAAAAAGATCGACAGGGTCGAGAAATATATTGTTCGTTAATACGGGGCTGCGAAAAAAGATAAATATATGAAACGGGAAATTTTTATTGCTGATCATTAAATGCTAAAAAATTATTAATGCTCAAAGATTATCAATTGATTAATTGCTGGTGGCTTCGTCGGGGAAAATAAATTCCTCGAGCCTTGAAAAGTCCGCAAACTCTCGGAAGAACTCGATAGAAAGTTAAGAGAGATGTCTTTCAGACTTTAATTGCGTCCTGGATCCAAGTCTGAGAGTCGGAGTACTCGAAGAGTTCGACACGTGCGGTCTCGTTTCCTTACTTTCTAAATTATTTTTATCAGCGGACAATTACACCCGGGAGCTAAAGCCTGCTAAAATTGGCGATAGAAGGAAAGTCCGTAAATCCGTACGTGAAAGTAATCCCAAGTACATAGAGTACATGGAATCGCCTCAAGGCTCTCTTACACTGTTTACACAACAATTCGTACGTCCTGATACATACTACGTACAGTCATTACAATATCGAATAATGCTTGGGACAATGCTTGAAAAATGCCTCTTCATCGTGTGACATTCTGACATGTTTGTTTAGTGATTCATTCGTTTACTAATTTATTTATTCATACTGGTGGTTCTTTAAGGCGACATGAAAGCAGCGATCGATTAATCCAGATCATTTTAATTAGATTGAACGATAATTTTATTAAGATGAAGAAATTTTTTATACAACGTACTGTTATTACAATATCGATTAATGCTTGGGACAATGCTTGAACAATGCCTCTTCATCGTGTGACATTCTGACATGTTTGTTTAGTGATTCATTTGTTTACTAATTTATTTATTCATACTGGTGGTTCTTTAAGGCGACATGAAACCAGCGATCGATTAATCGAGATCATTTTATTTATATTGAACGATAATTTTATTAAGATAATTCTCCTTCGCGATGGAAGAAGCCAAGGAAGGAGCTCCGTCTCTGGATTCATGATCTCCCCAGGAGATGAATGCACCTTCCCTAACCTAACCTAACCTAACCTACACTAACCTAACCTAACCTAACCTAACCTAACCTAACCTAACCTAACCTAACCTTCCCAGGTCTTCCGCGCATTCCGCACGCAGCTCCTTTCACGCAAATTCCTCGCGTACTCGCGCTAAACCGATGTAATTGCTTCTCGCGCTTACGCTTGCAAGTGCGCCGTTTAATTGGTCCGCCGTGTAAGCTCGCGACGACGCCGTAGCGCCACTTATGCGCCTCTCGAGGGTCCCTTCGTCTTCCTTTCTTGAAGAGCGCTCCTTGTCGAGGAGTGGAAATTACTCTTAATTATTTCCACCTTCACCCGCTTTGAGCGCTTATCCAGAAGCGAGGAAATCCCGCGGAAAAGGAGTCCACCTGGAATACCTGGTTTTCCAGAAATAGTTCCCTTCGTCCTCGTTTTTATTACCGTGGTCGTTAACATTGCGACATGTCGCGATGTACCACCGGCATTAAAAACGAGGACGACGCGAAGAATCGACGTAACGAAGTGAATGGAACTTGTATCGACACCTAGAAATTGAGTGGTCGCATTGGTCTTCTCTGTTAAGGTTGTCACATGATATGACCCAATCTCGCGAGGTGTTGGCAGTGATGGACAACCACACCACGACCTTCGGTCGCAAGCGAGGCTGCAGGATCTCGCCCTGTGGGGCTTTCCTGATGGGCGCCACTTTTCTCCTGGGTCTGGTGGCGACGGGTCTCCTGGTATACCATTTTGCCCCCTGCCTCGATGGGAAGAAGATCACCGCCTATGATGATCTCCATGACGGCCCTATGATGAGAACCGCGAGGACCTTCTCCTCGAGGCAGGCCAACAAAAAGAACCTGGACGTCAGGCTGCCCAAGTCGGTGGTCCCTGATTCCTACGAGCTGAAGCTGGTCCCCTTCATATGGGAAGGGAACTTCACGTTCAATGGCGAGGTGAGGTCCTTGGGAGGTGGGAAAGGTTCCCCGAGGTGGGCTTGACCATCTTAACGTGTTGAATGGGATGAATGATGGTAACGATTTGTAATCAAAACGGTCAAGTCTCACCGATAGTCTCCCCTGACCGCAGGTGAAAATCCTGGTGAACGTCACGATGGACACCAGGAACGTCACTCTTCATGCCCTGGACATGAAGATCGACGAAGGGTTCACCAACGTCAAGGAGCTGGTCACCGTTCGCGGCGTTCCCACCAAGACCAGGCAGATTCGAGTCGAAGAACAAAGGAACGACACCTTGCGACAGTTCCACGTGATCAGCACTGCGGAAACCCTGAAAGCTGGCAGACAGTACCTGGTGCACATGAAGTACATCGGCTACTTGAACGACTATCTCCAGGGCTTCTATCGAAGTTCCTACACCGTCGGCAACCAAACTAGGTCGGTGGAAGATGGAGCACTCTGAGCGATGTCAGATACCGGCAGGGAATTTCCTTTCATGCTGGGGAGATCTTGCTTCTGTTGCTGATTAAGGGGATGCGAAAGTGGCATTCGAGCGATCAATCGTTCTAGGACACTTTTCAATTTTGCTTCATAGATGGATCGCGACCACGCAGTTCCAGCCCACGGATGCAAGGAGGGCCTTCCCCTGCTTCGACGAGCCTGCCCTGAAGGCTAAGTTCCAGATCAGCATCGCCAGGCCCAAGAACATGAGCTCCATATCCAACATGCCTAGAAAGGGCGACCCGAAGCCTGTGTAAGGGAGGTTACAAGTTCTTGTAACTCTTACAATTGTATCGGTTATTTTTATTTATTTTATTTTAATTTTTTTTACACGAAACTCCCGAGAGGGTGTTTGGACGGAGATTGATGTTGCTCTTCCTTGTATTTTCCAGACCAGGAGTTCCCACTTACTTGTGGGACCATTACGAGCGCTCAGTGCCCATGTCCACCTATTTGGTTGCTTTCATCGTCTCGGATTTCAAGGTGTTGAAGTCCAAGTCCGGTAATTTCGGTGTCTGGGCCCGCAACGAAGCCATCAACCAATCACTATACAGCTTGGATATCGGTCCAAGGATTCTGGAATACTTCGAGGGGTACTTCAAGATCAAGTTCCCTCTGCCCAAGATCGACATGGTCGCTCTTCCCGACTTCTCTGCTGGTGCCATGGAGAACTGGGGACTCATCACCTACAGGTGAAGCACGAATATCCTATCAAGTGTGTCAGAAGTTGCGATTAGAATGGCCGCCAGAGTTTGTTCCTGGTTAAAACTGAGATAGTAGTTCCTGGGATGACTAAAACGACGGGAACTTATTCTGCAAACTAATGGGACGAGTGGGAATTCATTTCTAGGGAGACGGCCATGTTGTACCAACAAGGCGTCTCCACCAGCAGCAACCAGCATCGCGTTGCTACCGTTGTTGCTCATGAACTAGCTCACCAATGGTTTGGCAACCTCGTGACACCTAGCTGGTGGACGGATTTATGGTTGAACGAAGGGTTTGCCAGTTACGTGGAGTACCTAGGAATGAATGCCGTAAGTTGAATCGCCTCGGTACTACCCATTAACCAAATCGGTCCTAATGAACTTTTGCCATTAACGCTGACGTATCCATCTTAGGTGGAACCGCAGTGGAGGGTCCTCGAGCAGTTCGTGGTCCATGAGGTGCAAAACGTCTTCGGCTTGGATGCTTTGGAGTCCTCGCATCCGATATCGATTGAAGTTGGCCATCCGGATGAGATCAACGAGATATTCGATAGGATTTCTTACGGGAAAGGTACTTCTGCCTTGATTAAAAATTTGGTTCCTTCTCAAGGAAGTGTCCAGGAAGCTTATCCGTACGATTGTTTGCAGGGGCCTCGATAATTCGGATGATGGACCATTTTTTAACCACCGACGTCTTCAAGCAGGGATTGACGAACTACTTGAATGGCAAGTGAGTCGGGCGATGATGAGCATTTTTTACAATTGTTAGATACGTTTTAGGACGTGTACCAGTCACCAATGTACTTTTCTTAGAGCCTATCAAAGTGCTGAACAGAACGACCTGTGGGACGCTTTGACGCTTCAGGCACACAAGGATAATGTCCTATCACAAGATGTCACCGTAAAACAGATCATGGACACTTGGACCCTCCAGACTGGGTTTCCAGTGGTCACCGTTAAGAGGGACTACAACAATGGCGAAGCCGCCCTTACGCAAGTAATGAGATGACATGTTTAAACCAAACAATGCGTCCAAGTAGCTTTGGATTGGTAGTCCACTTCATTACGCAATTCCCTTTCTCAGGAAAGGTTCATGCTGCGAAATGGAACGGTGATGTCTACAACGGGCGAGGAACCTCGTTGGTGGATTCCAATTACCTACACCTCGGAGAACCGAAAAAGTTTCGATAACACCCATCCATCGCACTGGATGAAAGCGGAGCCGAGTCTTACCCTAAGAAATCTGTCCGCTGGTCCGACAGAATGGGTGATCTTCAACGTCCAAGAAACCGGTAACGACCGTAACTCCACCTCCCTTGGGTTTAAAGTTCCCCGATAACCCCTTCTGATCACGGCGAACAAACTTCCAGGGTACTACCGAGTGAACTACGACCAGATGAACTGGCAACTCATAATCAAGCAGCTCAACAACGAGAACTTCAAGAGCATCTCCACCATCAACAGAGCCCAGCTGATAGATGATGCGTTGAATCTGGCCAGAGCTGGTCGACTGGATTACGCCACGGCTTTGGATGTGACATCTTATCTCGCTCATGAGACGGAATATCTGCCCTGGAAGGCTGCCTTTACTGCCATGAGCTACCTGGACAACATGCTAATCAAGGCCCAGGGTTACGACAAGTTTAGGGTACGAATTGGGAGAGATGGGATGGTCCAGGTGGGATGGTCTCTGGAACGGTACCGCATACGTGCATCTCCACCTTCTAGGTCTACGCCCTGAAGTTGCTGGACAACGTGTACAATCAAACCGGCTTCATAGACAGTCCCGATGACTCCCAGCTGACCGTCTTCACCCGCGTCGACGTCCTCAGCTGGGCCTGCAGCTTCGGGCACGACGACTGCGTCCACAATGCCATCAGGCAGTTCCTAAACTGGCGGAACACGCCAAATCCTGACAAGAACAACCCGTGAGTACCAACGTTACGGCGGGATAATTGGAGCAAGATTCACAATTGTGGGGTGACTTCAGGATCTCGCCGAATCTGAAGAGCGTCGTCTACTGCACGGCTATCAGAGTGGGTGGCCAAGCCGAGTGGGAGTTCGCTTGGCAGCGATATCTGGAGACCAACGTCGGTTCTGAAAAGGACCTGTTGCTCCATGCTCTGGGATGCACCAAGGAGGTTTGGATCCTGCACCGGTACCTGGACTGGGCCATCACCGAGAGCTCTGGGATCAGGAAACAGGACGTGGTCAGAGTCTTCGGATCTGTCGCCAACAACGTCATCGGCCAACCGCTGGCTTTCAACTACTTCAGGAACAAGTGGTCACGGCTTAAGGAATAGTGCGTGGCGTTCCGTTAACTATAAAAGCTGTGCTTTAGCTCCAGGGGACGTCACACTGACACCGATTTATCTGTTGCAGCTTTGGCACGTCATTTCTGAGCATCAACCACATCGTCAAGTCCTCCACCAAGAGAATAAACACCAAATACGAACTGAAAGACGTAAGTACCCCGACTTTTGGACTGTTCACTGTGGGACACTTGAATAATGGAAGTGAACATTACCGGTACAAAACGCGTAAGGATGGTTTTTGAAAGAGTGGCCAAAGCTGGTCAACAATGTCTAATAGTCCTTTCAACTTTGAGGCTTCTCTTCCATCTCCACCCTGGACGCTGTTGTGTACGAAATGGGCTTTGCAGGATTTCATGTTTATTGGGCAGTGGTACTGACATGGAAGACGACACTTACATAGACATAAAAGTTCAGAGACGGCTCAACAACAGCTTTGACATACACTTTTGGCTCCGCAGTTGCTGGAATTCGCCACCGAGCACAAGGACGAGCTGGCGTCGGCGTCGCGAACCGTACAACAAGCCATAGAACAAGCGGAGGCCAACATCCGGTGGCTGGAGAGGAACCATGTGACGATCCGGGACTGGCTGCAGAGGAACACGGCGTAATCAGCGTTATCAGCCACGGGTCGAGAATTTCCTCGGGCGGAGAAATCGTCCACTTGAGAAATCGTTGGGTCTTGGGTAGAGTCGGTCCACTTTGCGTCGCCTATCAGCCTCGTCGCGTTTCCTTCCCTGTGGAGTGACCTGTTTCCGAAGTTACGATAAGGCCCTCTTTTTGTATGTACTTGTAAATACAATATCGCGCGCGCAAGGTTGATAGTATGTATATCGGAGGTTTAAGCGTGGGCAGGGGAGGTTGCGGTATAGTGTTCGGGCATGATCCCGGAGGTTGGAAGGTGGTGATGAATCGTGCCGGTTTGTGGCTTGTGTTGATGAACTGAGGTCTCCTGCGTCATTGTAGCCGGGTACACATCTGAAGACAAATGTCTCTTTAGATTTGTACTCGGATTGGGATTGCTAACTCTTTCCAAGATTGATTTGCAGCGATTCTGCGCGACATTTCCTGTTGGTCCTCCTAGACACTTCATGGGACGTGATGTTCTATCATCATGCGATCCCACGTCCTGTCTAGAAGGATGTTGCTCGGATTCTGATTGCTAACTCTTTCCAAGATTGATTTGCAGCGATTCTGCGCGACATTTCCTGTTGGTCCTCCTAGACACTTCGTGGGACGTGATGTTCTATCATCATGCGATCCCACGTCCTGTCTAGAAGGATGTTGCTCGGATTCTGATTGCTAACTCTTTCCAAGATTGATTTGCAGCGATTCTGCGCGACATTTCCTGTTGGTCCTCCTAGACACTTCGTGGGACGTGATGTTCTATCATCATGCGATCCCACGTCCTGTCTAGAAGGACGTTGCTCTTGCCGGTCATGGTTTATTAATTTACATAAGTTTATTTTTCCGAGTTGTTGCAATGCGGTACGATAATAAAGTTGTATTCATTTGTATGAAAAGGAGGAGGGAACAGTACCGTGTTCTTGGGATATTGTTGGTGTTGGATGGGTTGTGGTGCTCAGATTAAAAGTAACAGTGCGGCGAGGAATAACTCTAGGAGGATGGGGATTGTACCATGAAGATCAGCACTGGTGTCCGTGGGAGACACCTCTTTGTATGTTGTTTCCAACCACGAGATGATGTCCGCAGAATAAATTCTGAACCAGTTCAAGTTCTCCTTGGCCTTTTCTCTGACGACATCCAACACGGGTGCCATGTCTGGTAAGTTGTCGCCGGTTAATTCTGCAAAGGTCTGCAGCTGTAAATTAAAAGGGAGGGATGTTAGAAACGGGAACATTGAAGCACTGTGAAAGGGTAATTGTTATCTGGGGTAAATCTGGCACATCGAGAGAAACACGTACCTTATTATACTGTTCGGAAGTCGATAGGTATTCACTAAGTAAGACGAACAATTCCCCAACCTCGTCCCAATTGTTGAAACTGAAATGTCGATTGATGATTACGGAGACTCGAAGGTTGTGCAAAAGTTCGTAACGAGTTGCATGCCTTCAATGGACTCAAAATAAAGCCGAAGTTTCGCTGATAGGGAGTCCCTTTATCATTTTTTTAGCTGATGAATCGCTTGGGAAAGAAACGAAACACTTACTACTGGCGCAAGTCCTGGTACCGATGAATCAAGAAATCCAAAACCGCGTTGGTACCCACTTCCCCAGAGCTGAAGACAGCAGAGAATACTTTCGAGACATCCAATCTTCGGATGGCTTTGTCTGAAGACACCGATTTCTTCAAGTACCTGCGATTCAAATCCCAAATCCATTACCCAAAAATTCCTTACCCAGGCAGGATCGAATAATTGCGGAAAGTAATGGCGCTTTCAACACGTAACATAACGTGGAAGAAGACGCTACTTATGCATCAACCCAATAGTTACACTTACTCGAAAAGAATGCTCCTATTCTGCGAACATCCCAGACCATCTAAAATGTCGGATTGATGGGCGACGAATTTCGATTTCTTGTACTGATCCCAAAGGAAGTCCCAATCCTCGGTTGTTCCATGCTTTATGGCCGTGCAATACACGACTTCCCTCACATTCGGTGAAATCCTGGGGTCGAGACACATTAAAGCATTACTTCTTGCTTAAGGTGAAGTGAAACCCCCCTCAAATAAGCCCATCACCCAGTAAAACATCGAAAACCTGCACGAACCACACCGTGTTCGTTCTAGTCCATGATGAGTAAAAAAAATGACTTGGTCACACAGATATATACAGGCTGACTCTTTCGAATCACCTTAATAAATTCATATGACAAAGAAGAAACCCACATCTTCGAGGTGTCCTTGCGGAAAGCCGCGAACACATCCAGGGATCGGCGAACGCACTCCTCGTGCCCATATTTGCAAGCCCAGGTAGCTATCAACAGTCTATTCAACATGTCGACATGTCTATCTCCATCCTCATCCTCAAATCCAAGTTTCCTGAAAGGCTCATCAACCAAAGCCAAGACGTGCTTCGCGAGAAGCTCTTCCCGATCACGTCCTCGGAACCGCTGATGGAGGAACTTGAAGTTGTTGAAGAACGCCTTCCACGGGAAGTGACTAAACTCGCTCTTCAGGTAATTAGTACCCTCCAGAGCCAAATTATACTTTACATAGTCTGCCCTAGCCAAATTGAGCAGATCGTCGATGATCTGAGCTCGGTTTACTTCGTGGATGACCGCGAAGTCGCTCTTCAGCACAGACAACAAACGCCACCAGGTCCTGTTGTCATAGTTGACTCGGTAGTACCCAACTTCCTGGACGTTTAAGATGAACCAGTCATCCGGGATCGCTAGTTTGGTGCTGGTGAACCTTTCCCCGAACCAGAAACTAGGGGACGTCTCGTGGAAGTCCCTAGATTTGCTGTCGGCGATGGTGATAGGGACCCAGAAAGTGGCGTTGGCTAGGGACGAGTTCCCAAAGTACAGAAACCGTTCCTAAATCCGGTGATCAAGATGCTAATTAGATTCTTATGATCTGTGGTACTCTCGGAGGCTGCTGATCATTTCCACGCACCTGGGTGAGCGATAATCTTCCCCCATTCAATGTTGCGTTGATTACCGGGTATCCTTCTTGTTGTGTCCAGCTGTCCATGATCGTTTTTACGGGTACCTTCAAATTCCAGCTGGTTTTCGCCTTGTCTACCTGAATCTGCAGGGCCAATGAGAGATCATCAGGTGTAGTGTTGTTGTATCGATGTGTTATCAGGTAATCGTGCAAGGCGTTTGCGAAGACAGTGCTCCCGAAACTGTGGTGCATCATCCGGAGGACGCTGGCGGCTGTAGAGATGGGTATTTTGTGTTGACAATTGACCATGGAAGCAATTGACAAACCCGTCTTGCTACTTACATTTCTCATAAGCCACTGTACTAAATTTCTCCTTAACGTGAGAAGGCGTGGAGCCGCTGGTGGTCATCGGATCAGTCTGTGGAGGGACGTCGAACTCCAACGCGGTTTGCAGATCGTAGACCACAAACTGATCAAGAAGCTGCCAGTCGGGCTGCACCTAGGGAAGAGTCAACGCTTCTTTTTAGTACCTTCCAGTAATTCCCTGACATACGATCTAAATTGCGCCTTACCGAATTCAATGTAACCCACTGGAAGTATTCCGCAAATCCCTCGTTCAACCAGATGTAGTCCCACCATTGACAGGTGACCAGGTTCCCAAACCAGGTGTGAACCAGCTCATGGGAAATGAGAGTACCCGATGATCTTCTTCTGAAGGCTGATGTGTACTTGTCGTTCAAGATCAATGCCAACTCCCTGAAATGGAAAGGAAGTGATGAGGAAGCACGGATCACCGTTCTCTATCACGGGGACGTTCTATCTTTTTAAATGATGGTTGGGATTTCTACACAGACCCAAATGTTACTAGGCCCCAATTTTCCATGGCGGCCCGACCGAAATCTGCTATCGCCGCGAAATCCATTTTAGGGAGGTCATAGGGCACTCCAGTGAAATCCTCCAGGAATTTTATGGACTTCTCTCCGACAGACAGAGAGTAATCCGTGTATTCAATTAGGTCACTTCGTCCCCAGATGGTTAAATTATTGTACTTGTTGGTGTTTTCTCCAAAGTCTGAGACTACAAACGCTATCAGATAGGTGGACATCAGCGGAGTCTCTTGGAAGTTGTCTCTTATCAGGTCTCCAATCCTGAAACATGTTAGAGAAAATTGTTACTTATGGAGTCTCATTATTTATTTTATGGTCTTTGGTTAAAGTGGTTTAAAAGTATTTTTAGGTACTCACGGTTGGGAGTTGTTGAGCGGCATGTTGCTTATCACTTTGTACTTCGGCTCTCTTCTGATATGAATTGTAAACTTGGCTTTGAATTGGGGCTCGTCGAAACAAGGGAAAACTTTCCTGGCGTATATCGGTTGGAAATGGGTAGCACCGATCCAGCTGGAATTTCAATAAATTACCGCAATTTGATATCGTAACGATGAAATTACTGTTTAAACAATTGTTATAGGAAAAAAATATACTTACTGAGTCTCCCCATCGTCATCCACGTAGGAGCTGAGATAAAATCCTTGAAAATCGTCCACAAGGATCCCAGAGTACTTAATATTAATTTCTAATTTGGTACCAGCTGGCACAATCGAAGAGAGGTAAATAGACAATTTGTTCGTCTCCGAGTCGACGTTGTATGACAATACATTGTTCTTAGTTTCGGCACTTTTGTGCACCTGGACGTCCTTTATATCGATGTTGCTTGCATGCAGGACAATTCTTACAGTCTTTTGAAGGACCTTCGCGGATATTTTCACTAGGCCAGAGAATTTCGCTTCTTGCAATTTTGGGTTTAGGTATATGTCGTAATGAGTCGGTATGATTACTGTTGGCAATCGATAAGATGTACTTGGGTATGTCTTGTCCAGCCATTCGTAAATTCTTGGGGAGTATGTCTCGAACCATGTTATTTCTGATTGTGCTCGAGTCAAGTACGAGTTTATGTTACTTGCGATCTCGGAAAGTGGAGTGCCGCTCTGATGAGCTTTCGAGAAAGCTTCGAACTGAAATTTAACGCGAGCTTGTTGGGTATTTCAGAAATAAAGGGGTATGAAAGTGAAAATTCAAAATTTACAACGTGAATATGGAAGCAATTTCAATTTTTATAAACAATTTTTTAAATGACTGTAAATAAATTAAAAAAAAAATTGAAGTTTCATGGGTGCAGGATTTTTCTTAAAGCCAGATTTCGATAGTGTTTTTATAAATAAAAAGTGCTTTTACCTTGGCTAATAGTTCCTTAGTAGATAACCGCGAAGAAATACCCTTTAGGATACTTTTAATTTCTTTGTAACCTCCGTAGCTGCAGATTGCAAATTAATATTTTACATTATTCTTTTGTAAAGAGATTTTACTTACGCTACTTAAGTACTTACTACTTGTACATGTCTTTGTAGTACTTCTGAAGGAAGTCAAGGGAGAAGCTTGCACCTATCAAGCTCGAGTCATAAACCGAGGAAAAGACTTTCTGACTATCTTGCAAACGAATCTCAGAATCGAAAGTAATTGCACTGCGCAAGTACCTGAAATTGACAAGTAATTGTAATTATCTCTTCGTTAATAAAAAATCTCATTCCCTGGTTTCAGTAGAAATTTCGGTGGAAAAAATGAAACACGTACTTCTGCAGTATTGTCGTATTTTTAGTACAACCCAAAGCTTCCAATATTACTAATTTTTCGGAAACAACATTAGCTTCCAAATATCTTTTCCACAAAAATTCCCAATCACTGGAAGATCCATGTCTAATGGCGGAACAGTAAACCGCAGATCTCTGGTTTACAGGTACTCTGAAAATGCAATTTCAAATATAATTATTACCTAATTAGAGGATATGAAAGTCCCATTTGAGTGTTTACCTCTCTTTTGGATTCTGTCTCCATTTCGAAAACGCTTTCTGCGATTCTAAACGACAGTCCGAATGTCCATAATCACATGCCCAAAGAAGCACATGTCTCCTCAACAATGTGTCCTGATAATCTTCCCCATCAACATCGTAGAACCCAAGACTTTTGTAGACAGGCTCTATCAAAGTCAGGAGATGTTCCTACAAATCGATAACTTTGTTGAGCCTCCACCTAAACCCAGCAACATTGCTGATGAAGTGTCACCAACTTACTTTGAACGATTTGTATGTCTCGGTCCCAGCTAATCTCTTGTTCAAGTGATTAAACCCATTGAAAGCTGCTCTCCAGGGAACATAATTGCTCTCCCTTGACAAGTACCGAGTTGCAGAAAACACTATTCCGAAATCTACATATCCAGTTCTGCCTAAATTCAGCAGATCATCGATGATAGATGCCCGATTCACCTCGTGGATGTCGTCCATCATCGCCAGGGCGTCGATGATCTTGTACCATGACTCAGGGTCATAGTTAACTCGATAATACCCTGGGTAATAATTAATTTGTTGCAACTCTATGATTTGTTTGCGCTAATCTAAAGCCAATAGGGGTAAAATGTACTCCAATCACGGTGCAGCATTTTCCCCTAATCGCTATGAACTTGTTCCTCTCACCGGATTCTTGGACGTTGAAGATCACCCACTCGTCTCCACCAGCACTTATGTTGACAGAGCCTGTCAATGTGTTCAGCCAAAATTGTGGGGTGGTGTTGTTAAAAGACGGATTGTTCTTCGACGCCCAAGTGACGGGAACCCACCAAGTGTTCTTGCTGGAGGCTTTTCCTCTCAGAAGAAATCGTTCTTGAGAAAGGGACGCCACTCCGTCGCTGATGGTGACATTCAGGACAGGGAACCCAGACTGGGTGGTCCAAGAGTCAAGAAATTTGTTAACCGTGGTCGGCAAAGGGTATTTCGCGGCATTTACTTGGTCCTGGAAAGCCTTGTAGAGGTCCTCCGGCTTGGCCACATCATATTTCCTAGGATAACAATGGTTTAAGTGTAAACGGACCTGATGTGGCTACACACACATCTTCATCCTATTCTGGGCAGACTGATCTGGATATTTAATTCAGGCCTGATCAACTCACTTGGTCTTCAGGTAATTCTGCAGCGCCCTGTCGAAGATGGTGGGACCAAACACCTTCTGCACCATTCGAATAATACTAGCTGCCTTTGCGTAGGAAATGCCATCGAACATGTCTCTGATTTGGGTTGGGCTGTAGACATCGTTGCTCATGGGATGAGTAGAAGTGACTCCATCCACCCCAAAGGACACCTGAAGATGGTCCACCACGAACTGATTCTCCAGATTCCAGGATGGCTCCAGCTGAAGAGCACCCAACACCCAAACGTTAACCACATTCATTTTGGGTTCTTTCGCCGTTTCCAACAACCTAAAAAGGCCCTTCCCCAGCATGATTTCATTCACCAACCTTGGCGGATTCGAAGTACTGGAAGTACCTCGCGAATCCCTCATTCAACCACAGGAACTTCCACCAAAGTGGACTGACGAGGTTGCCGAACCACTGATGGGAAATCTCATGACTGATGACGTTGAAGGCTGCTTGTCTCGTCGATATGGAAGTGTCTTTCTGGTCCACCAACATGAAGACCTCCTTGAAAGTCAGAAGACCCCAGTTCTCCATGGCGCCGGACGCAAAGTCCGGCAGGGCAGCCATGTCCAGCTTCGGCAGATGGTACTTCTGCTGGAAGTCCTCTTCGAACCTGGTCAGTAGTCTTTTCATGGCGTCCAGGGAGAAATCAGCCTGATCGATGGCGTTGGGTCTGGCCCAGACCCTTAGAAGCGTGTCCGATGTGTTGTCGGACTGAGATTTGAAGTCTGAAACGTGGATAGCGACCAGGTAGGTCGACATCAATGGAGTCTCCTTGAAGGTGTCTTTGATCCTGTCTCCGGATTTCTTGGACATGTCCAAAGGCATGTTGCTGATCGCCACGTAGTTTGCTGGTCTGTTCACGCTGATTATGAAAATCGCCTTTAATGCTGGCTCGTCGAAACTTGGGAACAACTTTCTTCCTGAACATGGCTCTAGGTGAGTACTTGCCAGCCACACTTTTCTGCCTTTTTTGTTCGTGTAGGAGCTTCTGTAAAAGCCGTTCATCTCCGTGTTCAGGACACCGTTGTAAGTGATCTCGATCAGCAATGAGGTTCCTGGGGGTTTTAGGAGGTTAGGTGCACTGAATCGCTTCAAACTTTGTGGGATGAAGGTGGAGACTAAATTTGCTTATAGATTTTAAAAAATTTTCATAAAAAATGATACTTCACGGTTTAAAATGATTCGGTACGTTCAGTTCGATGGAAAGCTTCTCTAGCTTTTTGAAACTACTTTTGTATCACCTTAAAAATTGGAATTGTACCTCTTGGGAGTTCGCTCTCTAATTCTATCACCCAGAAGTGGTATTTCGGTTGCTTCTTAATATTTTTAATCGGCCTAGGGGCCTTATCAACGATCACGCTGACTTTGGAATAATTGATAGCGTTTGCATGAAGTGTTATCGTCTTTGTTGCTCGCTGCACTTCGGCGTTTATTCTGACGAATCCGTCGAAAGTGAAGTTGCCGACCACGAAGTATGGAGTCACTTCTATGTGGTATTTCTTGGGGATGATGTCGAGGGGAAGACGATATTCCGTGGTGAATGTGGGGTCTGTAAAAAAATTCATTCCTACAGCTTTATGTCCATAAAACGTGGGATTTTGGTCTCTCTCCATTATTCGGCGGATATGAAAAATTGTATGATTTATAAAAACGCACCATTGTTATAGAACTCCTTGATCCACTTATTAATTGTTGCCGAATTCTTCTTGTACCACTGAAAATCATATTTCGCGATTTCGAGAGATTGTTTTAGCGTTGTGTTCACTGGGACGAAATTTTCAAATCGAGATCCTATTAATTCTTCGTATTTGTTAATTAACTCTTCCGTCGAGAAACTTTGCGACGTTTTCGACAAAAGATCGGCCATTCTAGTGTCCCCGAAACTGAAAAGAAAATTCTTGAAGAAATTATATTTATTATTGTCTGGAATTATTTTATGCTTACGTGGCCACCATTTTTTCATAATGTTGATCTACAAACTGAAGAACAAATTCCGCCCCTCGTATTCCGCATTTAACAACAGACATAAACGATGAAAATTTGTCTTGATTCCGAATGCGATTTTCTTCAAAATCGGAAAGTACGTATTTGAGAAACCTTCCGAAATAATTAATAAACAAAGATAACGTTATCATCGATTTTAATATCGTGTAAAAGAATTAATTAATGTGGAATTCACGTACTTATTTATTATTGTCTGATTCGTACTACATCCAAGGGAATTCAAAATGGAAATTTTTTCCGCAGCCGAATCGGCTTGTAAATATTTTTTCCATAAAAATTCCCAGTCTTCCGATTTTCCGAGCCGTATCGCCGTTTTATAAACAATCTCTCTCTGATTTGGAGAGATTCTGAAATAACGATAATGAAAATTTTTGCACAAATATGCTTTAATCGAATATCAATAACGATAGTATTTATGTATTTAACTCGTCGCCCAGCTTTGTGGAATTAATTTATTATGTTGGACTTTTGAAAAAGCAACTTACGGGTTCGTTTTGCCCTTTTTGAATTTCTCAAAATATTCCAGAGATCTCGAAATGCATTCTTCGTGGTCTAGTTTACACGCCCACTCGTTCAATTCTCTTCTCAAGAAAATTGTTAACCAATCATCCTGCTTGCGATCCTCGAAGCCTAATTTGTTGTAGGTTTTTTCAATCATCACCAAGACAATTTTCTGGCACAAAATACCGATTTGAATTGTGAGGATTTTTTTCGACAATGCCTAAGTTCAGGTTAAGGGTTATTATTAAAAATCGGTAAACACTTACCCTGAACTCATTGTACTCAGATTGGCCATCGAATCGTTGTCGGAGAAATTCGAGGGCCGTAAGAGCCGCCTTAAATGGAATATAATTCATCTCGTTACGAATATATTGGAGGCCATTAAAAGCAGTTCGATAATCGACAAGATTTGCTCTGGCCAGATTAAACAGATCGTCGATGATAGCCGCTCGATTGATCGGATCAATTCGATCAAACTGATCGCTGTTCAAAGTATCGATTATTTTCTGCCAAGTAGCATTGTCATAATTCACGCGATAGTATCCTAAAATCAGAAATTCCGAATTAACACGTTGATTATTAATCTAAATAGTAACATCTTACGTATTAATTTAGTTGCATTATAAATTAATTTAAGTATGCATGCCTGATTCCAATACATTGAAGACTATCCAATCCTTCTCTGCAAGATTCACTTTAACGTTTCCACTTCTCTCGCCAAGCCAGAATTTTGGTTCGGTATTTTCAAAATTCACCTCTTTTTGGGTAGTCCAAGTTATCGGAACCCACCAAGTGTCGTTAATCGGAGTTTCTTGCAGATTTCTTAGCAAAAATCGTTCTTGGCGAAACTCCGCTTTGCCATTTTTTATGGAAACAGAGACCACGGGGTATCCGGCTTGGGTAGTCCAAGTGTTCATTATATTTTCAATTGTCGTTGGGATTTTTATTTCGGACAAGTCCACCTGTCGTTGAATCGACTTCCAGAGGTCTTCCGGTTTCGCGTTGTCGTATCGCCTGTTCAGAGTAGATATTATAAAATAGAGAATAGAATACCGGACCCGATTAAGGCAGAAATTTCGTTGCAATTCATCTCTTTCAATTATAATAGTCTTCGTTTCTCAAATCGGAAGAGTCCTCGTCTTGGACTTGCTTGAAGCATGATTCGTTCACTATGTACCCGTGCTTACCTCGACCACGTGTACTACAACAAACTAGGAGAGCACTTGTTCCAACTTACTTGGACCTCAGATAGTCCCGAAGAGCATCGTTGAACGAATTCCCCAGGAATAGCTGCACCATGCGGAGGACGCTGCTCCCCTTCTCATAGTTTATGGTGTTCGACATAGAAGCTATGTCCAGTTGAGTAGAAGTCCTCTTCGACATCGGGGTCGACGTCTCCAGGGCATCATCAGCGAAAGCGACGTGATGTAGATCTACCAGGAATTGCTGATCCAGCTTCCATTTTGGCTCGATCTATTTTTCACACTCATTTTTATGGCCATCAGTGTGGTGGAGTTATCCAAGCGCGATTTACCTGGTTCGTTACGACGTACTCGAAGTACCTGGCGAAAGCTTCGCTCAGCCAAAAGAAGTCCCACCATGCCGGAGTGACTAGATTCCCAAACCACAAGTGCGTGCACTCGTGAGAAATTATCCTAGCCACCTTCTGCTGATCCTTTGCCGATGTGCTTTTGCTGTCGTACAGCAAATAGATCTCGCGAAACGTCAAGAGACCCCAATTCTCCATGGCACCAGCACTAAAGTCTGGCACCGCCACCAAATCCGTTTTTCCAAGCTTCCCGTCGTTACCGAACGTCCTGGATAATTGTTGAATTACTTTCGGTGCTACTTCTAAGGCAAACTCGGCCTGGGCGATTGCTTCCGGTCTGGCCCAGATTCGAACTTCGTCTTCGACTGCATTGTTGCTGATAGATCGCAGCTCCGAGATGACAAAGGCGACGAGGTACGTCGACATGGGAACTGTTTTTTGGAAAGTGTCTTGGTACAGACCATTACTGAAAGCGAAAGGGGTAGTCAGGACATTTTCTGGAGTCTCGCCGTTCATCCTGTCGCATTAGTTCATATTTAATTCGGGATTTAATCATTTCATTCACAATTAACTTTACTTACGGGAGCTTCTTTGTCTCGGCTAGTCGCATGTTGCCGATGGTCTTGTACTTCTCCGGCCTGATGACGATGATGTTGAAAGTCGCCTTGAAGGCTGGCTCATCGAAACATGGAAAAACATGCCTGGCGTATGTCCCTTGGAATTGTGTCGCGGCTAAATATCTACAAATTTTAGCGCAATTAGATCGTGGTTCCCTTTAAGGGGGTGTGAAAGGGTGGAGACTTCCCTTATATCCTTCATATTCACACTGTAAAGCTTGAAACGATTTTTGTAACGCTAGTTCAGAGAGAAGTTTCGTAGACGAGACCACACTTTCACGTCCCCTTAAGCCAGATCTTTTGTTTAATTATTTTGGCTTAATTAACGCAGTTTATTCCCCAGTCGTTGACATTGCCGAAGCTAATCGGAGTCCGATTAGATCATGTCCTTTAAGGGGGTGTGAAAGGGTGGAGACTTCTCTTATATCCTCTATATTCTCATTGTAAAGCTTGAAACGATTTTTGTAACCCCAGTTCAGAGAAAAGTCGTAGACGAGACCCCACTTTCACATCCCCTTAAGCCAGATCTTTTGGTTAATTAAATGTTAGCTTAATTAACGCAGTTTATTCTCGAGTCGTTGACATTGCCAAAGCTAATCGGAGTCCGATTAGATTATCAATGCTCGCAGAAACACCTAAATATCTAAAAATTTCAGCGCAATTAGATCATGTTTCGCTTTTGGCCCTAAGGGTGGTTCCCTTTAAGGGGATGTGAAAGGGTGGAGACTTCCCTTATATCCTCTATATTCACATTCTAAAGCTTGAAACGATTTTTGTAACCCCAGTTCAGAGAAAAGTTTCATAAACGAGACCCCACTTTCACATCCCCTTAAGCCTGATCCTTCTTTTAATCAAATGTTAGCTTAATTAACGCAGTTTATTCCCGAGTCGTTGACATTGCCGAAGCTAATCGGAGTCCGATTAGATTATCGATGGTCGCAGAAACACCTACTTCCTTTTTCCGCTGGCTTCAAAGTACGAACTTCTGTAGAAGCCCACCATCTGATCGTTAAGGACCCCCTTAAAAGATGTGCTGATTGCGATGCGAGTTCCCTTCGACACTGAATTCTGCAGATTGATTGTCTGCTTATCCGTGAACTCGTGATAAGCCGTGGATTCGATCTTCAGAACCTCCTCTCCAGATTTTACCAGAAACTTGTCGGTATTTAGCGATCCACCGACGTGGAAAACCAAATTTTTTGTGCTCTCGATGACGTCAGCTGTGATGGTGACGCTTCCCGTGAAGTTCTTGTCACTTGGATTTGTTGATATGAGAATGTCATATGATCGAGGCTCGATTGACTTCGGCAAACGATATTCGTCGTCTTCGATCGATGATTGATATCCCGGTGCCTGATTTTCCCAAAAATTTTCAACATTTCTGGGATCATTGTTGCTGGCTTTTGAAGTCACCGCCGAGATGAACAATGTCAGGATGATGAACTTCAGGATTTCCCGGAGTCGACACATTCTAGGGCAGAAATTAAATCCAGTTTGTACTATGTAGGTGTATGAACGTTTCATTTCGCTACATTTATTAATTTATTTAATGTAATTTTGAATTTCATGACGGGGATTAATAACGAATTGCAACTTTCAGGATGAGCTTGAAGCTTCGCTTTCACTCAAAATATCACAATTTTTCCCCTTAACGCTTAACATTTCAATTATTTCACACATTAATAACGAATTGCAACTTTCAGGATGAGCTTAAAGCTTCGCTTTCACTAAAAAAAATTACAATTTTTGCCCTTAACGCTTAACATTTCAATTATTTCACACATTAATAACGAATTGCAACTTTCAGGATGAGCTTAAAGCTTCGCTTTCACTAAAAATATCACAATTTTTCCCCTTAACGCTTAACATTTCAATTATTTCACACATTAACACATGTCGATTGTTCACTTTATCTCTCCTCAATTTCTTGATTTAAATTAATTTTCAGTTTTTTATCAAGAAATAATTCCCAACGAGAAAGCGTACCTGCCAGATAGAAGTGTAGCCGAGCTCCTAAGTTTATTTCCTCTTGACACTCCGTTTATAAAGTCTGTCCGTTATCTTATCACCTTGTTGACCAATGGCGTGCTTCTCCCGAAACGCGAGAAAGCCTACGAAAATTTTCTTTCGAACCTTATCACATGTAGAAAATTTATTAATCATTGACATTTCACCCGGCGAGAACCCATGCCTTCGTTAACTGCAGATTTCCGACTTTCCGCAATGGATTTTCCGATTACTCATCGATAATCGTCATTATCTCCGGAGGTTAATCTGTGAATGTATGTCTCTTCATGTCCACTCATACTTATAATGTCAATTGCGGGATTTCATAACTCCAAGCTGATTCAACAAATTGCAAAGAACTGGTCTTTGAACAAGGAGGCTATAATGTCTTTAACACGCACGAAACTTCATTTTCTTTTTTTTTTTTCCCTAGATCTTGGAAAAATTTAATTTCATAGGTGTCGAGAAACTTTTTATAGCCTCCATGTTTCTATGGAAAAATGTCAAGTAATTCTTTATTAGTTATGAGATGCACACGTGCTGCACTGATCGCGGAAATATTAATAATGACTTTCAGCGGTCGTGCACACACGTGCATCGAATTGTCCTCGGAATCTACACGCGTGGAATGAACAATGAACAATGAACATTGAACATTGATTTGCAATAAGGACTACGTGTCTTTTCCTAAAATGCCTCGCCACGATTCGAAGCGATTGCTGTCGCGTTCTAACTATTGATAAGACGATTGTGTTCTCCAAAACTGCAGACTAGCGTTCAGACTTTTGCGAATTGCTTTCATTTAAAAAATTTTGGATATATGAAGGTGACTTCGGTAGATGAACTTACAGAAGGATGTATGAAAGGGTCGTTCTATGTATGTGAAACGTCAAATCAATGTCAATACGACAAACGTATAAAAATGGTGAAATTGTACATGTCATGTTTAAAAAATAAATCGGTATGCATTTATTATAAATCTGAGAATAAATTCTATGACACCACGTCGTCAGTTTGTGTAATTGTTAGTTCACTTTAATGGTAGGGAATTTATAGAATGTATTGTATGTTCCATTCGGAAATGTGTTACACAATTGGTGAATCAGGTCCGACTGAGACATCCAACAAGGGTGTTGTAAAATTAAAATGAAAAACGATATTCCATGGGTGTCGGGACCTTCTTTACAGCCTCCATATTAATGATGGAAGTTTTAAAACGACTCGGTACATCCTGTTCGGGGAAAAGTTTCATGGACCCTTCGGATGCTGCTTTCACATCCCCTTGAAACCCGCGACAACGGTAGCAATGGATGATGGTTGTCTTTAGATCCTTTCATTAAAGTCTTGATCTTCATACACCTATCAACACCTGATATCCCTTTCCTCGTACATCCATGATTTATTTTAATGAACCTGTATCACAGACACGTGGCCAAGGATGCAGAAACCCCGGAACCCTTCTCAGTTGTTGTCTCTATCTCGGCTCATGTTGTGGTGTTTTCGCTTGTCAGCTCTGAACTCGAGGACAGATCATCAGAAGTTGTATTAGCAATATGCAGCAAGGATGCAGAAATCCCGGAACCCTTCTCGGTTGTTGTCTCTATCTCGGCTGATGTTGTGGTGTTTTCGCTTGTCAGCTCTGAACTCGAGGACCCATCATCAGAAGTTGTATTAGCAATATGATATCCCTCTCCTCATGCATCCATGATTTATTTTAATGAACCTGTATCACCAACAACAACAATGGGACTATCGCGAGACACGCGGTCAAGGATGCAGAAATCCCAGAACCCTTCTCAGTTGTTGTCTCTATCTCGGCTGATGTTGTGGTGTTTTCGCTTGTCGGCTCTGTACTCGAGGACCCATCATCAGAAGTTGTATTAGTAATGTCGGTGCTGGAGGAACCGTCGTTTGAAGTCGTTGATTCTGGGTATGAGGTATTTGGAGATAGCCCATCATGGGTTACTGTTGGTTCGGTGGACGAATCCGTAGTCGAGGGTCCATCATCAGAACTGGATGTTGATGGGACAGTGTCCGAAGTCGTTTGCGAACCTGGGAGTGTCGCATCACTAGAGGATTGCCCATCAGAGGTTGCTGTTGATCCGGTGGGCGAATCCGTAGTCGAGGGTCCATCATCAGAACTGGATGTTGATGGAACAGTGTCCGAAGTCGTTTGCGAACCTGGGAGTGTCGCATCACTAGAGGATTGCCCATCAGAGGTTGCTGTTGATCCGGTGGGCGAATCCGTAGTCGAGGGTCCATCATCAGAACTGGATGTTGATGGAACAGTGTCCGAAGTCGTTTGCGAACCTGGGAGTGTCGCATCACTAGAGGATTGCCCATCAGAGGTTGCTGTTGATCCGGTGGACGCATCCGTAGTGGAGGGTCCATCATCAGAAGTTGACGTTGATGGATCCACGGTGTCCCTAGTAGAAACATCATTGTCCGAAGTCGTTGTTGCTCCCGTTGTTAATTCAACTTCTTTTGGAGGGTATCGCTGGAACAACCAATCCCGGATTGTTGGCTCGTATTGTTCATTCCAGTCCAAATTATCCTTGGCCATCGAAATGGCACCCGAGGTGATGTTCAGCCCATCTCCATGATCCTTGTCAAACTTCACCAACTAAAAGGAACAAATTGCACGGTAAGATGAAATTTAATTTTGCGATTAACATCGCATTAACAAATGTTCGGACTGGAAATGTCACCAACCTTATTGTACTGGTCCTTGGTCGTGATCCTACTTCCAAGGTTCGTCAAGTACCGTCGCAATCTGTCGGTGTCATTTACCCTGAAAAAAAGAAAGAAATCGCAAATATTATAATTAAATCTTGGCGTCCTGATTATCTATTAATATCAACGAAGAATCGTACTTATCGACAATGACTGCCGCGTTTTTAATAAAGAAATCCAGAGCAACATTTACGCCAATGTCGCTCGAGATCAGAACCGAATTGACGATGAGGTGTTCCACGGATTCGGTTGACTCTTCATCAAACGCTTGTTCCAAAAAGTTTGTCAATATTTCTTTGTTCATCGAACATCCTAATGCGCTCAAGGATTGCAGCCGATCTTCTGTATCCTGTTTATATAAAAATTCCTTTGTTTTCGTCCAGATTGTTGCATTCGCTCCGTGCAGTCCGGCACATAGAATGAAACTCTTCATGTCTGGAGAAGGTCTGAAATTGTTGAATCGTTGAATTGTTGAATGGTTGAAATTTCATTTTTTGGTTCTTGCTTCGCCGCTTTCATATCACCTTAATGTATTTAATAAACTTACACATTCTCCTCAGAATCCAGCCAAGCTAACAATTTTTCCTCCGCGTGTTGTCTGCATCCTTCGTGTCCATAAAGACAGGCCCATGTCAAGACACTTAATCTGTTGAATTTCATCAAATCGCTTTCATCATCCCGTTCCTCGTACTCAAGATACTCTATCAACATGTCGGAGATCGTTAAAAAGTGAGTCTGAAAAAAACGGACTAATTATTTTCAGGAATTTCATATTTACACCTTGTTCAAACACATTACAAAACGGGCAAAATGTCTTTGTCGAATAATGTTGAAAGTTGAATAGCATTAAGGTGATATGAAAGGGTAATTCTATGTATATGAAACGTCGAAATGTTTATAAAAATTTCCTGCAAACTGGGTTCGTATCACCTCAACTAACTTCATCTTCTTACCTTAAAAGCTTCATATGATTCAGTGTTGACGAGGTAACGCCTCAATTGTTGAAAACCATTGAAGGTTGGGTACCAAGGCACGTAATCGAGTTCATGATTGAGATATTCCGTGAGATCGAGAAATATTTTGAAATCCAATTGATCATTAAAAGCTAAATTCACGGCGTCGTTCAACAGTTGAGCTCTGTTGAGGATAGGAACTGTTGCATAATTGTTAGACTTCAGTTTGTCAACGATCAAGTTCCAGTTCTGGACGTCATAGTTGACGCGATAGAATCCTATCGAAAAAAAAAATTCGACTTGTATGAACTCGAATTACAGAATTAGTTTCATGAAATTCGACGAAAGTTCTACAAAATGATAATTAAGGTGATGTGAAAGTGGCTCGTTCATGAATCTTTTCTTCAAACTGGGTGTACCGAATTGTTTCCAACTTTACCACGTCACTATAAAAAATAAAAAAGTTCCTATAAACAAATTAAAAAAAAAATTGACATTTCATGAGTGCCCCATACCTTCCTTATAGCCTCCATATTCACATTGAAAAGTGTAAAACGAATTGTTTCGACCTTTACCACGTCACTATAAAAGATAAAAAAATTCCTATAAACAAATTAAAAAAAATATTGACATTTCATGAGTGCCCCATACCTTCCTTATAGCCTCCATATTCACATTGAAAAGTGTGAAACGATTTGTTTCCCAGTTCGGAAAAATATTTCATAAAAAAAGCCTCTTCCTCGCGTTAACGCGAAGCATTTCGCAGAGTCGCTCACCGGTTTGATGTTTATTGACGATAAACCAATCATCGGCTTTTAAATTTTTAATGTTTGTCGTGATACTGGCATCGTTGAGCCACAACGAGGGTGAGGTTTCATCGAAGCTTTCCTCGGAGTCGGGTGAAGCATAATTGATAGGGATCCGCCATTTGTAATCGTGGTTATCGTCCTTCGGAGGATCATCCACCAAGAATCGTTCCTGCTCGAAGGTTACTTTTCCTGTTTTGTAGTCTCTCGTCACGGTGACCAGAGGATATCCCATTTGTTCCACCCAGGTGTCCATGATATCTTTTACCGTGACACTTTTAGGGAGAATTTCTTTGTTCTTCGCCGCCTCGTCTAGGGCGCGGAAGAGATCATCCGAAGTCGCACTGTCGTATTGCCTGTCATTCAAATGGATGAAATAGTTCATCAGTGAGGTAATATGTGCCCATAATTATGAAAGTGGTCTAAGTCATATATTGTTTGTTTCGAAATTACACTGAATTAATTTAGTTTAAAATAATGTGGCGTGAAATAACTGATAAACTCATTTTTTTTGTTTATTTTGACTTAGACCACTTTCATGATTATGGGCACATATAGCATGAAAGCTTCGATATAGACTCACTTCGCATTTAGGTACTTCTGTAGTCCGTCCTGGAAGACTTCTTGCGTCAGGAAGTGCGACATCATGCGAATTACGCATCCGGCTGTAAAGAAATATTTTAAAATTACTTGCAAGTGTTTTTCTTTGCGTAAATTGGCAATTAGGGTACCACTGACCTTTCCCATAGGAGATGCCGTCGAATATCTTCGAGATCTGTGATGGACTCCCAACAGGTTGATTTATTGGATGTGACGTCGAAACCGCATCGGCGACAAAGGCGCCATTTTGCAAATTTTTCACGACTAGTTGGTCCATCATCCTCCAAGATTTCTCCACCTGAAAGTGTTTAAAACCCAATATTTTGTGTTTATTCCACTGTTTTGTGATTGTTGATATGAACTAGCCGATATGAAGATGGAAATTATTAACAATTTACAGCTTTTTTGTACCTGATCAGTCGTGATGTACTAGCCGATATGAAGATGGAAATTATTAACAATTTACAGCTTTTTTTTACCTGATCAGTCGTGAAGTACTGGAAGTAGTTGGCGAAGCCTTCGTTCAGCCAAAGATATTTCCACCATTTTGGACTCACAAGATTGCCAAACCATTGGTGAGCAAATTCGTGAGAAATTACGGACCCAATGCTGTGCTTCCTGGCTGTTGTCGTTATATTCGGGTGGTACAAAAGAGAAGTTTCCCTTGGAACGAAAAATCTCATGAGACAATTGTGCCCATAATTATGAAAGTGGTCTAAGTCATATATTTTTTGTTTCGAAATTACATTGAATTAATTTCCTTTGAAATAATGTGGCGTGAAATAACTGATAAACTCATTTTTTTTCTTAATTTTGACTTAGACCACTTTCATAATTATGGGCACAATTGAAAGTCGGGCAGTCATTGTTATATAAAGACTCTATGTCGATGAATTGCGTCGTCTGAATGCTTCATGAACGCAGCTCACCTGTACGTCACCAGACCCCAATTTTCCATGGCACCAGCTCTGAAGTGCGGAACGGCGACCTGGTCCATCTTCGAGATGGCAAATGTGATGTTCGTGAAGTTCTCCAACGCCTCCAGGGATTTCTTCCCGAAATCCAGGGCGAACTTCGCCGAGTTTAATGTCTGCTTCTTCGTCCAGACCGCGAAACGATCTTCTTTAAGGACCTTGAAGTCCGAGACGACAAACGCCACCAAGTAGGTGGACATTCTCGGCGTAGTCTCAAACTTCGTCCATACTTCGTTTGATCCTTCGATTTCCTCCTGGCCGGAACTAGGCATGTTCGATATGGCCTCGTAGTCTTTCCTATGTCTTATGGAGATGTTGAAGGTTGCTTTCAGGGCGGGTTCGTCCCAACATGGAAATGCTCGTCTTGCGGATGTTGGCTCGAAGTGTGTGGTCGCCAAGTAGCTGTGAAGTTTCGGGATTGGATTAAAAAATTCTCTACTTTTTATTAGCTCTTTTAGGTAAAGTTAGAGCTAGTCCTTCGGCCCCTGCCAGTACGTTTCCCTACTTACAAGGAAGGTACCTGAGGTGTCCCCCTCCGATTTTGTTCATTTTTAAATATGTTATAGAGGACTAAAATCTAAGGGACCCGTGTTTTTTTTTTTATCGGCGGATGAACACTTTTAGAGGGTGAAATCAGGCTTCAAGGTTGGCCGTGTAAGGGGGTGAGTGGGCTGTTTCATATAAAAGCACTCGACCAATTTTCATGAGACAACCGTCAAAATGTAGGGAATGAAGAATTATGAAACGTGCATTTGGAATTTTTCGAAAAAATTCATTTTTAAGGGGTGAGCCACCCCTTAAAAATTCTTTTTTAAGGGGTGAGCCACCCCTTTGAATACTTCTTTTACCCCTTACGCGAGCAGTAACTGTTCTATCCAAATGAAACTTTTTTTTGTATTGTTCTAGTCTACAAATTAACCAAATTTCATTTGGATAGAGGAATTACTGCTCGCGTAAGGGGTAAAAGAAGTATTCAAAGGGGTGGCTCACCCTTTAAAAATGAATTTTTTCGAAAAATTCCAAATGCACGTTTCATAATTCATCATTCCCTACATTTTGACGGTTGTTTCATGAAAATCGGTCGAGTGCTTCTACATGAAACAGCCAACTCACCCCCTTGCACGGCCAACCTTGAAGCCTGATTTCACCCCCTAAAAGTGATTATCCGCCGATAAAAAAAAAACACGGGTCCCTTAGATTTTAGTCCTCTATAACATACTTAAAAATGAACAAAATCGGAGGGGGACACCTCGGGTACCTTCCTTGTTACAGAAATAATCCCAACAACCCCGTGGACATTACTTACGTCTCTATGCCATTCTCGTTGACATACGAACTCCGATAAAATCCATTCAACTCGTCATTTAGCTTCCCTGTATACTTCAGCTCCAGCGTATATTCCCCAGGTTCCAAACTCTTCTCCAGCTCCAAATTAAGAAACTGCCTCTTCGGATCATAGGAGTGCTTCTTCACTTTGGCGTCTTCCTTCCCATCCCTCAACACTTTTGTGGAGTCCTCATCGAACTCCAGATCAAGCTGATGCAGCGTTATGATGTCGGTCTTCTTTTTGACTTCTATTTGGATGCTGGACTCCCCATCGTAGGTGAAGTTCTTGTCTTCTATGAACGGTGTCAGCTTGATCTCGTAGGAAATAGGAACCACCACTTCCGGCAGACGGTAGAAGGACTCATCCTCTTCCTTTTCGATCCTGGATGCCGACTCTCTGAAGATGGGAATGGCTCCTGATAGGGAGATGATGCCGAGGATGAGGCTAATCTTCAGAATCGGCATCTTGGTCACCTGGGGAGTCTTCCTCGTTTGGAAGTTCTATATCAACCTCTTCTTCTGGATTTAACAGGTGGAAATCCAATTGTTGGGCCCTCCCTGGCGAACGCTGGATGGCCGATTAAAGGTTATCGATATAAATCACTACCTTTATAAGCCATTCTCTGGCGACGCCTATCTGTGGAAGTCCTTCTTTTCGATTAATCTTATCGAAATAACTATGTCACTTGTTCGGCGGAATTGTTTAAGTGACCAGCGATGACTCGGCCAGTGAAGGTTTGCGCCGAATTTATAACTTCGGACCCGAAAGGTGGATTCTGATAAGGGATATGTTCTACTATCTGCGGGAATCGATACCCTGTTCGGTGATAACTCCATAACTCCTTTATATCTGGGAATTTTAGGCCTAGGCTGATTTCTGCTCGTCTTATCATATGGGGCTCAGGGTTATGATAATGGACATGAACTATATGTTGAATTGTTTCGCTAAAGAGAATTTATATGATTTTTTAAAGACAACATTGTTGAGTGATAACTCGTTTCAGAAGTTTCTTCGTGAAGTAGTTCACGGATTGTCACCGATTCTTGATTCGGAATCGATAAGTTTCTTTCTGATAACGCAATCGCCTCTAATCTTTTTAAACTCCGGTATTTCATTAGAGTAATTGCCGTGGTATCGATTCTCAAATACAGAAACTTGGGGAACATTTATTATCATTGCGCATTATCAATTTTAGAGGCGGCGACCAGGACTGGAAATGATAGGTCTGTAATGATAATTTGTTTATTTATTTATCGGGTTATCGGTGGCATGTCTTGTAATTGTTACTATTTACAACGACGATTCGACTTTCTGTAGGCAATTTTTATTAATAACCAGGAGACTTTCCTCGGAATTAGACTTCGGGTGATGATACGAACGATTATCAAATGTCTGCCGCAATTGTTATCGACAATGTGATAAGCATAATATTGGCGAGAGTTATCGCAGATCCGTTGTCTTTGTCTACGGAGTTAGAATCTTCCTTCTGGAAATACGATACGATGTCTCTTTCGTATTTTTTCAACCAATTCATATTTTTCTCCGCCATTGTTATCGCTTCGGTGACACATGTAGCTTCTGCTCCAAATTGCTTCTCGTGTCTCGAAATTAAACTTTTTAACTGGAAAAATAATTAACAAACATCGTATTATTTAATATACATATCGAATTTACTCATCGAGTATTAAGTTACCTTCGTAATTTGCTTATCATTGGTTATTGTCTCGGCGATGTTGGTCAATAATGTGCAAAGCGGATTCTTCGACCAAGAATCTGCAGCCAAGAAAGGAGCAACTATCTTGTAATTCTCGTCAAGAAAATCCAAGACAATCATTATATTCTTACTGCTTCTTTTGTAAATATAACCGAAGACGGAGATCGCGGTTTCGTAGCGATTTTTTAATCCGCCAGTTACGAGGAGTGATAAGAACCTGTTAACAGATATAAATCCAACTTTTGCACAAAGCGTCCCAATATTAATTTCATATTATAATTTCATGGATTTCCCGTATTCTGGCGTGAAAATATCCCTGCAATTAATTTCAGATAATTGGGAAAAAAAAAAGAAAACTTACTCCGTCAAAATTTGTTTATTTTCGATACACCCTAAGCCTGATAAGAGCAAATCTTGCTCGTTTGGATGTTTAGTAACAAAGTACCTGTCTAGGAAAAAATACCAAACTGACTTATTAGCATGGCGAATACCTTCGCAATATGCCCAAACCTTCAAATCCGGAGATATTCTGAAATTAAATAAAAAAGATGTTATAAAGTTATATTTCTCTTTCTTTAACGATGAGGGCACTCCTCGAGTATTTCACGTGGATCTTAAATATGGATTAGGCGAGGTGATAACGGGTCGATAAAGAGCGATAACTTACATGAAATCATTTGGATCTTTCGCCCCGTAATACTTTAATAACGTCTGTTCGGCTTTTTTCTTGCAAACATTATTGCCCATCATACACGCCCAAGAAAGAACTTCCGTTCTCAACAATTTCCTGAGATGGTCGTCGGTTTTTAAAACTTCATACCCCAGACTCTTCTCTAGAGTGGTAACAATTCCCAGCACGTAATTCTTAACAACGAATGAAATGCAATTTATTTCTATTTTTTTTTAATTTTTTAATTATTAAATCGGTGATCGTTAAATTGCAATTTCTATGCCGTGAAAATGACTCCTTTCAACAATGCTCATTCGGATGAAATGACAGCGTTTAAATTGCCACTTTTGTAAGGAAAATTTCTTTGTTTTTAAGGCACGTCGATGATAAAACGTACCTTGAACCTCCCATAGATATGTGAATCCTTTAGCATGGTATTCAAATAAGAGAGTCCTGCAAGGGCTGCTTCCCAGGGGATGCTCTCCTTTTCCCTTGGCAAGTAGAGCAACAATTCCAAAGGGATCGAGTAATTAACGTATCCATATTTCGCCAAATTGAGGGAATCATCAATTAACTGTGCTCGATTCAACACATGAATCGTGTTGTACATGTAGGTACGAAGGTGATTACTTATCAGCTTCCAATTTGTATCGTCATAATTGACGCGGTAATAACCTGCAAGTAAACTTCATGATTTAAAATCCGTTATAAGAAATCACCTTAAGGGGGTGGAAAATCACCCACCCATTTGCTGCATATTAAATATTATCCAATCCTTCGCGTTAAATCCTGTGAGCATTATACTGTCGTCTTCTTTTCTCATCCAGTCACTTGCAGCAGTGTCTGATAAGTACCAGTAGGTTTTAGCTACAAAGTTTATGGGAATCCACCATCTAGAATTATTTTTTACATCCGTGCCGTGAGGACTTTTTAGCAAAAATGGCTCCTAGAATCAGAACGCGTATTTCATATCTTGCACGGGACTTTATATCACTTAGAAATTTGTTGTAGCATTTCAATTGAAGTTTAAACCGAACCTGAGTAATTTCCTGAGTATTCGTGGTATAGTTTCTGATAACCGTGATTAAGGGGTACCCTTTCTGATCGGTCCATGTGTCCATTATAGTTTTTATACTCAAATGTTTCTGCAACAATGTTCGATTTGAACTGTCCGATGCTTCTTGAAAAGCTTCCCACAGATCATCCGTGGTCGCCGATTCATATTTCCTAAAAAGTCACTCAAATGTTGAAATATATTTCCTAAATTGTTATTAAAAAGCCTTACCGCTTCGTAAGGTAAATTCTTACGCCATTTTGGAAGACCTCCTCGCCTAGAATGTGAGACAACATGCGAACAGTGCAGGCGCCTGCAATAAATAATTAATAATTATCGTAATTACGTCGCTGATAAGAACTCCACCGGTATCTCGCAGGACAATAGGCGCATTTCGATAGCCTTGCCTTGCAATCTCGAGCTTTCGTTTACGCGCTTCCTTTATCGTTTGAAATGACATTAGTCGAGCTTATCCTGCGATGGTAATTGCCTCATTATCTCTTGGATGGACAGTCCGTCCAGAAAGAGCGTTTTCTTCGGAAAATTGATTGCAAGACCGAGTTTATATAATGTTATGAACTTGTGATATTTATTTGACAATCCTGACACCCACCTTTGTAATACGTGATTGTGTCGAAGAGGTCGAATGTCCTGGAAGGCTTCTCGATGTCGACGTTCAAAGGATGTGACTTTGTCGAGAGATCGAATTCGAATGCTTTGTGGCAAAGGTTTATTGTAAAGTGGTCCATAAGTCCCCAGCTGGTCTCGGCTGAGGATGTTATTAAATATTGAAAGTAAGTAGCGATTCCCTCGTTTAACCAAATGTACTTCCACCATGCTGGACCGACCAAGTTCCCAAACCATTGATGGGTCAATTCGTGACAAATCACCATGTTGACATCCTGCAATTGTCGACTTGTCGACATTCTACTTTTCAACTCGACATTTCGCTCCCTAAAAGATATTCCATAATTTTTAATGGCATAATTATTGTACCGCGGTATTCACGCTAACTTGGGAAGTATAAATAAAATTGTTTTGCATGGCAAATTAAATCCTGACTGGGTCTCAGCTGGGCTTAATTTGACATTGTGACATGTTTCCTAATCAGTTTTTCACTCGGATTAATTTAAAAAACTACTTCATGAACTCATTTAGGACTTGAAGCCTTCATACCCTATTTCCACGTTTTATCAAACCTATTATTTGACATTGTGACATGTTTCGACTATTATTGTTTCGACCTATTATTTGACATTGTGACATGTTTCGACCTATTATTTGACATTGTGACATGTTTCGACCTATTATTTGACATTGTGACGTTTTTCACTCGGATTAATTTAAAAAACCCCTACTTCATGAACTCATTCAGGACTTGAAGCTTCCATACCCTATTTCCATATTTTATCAAACCTATTATTTGACATTTTGACGTTTCCTAATAAGTTTTTCACTTGGATTAATTTAAAAAACCCCTACTTCATGATCTCATTCAAGACTTGAAGCCTCCTTACCCTATTTCCACATTTTATCAAACCTATTATTTGACATTGTGACGTTTTTCACTCGGATTAATTTAAAAAACCCCTACTTCATGAACTCATTCAGGACTTGAAGCCTCCATACCCTATTTCCAATTTTTATCAAACCTGTACGTAATCAGTCCCCAGTTCTCCATCCCGTTTATCGGCGTGTTGGGGACAATAACTTGATCCATTTTCGGCATGATATCGGAATAATCGATACCAGTAAAGTTGGACAATAAGTCAAGGTATTTCCGGGATTTGGCGAGGACATGACCGGCACTTTCCAAATCCCCCGATGTCCACACAGTAATGTTGCTCCGGTAATTTGCAACGTAGTTGAAGTCGAAGACAACAATGGCTACGAGGTAGCTCGACATCTTTTGGGTGGACCTGAAGATGCTCCAAATTCGATCTCCAATCGACGTACTAAAAATCGTGATAGCTCTTGAACATCCTCTATGGTCTGTCACATAAAATTGTTTATAAACATTCTTTACTCTGGTAACAATGGACTCGATTTCCTGGGCATGTTGGACAATGCTGTTTGGTTTTTTAAATGGGCAACCCAGATGCTGAATTTCGCTTTGAGAGAAGGCTCATCGAAACATGGAAACGCTCGACGGGCACAAACGGTCTCGAATTGAGTGACAACAATCCATCTAAAATGATAACGTTGATTAATAATTTTTTTTTGGGGTTCTAGCTTAATTTTATATTTAATTAACGTGGCACTTCGCGGCTTCGCTAGCGATTTCTGCGAGTAGAAATTTGGGAAAAAACATTTCACCCCCCTTAAGGGTTGGTTTTTTTTTTTGTTCAATATTTTTAGATGTTGCAAATTTAATGGCCGACATAAAAAATGCAAATTCTCACCTTTTTCTCCCAGAATTCATGTAATATGTCCTGTAGAAACCGCAAGGATCTTCTCGAAGGATCCCATCGAACTTCAATCGAATCCTGTAAGTTTCCGGCTCCAATGCTGTGGGGAAGTGCAAACTGTAAGTTTGTTTGCAATTGTTGTAACTCGTTTTCGATACGCGAAGAGAGTCCTCCTCGGAATTCGTTACTATCGGATTGTCATGAATATTTAATAAATGAGAATGAAGTTCGATCGTCGCGACGGGATTTTGCACGAAAACTTCGATGGTGACTTCACCCCCGAAAGTGAAGTTTAAATCGGTAAGATAAGGGACCAACTTCACGTTATAAGCCACGGGAATCACGTCCTTGGAAAGTCGATAATCGATATCGACGCTATCGCAACTTGCTTCGAGTTCCTTCGCGTCGTTTTCACTTTTCGAATCTTGGCAACTGTTTCTGCAAAATGAAATTAATAACAGGCTGAAGAACAGGGATTTATAGCCCTTGATGTCCGCCATTGTTGCTCAGAATTTAATATTTTTTTTATTGTTGAGAAGTTTCGCTGATGGGAGGATTTTTAATATCCCCGGATGTTCTTGGTGCGAATCTGCAACTCAGTCTCTTTACGACCGTCTATGTATCTTTATTCCGTCTCCCTTTGTTTATCCACCGTTGTTGCCCGCAAAAGACTGGATTTTGTTCACGTTGTGCTGCACTTCTGAACTTTGCCGCGAATTTCCGGTGTCTTTCGGAATATATATGTGGAACTCGCAGACAGGCCTTGTCAAAATGTTAATGATGGACGCATTGCTGTGTTATCGGACACCTTGATGTTCGCCATTGTTGCTCAGAATTTAATATTTTTTTTATTGTTGAGAAGTTTCGCTGATGGGAGGATTTTTAATATCCCCGGTTCGGATCTTTACGAATAATGTTCTTGGTGCGAATCTGCAACTCAGTCTCTTTACGACCGTCTATGTATCTTTATTCCGTCTCCTTTTGTTTATCCACCGTTGTTGCCCGCAAAAGACTGGATTTTGTTCACGTTGTGCTGCACTTTTCAACTTTGCCGCGAATTTCCGGTGTCTTTCGGAATATATATGTGGAACTCGCAGACAGGCCTTGTCAAAATGTTAACGATGGACGCATTGCTATCTTATCGGACACCGACCGAATCATACGCGACTGCTTCGGGATTTCATTATCGGCCTCACATTTTCCACCGACGAACAACAAGTTGTTAAAGAAATAATAACTCTTTGTACGTACACCTCGCGCATGTAAAGATACACCGTCGGTCATTAAATCGCAACGCCTAATTTATAAAGAATAAATACCGAGCTCGAGAACAATTGATTAAGGGTTTAACAATTTATTTTTCTGCGACATTTTATGTATTAATTATCCCCGAAGAAAATTCCCATACAATGGTCTCCTAGCATAGCTGAACAAAGGATTTTCTGAGGGGCTTTGGGATGTTCACTTAATTTATTTATTACACGAGTCGAGTCATTTTATTGGAAGAAATAGGATAAGACGTGGAAAAGAAACATGGAGAGTAATGTTCCAATCCCCAAGAATGGCATCGAAGTATTGTTCGACGTGTCGGCGAACAATGCCGAAAATGTTGGCGAGTTTTCTTTAATCCATTTGAGATTTTCCGTAGCTTCCTCGAAAGCCGATCCTTCATATTCCGATCCGTGTTTCTCCAAAAATCTCACCAGCTGTTAAATAAAAAAATTGTAAAACGTTTAACTTCCAGAACGTAAAAAAAATGTAAAGGATTACCTTGTTCAATTGTTCCTGGGTGACGATTCTCTTTCCAACGGCGAGGAAGACTTTATCGAAGAAGTCTTTTCCTCTGCTGTAATTATAATAATATAGTAATTATAATAAATAAAAATCCCACGATACCTTAAAGACTTAAAAAATACTTAATCACACATCTAAGACTTACTTATCAAGAATGAGCCGCAGATTTTTGTCCACATAGTCCAGAACATGGTTGACATTTTCCGGATGGCCCTCAAGAACATGTTCGAACATTTTGTATCGATGTTTCAACCTAATGGCGAACTCGAATCCCCAAACCGCTGAATTGAGAAACCTGAAAATGATCAGTCGAAGTCGTGGTACGTTCTTAAAAGCGAATAATTAAAGTGTCACTAACAAGAACTTTCACATCCCCTTAAGGTGAAGTGAAACACGTCGAGGAACTTGATCGACGTCGATAAAGAAGATTTTTCTAAATGCCTACGCTGCCAACGTTCGTTTTTATATTGACAGCTGTATCGAATTATATTGGGTATTGTACCAAATGGCGTACTCCACCTGTCGTTTTCCTACAATAATTATAAAGAAATCCAAGTAAAACTCCAGAAATCCTCTGGATTCATGCTTTCTGCGGCCCTAATTGACTGCAGAGGGACCCCCTGCGCCATCTGTGATTTCCAGGTGAATTAAATTTTCCCTCCGAGACCTCGTATTACCATCGTTTTGGCATAGAAGCGCATACAACACTTTTTTTGCCTTTATCCCGTTAAAATGCGAGTTTATCGATTACCAGAGTGTTCTAAATTCTCGTAAAATTGTCCTGACCCTTTCGATTCTCATATCAGAGCCTAAAAAATTAAAAGAAAAAAAAATCCAAATTTTGAATGTGTCAGGACAACTCTTAGATGATCAGGAGTGATGTGTCAAAGTTTCGGACAGTTTGGTCTAATGCCCTTAAAAAAAAGTGTTGTATTCGAATCGACTGATTCGAAGGGAGTTTCACTTCACCTTAAATACCTCAGTCTCATAATTCACCGTTCAATCAATTTAGGATCCTTTGTGCATCCTAGAGCTCGCAGGAGGACATCTTGTTCGGTCTGCAAATCTGCTCTCAGAAATCTTGCCCAGACATTTTCCCAGTTGCTCTTACTTCCGGCTCTGACTCCTTCGCAGTAGGCGAAACTTCGCAAATCCGGGTGCAATTTCCTATCGAATTTCAAAGGACCTTAAATTTCGATCCCCGTCGAAGTCCCCTTCGTTAAGGCCCTTACCCTTTGTCGCCGTCCTTTATCCACTTTTGGAAGGCCTCTTCAGACTTCTTAAGGCAGTCAGAATGTCCCATCTCGCAAGCAGTGCTCAGGATGACTTCCCGAAGGAGTCTTTTGGATCGCTCTTCAGCTTCGGCGACGTCAAAGGTCAGGTTCTTGTACACGGGGGAAAGCAACTCGATGACCATTTTCTAAAACAATTGTTCTGGCTCGATGACAGTATCAAAAAACTGGAATAACTTGCGCACCCATCATCATCAAGGTGCAACGTTTGCCCAACACTAAAATCCGCTCCTACCTGAAATTCCCGCTGAGTCTTTGGTTGTCCATGAAGCATAAGGTTAATAAATTTCATAACCCTCGACGCAGCCAGCCAAGGTTCGTACTCCACCTCCTGGATGAGGTACTTAGACAAATTGAAGGGTACAGAGTATTCTAATCGTCCTGCTCTGGCCAGGTTAAAGGCATCGTCCAACAACGCAGCCCGGCTTGTCAAGGGGACCAGGGTGTAGTTGGTGGACAACAATTGGTTGATCAGCATCCCCCAGTTGGTGTGATCATAGTTGACTCTGTAGTACCCTGACTGGTCGATGTTGAACAAGATCCACTTCTTCGGGTCGATGTTGCCGAAAAGTGTCTCCTTGTCTTGGGGTCGTAGCCAATCTCGGGGTCTTGTTGGGAGGAACTCTGCCTGGTCTTCTGTCATGTAGCTCAATGGGATCCACCATGATGATTTGTCTTGTTTGGCGGAAGGTGTGTCTGGATTCAGATGGAATGGCTCTTGGGACACCCTCGCGACCCAGGTTGAGTAATTCCTGGACACAGTCACCACGGGGTACCCCTTCTGGTTCGTCCAGGTGTCCATCACGCTTTCGATACGGACATTTTTTGATAAGACAGAGTACCGATCCTCATCCGCTGCTTTCTGCAGGTGGACGTAGAGGTTCCGAGGACGAACGCTTTGGTAGGCCCTGGGGAGATGAAGGAGAATGTAGATCAACCATAGACATGCATGTACCTAAACCAAACATCCATCTTCGGTATGGTTGGTGTCTATGAGGGATATAGATTTCCTATAGATGTATGGACGTATATTATCGATGTTATCAGTCAATTACCCAGGACTTACATGATCTTCAGGTAGGACCTCACTCCGCTGGTAAACGCATTAGGCCCGATGGCATAGGAAAGCATTCGTAGAACCGAAGCACCTGTGATTAGAGAAAGGAACATTTTGGAAATTTCCACTTTACCCCCTTCCCAAATTTCTTTTGTTCTGGAGTAATTCAAGGCGATGATAAGGTACCCTTCCGATATGGCACGCCATCCATTGCACGATTGATAGACTCCCTGCTGCCAATTCCCTCGGCATTCAAAGTCCTGGCATGATCGGTAGAGTCCTGAAGAAGCATCGGTTGAAGCTCCAGGACCGGGAACATGTCCATGATCTTCCAGTCTGTGTTCGCCATGTCCAGCACCAGGTATGCAAAGTAGGTGGAGAAGCCTTCCTTCAACCAGGCCACGTCCCAGAATTTCGGAGTCACCAGATTTCCAAACCAAGTGTGAGCTAGTTCATGGGCAAGCACTGTCAGTCCATGTTGTTCATCTTTAGCTGATGTGACGGTTCTGTCCACCAGAATGATGGACTCTGCGAAGTTGATCAGTCCCCAGTTCTCCATCCCACTGAAGTAGAAGTCGGGAATGGCGAACATGTCGAACTTCTTCATGGGGTTCTCCGCTTCCACCCAGCTTTGGAGGATTTCGTAGATCTCTGCAGCTTGCTCTAGGGCATACTTTGCATATTGATTGACGGACTTCCTGGTCCAGATTGTCAGATTCACTCCGGAGGTGGACATCTCTTTTGGCGTGAAGTCGTGGATCACCCAACCCACCAAGTATGTCGACATCAGAGGGGTCTCCTTCATGATGGTCAAGGCGCAATCCGTGTTTTTTCTGGACAACGTTATGGTGATATGAAAGGGTTATACATATTAATAAAAAGTGAAAATATTAAACTTCCCTTTCCTTCTTGAAAAGATACTAATTAAAGATATGTAGAATCAGCACAAACGAACATGTCTGTTTTCCGTTCTGGTGATCCGTTGCTGGTCACTGTCATCTTTTTTGGGTGGACGATGCTGATGCGAAATACCGCCTTCAACTCCGGTTCGTCCATGCAAGGGAAAGCTCGTCGGGCAAATGTTGATGAAAACTGCGTGAGGGAGACCCATCTGTATAACAAATAGCAACAAATAAGTGACCCGGTACTTCATAAAATGTTAAACAAACGGGAATTCATGCACAGGTGGTATGTCGTTCAAAGTGTTCTTCTGAAAATCCAAGTTTCTCGGGTGGAGGTTGTTCGATAGGACTTTCGACCACCCTGATAGGATCCTTTATCAGGATCTCGGAACTGAACCTCACCTGGTCTTTCCCTCCACCTCGTAGAGGCTCCGGTAGAACCCAAGGGTGTCATTTCGGATCTCTCCAGCGAAGGAGAGCTTCAAGGTGTATTCCCCTATTTCGAGATTCCGGTCCAGCGTGACGATGAAGAAGTGTCTGTCCACGTCATAGTCTTGAGAATAGATGTCCAGCAATTTTCCTGGCCCACCAGGTGTCGGGAACACTTGGGTCTTGTTCTCGTGGATGATCAGCTCGTCCGAGTGCACTATCACGACGTTGGTCTTCTCGATAACGTGCAAATTTATGGCGACATCTCCGTCATAGATGAAGCGTCCTACATCCAGATGAGTCTTGATCTGAAGATCGTACGATCCTGGCACGATCTTCTTCGGAAGTCTGTACAAATGGGATGGACCTGATCCCTCCTGACCAGCGATGATGGAACTTCCGACCAGAACCAGGAACAGTCGCAGCATCCCGGAATCCATCTTGGGGACTTAAAGAGATGGTTCTTGGATGCTCATTACAAAAACCCACCAACGATGATGGTCGTAAAATGACAGGGAGCCAACTGACAGGTTCGCTTCGATCGAGGGAGACAATAATCAGTCCTGATATCAAGATACAAATATTTAAGTGAACTGGATTACAGGGAGACGATAAAAAAACATTCTACAGGTTGATGGGAAACGACACCAGGAAAAGTTAAACGTAAGAAACGACTGATTATGGACTTGAAGTGTCATCTAAGGGATCATTCGTTTTGGGTACTTTCCTCCTAACCAGGTCTTCCGAATTGTTTAAAAGTGTATGAACCTTCTGGATTTTTTTAAACAATGTACCTGCTACCTGTTCGACGCGCAGTCCAGTACCGAAGATAGCACGAACTGTGCGATAATTTCCGTTCCTTAACTCCGATACCTTATCGATAAACTATTTCGATATCTCAATGTACGAATTCCTGATTAGATTCTCCGAAATGCTCCGATTTGGATAAGATCTTAATGGAGGAATTGTTAAATTTCTTCTTTGATCGAAAATGTCGGGAGACAGAGTCTAGGTCGTAGGATCCAGCAATTCCAGGTGGAGGGATCAATTACCGTAGATTCTCTCAGGCCCCGCTCCGAATCTCTACCTTGACGGGGATGTGTTGAGGTTTTCGGTAACTTGCTGAAATTTGCATGTAATTGAGGCAAGCTACCCGTGTACTCGCCTTCAGGGTTTGCACAGCAGTTTACTCACGTTCCATAGACCTTGATATTAGAGGCTTGCAGGAACCTCCTTTGGTACTCTTCTTATCAGGGTACCGAGAAGAAACGTTCTCCAGATACTAGGACCTCGTGGGGATTTTCGGATAAGTCTGATTACCGCGAAAGGGACGTCGGCAGTTATCTAATCGTGGCCTAAATCAACCTGCTCATCGATTAATCGACTCCTGAGTTTCGTCAACTTGTACCTTGGTTCTCCTCTCCTAGGTGAGACCCATTACACGCGTGACCGATCCAGATCCTGGCTTGAAATTATCCAGGAAGTCTCATGCCGAGAAAACAATAGATCAGACAAGTGACAGGATTTTAATGGGGAGATTGATCACGACCACGATTGTTCTCTTGGAATTGATCCCTCGAGCTGGTGGGTGGGATTTTTTCCAGAGAGGATACAGGGTTAGAAGGCAGATCAAGGCTAATCTAGGAACAAGGACACGCAATTGCAGGAACATGGGAAGGAAGGGAACCACTCCACCTCTAGCAGCGTCCTCACACGCTGCTCCTCTATCCAGCGTCGACGAGAAACGTCGTGGAACCGGAAGAATCCGAAATCCAGATCCTGACTTGAAATTATCCCGAGAAAACAATAGACAAGACAAGTGACAGGGTTTTAATGGGGAGATTGATCACGACCACGGTTGTTCTCTTGGAATTGACCCCTCGAGCTGGTGGGTGGGATTTTTTCCAGAGAGGATACAGGGTTAGAAGACAGATCAAGGCTGATCTAGGAACAAGGACACGCAATTGCGAGAACATGGGAAGGAAGGGAACCACTCCACCTCTAGCAGCGTCCTCACACATTGGTCCTATACCTAGCGTCTTGGAATTGACCACTCGAGCTGGTGGGTGGGATTTTTTCCAGAGAGGATACAGGGTTAGAAGGCAGATCAAGGGTAATCTAGGAACAAGGACACGCAATTGCAAGAACATGGGAAGGAAGGGAACCACTCCACCTCTAGCAGCGTCCTCGCACGCTGGTCCTATACCCAGCGTCGACGGGAAACGTCGACTCTCCCGATACTTGTCAGCGTCCCTTGCCTCTCGTTGGCTTTTCGGCCTTTTGTCCAGGCTGTTTAACGCTCTTTCAAGCCGCCCCGCGATCGGTGATGCAAAGGGACAGTGAGGGATCCTTCGGTGCAAACTGTGCTTCGTTTTCCCTATTCCCGAAACAATGGAGTCCTTCGTGGCTCGGGACAATGAGGCCCGGGCCTCGGGATGAATAATTACACGGATTTAACGAGCGGCGCCTACAGCCATTTAATGAGTTGGTTGACTTAATGAGGTTGCCCCCGTGTTTGCTGCACTTCGTGCAGAATCCGTCACCAGTGTCGCCTTTTCGGCTGCACTTGCCCAGGAGGTTCCAAGATGGCGATAACATCCTTTCGCCCTATAAAAGCGTTACCAGATGACTCGGTTATCAGGAACCAAAAGCCTAGTGTGTGGTACTCCTTCAGAGGGTGTCTAAATCCATGCCCTATCATTTTGGCACATCACTCTTCCCATTTCGGTTGGTCCTTGCAGGATTGATTGTTCCTGGCGACGCTATCGTGGGAACTGAATCGGTTTTCTGGAAACCGGAACAGACCCAAAGTCCGGATCTAGGCAGAATTCGGTCGGACGACAGCACGTAGGTTTATCAAGCAAAGTACTTGCATAATTGACGGGCCGCCATGATGCGAACGTCCCGATGGAACTTTAGCCGTGATTGGTCTGCATAATGAAGAGACCTCATTGTGCCATTATACCCCTAGGCCGAACTTCGTCTAGGCACCAGGAAACGAGTCATAGACGCGATGTTTGCCCCGAAAGAAAGAAAGGGAAAAAAAAAACAATATGCATCGGTAACTATTGAAAAGTGACGTTCCTCGTAATTAGCTTCCTTGGAGATGATGGTCGGGTGTTGGTCCTTGGTCTTCCAAAAAGTGCAGGTTCTTTTGAGGGTTGGCGAAACGCCCATCCCTTTGGGGAATTGTTGGGTGTCCTTGTTAGGACGTCATAAAGGACATCTCTTGGACGTGGAGGATCTCCCAGGGCGGAAAATATACAAAGATATTTCGAAAATTGTCCGGGCCTCCTACTCACCAAACAATGGCGCTGAAACGGATGCGGAAACTCGGCCACCACCAAGAATGCGAGATGCAAAAGTTTTTGCTCCTCTCGAGGCCTCGCAGATGCTGGGGAAGAGGGAATTTCCGAGAGGAAAGAGAAGAACGCGGTTATGCGTTTAGGAGGCCGGAGGCATCCCTTCGGGAGGCTTTCATGAAACGTGGGAACACGTCTTGGTGCCTAAAATCGGGAACACTTGTTACATGCATTCGCGATTGGTTGCTGCCAGATGAACAGGGACCAAAAACCATGTTTGAGGCTTGGGACCAAAAGAAACCTCGTTCTCCAGGAAATGAACAATGGTACCGCGATTGGCGGACTTGCAGCGATCGATTGTGCGATGCTGGTCATCAAAAGGCCACGCGACCATCCGTGATCTTGGTGCCTAAAATCGAGAACACTTGTTACATGCATTCGCGATTGGTTGCTGCCAGATGAACAGGGACCAAAAACCATGTTTCAGGCTTGGGACCAAAAGGAACCTCGTTCTCCAGGAAATGAACAATGGTACCGCGATTGGAGGACTCGTAGCGATGCTGGTCATCGAATGGCCACACGACCATCCGTGATCTTGATCCCTAAAGTCGAGAACAATTGTTACATGCATTCGCGACTAGTTGCTGCCAGATGAACAGGGACCAAAAACCATGTTTCAGGCTTGGGACCAACAAGAACCTGGTTCTCCAGGAAATGAACAATGGTACCGCGATTGGTGGACTTGCATCGATCGATTGTGCAGTGCTGGTCATCGAACGGCCACGCGACCATCCGTGAACTTTCTCCCTTTCCACTATTTGCAATATTACTAATAACCTCGTTAGGGAATAATTACATGTACGCCGCTCTCCGGTAATTCAGTTTGCATCCCAATATACCCCTGCGAGCTGCAGCGTCCTCGAGTTCGCCACCGATAGCCTCCTGCAGTCTATTGATTTAGACCCTGAAATAAAGACAACGCGGATGTCGCGGCCAGATAGTAAAATCCGAACCTTTGTAAATCGTCTAAGAACTTCCATTGAAATGTAAGATGCTGGTGCCAGGACATTTCTAACGGCGGACTTCCATAGTGTTGGCCTAGTGTTTAGAGAAAGACGCTGATAACATCCAGACTCTAGGGAGACGGGGACCCCATTACAGTCCACGTGCACGATGCACTTCGACAAGACACACTTAGAGATGCAGTCCGTCAGCTTCAACCTGGACCACTTGTGTGGTGTTCCAGGCAGCAATGGAATCATCTATGGTATCGGTTCTTTTGAAGGGCGCCTGATAGGACCGATTGCACGTTTTGCCGGAGCCCAGGAACTACATCCGTGGCGCAACCACAACGGAGCTCCCTAATTCCATTAGCCGACCTGTTTGAAAGCCACTCCTGGAACGTAAGCGCGTCGCGACGCTCCGAGTACTTTATTTGCCCGCCGCTTCGTCAGCCCTCTCGGGGGTTGCGAAATTCCCATCCGAAAATGAAGGGACTTCCGGGAGGAATCCGAAATTTCAGCTCCAGGAAGACCTAACACTTCTCGTGGTCCCACTTCATCCCTGATGTCCTACTTGGGAGGAATCATCCTGAAATTAGAGGTCCTCGGTGGGATCGAGGTCCCGATTCAGGGACGGAGGGAAAGAACGTCCCCGAGGCGGTGTTCCGGAATGGAACCCACCACCAGCCGATCGGAATTAACCGCAAGAGCCGGTGCGGTTTCCGGAATCTCAGCTCGGTGGTGCCCCGCAGTCGCCCATCTCCGGGACACTGCTCTCAGGGTACCGTAATTGCCCAAAAGACATTGCCCAGGGCGTCGTCAGGGTTGGCCACATCCCGAATTACTGGACTTCGGGGACTCCAGGGATCCGATCGATCCGAAGGACACTTTTGTGTGGCGCGAGGACCACACTACACCTGGATGCTCCTTGTGCATCTCTGTCCGGGACGCTTCCTCACGACGTTAGTTCCAGAAGATGCTCAGGGCGGTCAGAGAGGAGACCTTAGGGTGCACAGGGCGACGGTCGTCGTGCTTGACTCTTTGGAGACCCGACGACGGCTTTGTGTCGCCTAGGGTAAATATTGGTGGAGGGTGATGAGGTCGCTTTTCTCCCGGCTCCGCTTTCTTTCCAGTCCG